GATTTTAGTTCATATATGTAGAATTACAGCGCCCTGAACCACATTAGGTGATCTCGGGAACCTGCACGTGGACAAAGCCTACCAAAGGCTCACTGCTCACAACGTTTTAAATTGTAACAAATAAACCCAACAACCGAGTCCTCAATGAAGTCACACATTTCAGATAGCTTTGAATGTTGCTACATGTTCCCACAAGTGAATCGTATTTCGATTTTTAAAGATCATATTCCATAAAATAGTACGTAATCATTATTATGAAGTTTTCATGCAAACTGTACACCCGATGTCCCTTACTGATGTCCGCAAACAGTGGAATGCCCGTATGGACAAGGTTAGAGGTTATTTAGGTTACACTCTCAAAATTAGAATGCTCACAGGATTGGTCTTCTGTCATCGCCGTCCTACACACACCGAGAGAGTGAGTGAGTTTAGTTTTACTCCGCACTCAGTTGTATGGCGGCGGTCTCTAAATAATCGAGTCTGGACCAGATAATCCAGTGATCAACAGCATTAGCATCGATCTGCGCAATTTGGATACGATGACATGTGTCAACCAAGTCAGCGAGCCTGACCATCCGATCTTGTTAGTCGCCTTTTACGATAAGCATGGGTTACTGAAGGTCAGTTCTAACCCGGATCTTCACGGGTCATTTAGAAAGTGGTCAAATGTAACATTTGTCACCTCCAAGTCGCGGTGGCTGAGCGGGCTAGGCGGCTGACTTTGTGTGTTGACGATTAGGTGCCTGACTCTGAGGGTGTGGGTTCGAATCCCGGATGGGACTCAACCCAATAAAAGTACTAGAATCTGTACTTTACTGACTGTAATCCCAAATATAACATATGTTACAGTAAGAAACGAGGCAACGATGTGATAAAACCCCGGCATGATGCAGTCACTCCCTGAGAGAGAGAGAGAGAGACGCGCACACACACTTGTTACAAGTGGTATCAGTGTAAGTTTCACCACCATGCGCCAAGAGGAGATATTTCGATGCATGCCCTCCGTGAGTATCATTGTACTTGGCGCATCCTCTGAACATGAGGCAGTAGTGTGTGGTGTGTGGGTTAGTCTGTCTCTCAGTCCCTGAACCGCATTATTTTCCCTTCCGCAACAGTCCTGTCTGCAATGTTAAAGCAGTGTTAAAGTAAATCTAGATATCCTCAGGTTCTCTCATCTCACTTGGGCTCCTGTTCAGTTTGACAGGAATTATTTGTTTCCATCAAAATGACACATATTCACAGACTAGGCGTTAATCTATCAGACCCAACCTGCCAAGCTGCCGTCCGAGGGTCCAGTCCTGCCACTAAGCGTTATCTATATGTGAGTGCGTCAATCCAGCCAGTCTGAGAAGCGAAACCTTTCATTACAACACAGGCCCTGATCTTGAGTGTGAGCATGGATGTGTGACATTTCTCCCTGCATGTGTTTCTGTGAATGGGGTGTTTAGACCACTTTGAAATATTATGGCAGATAAATTGCATTGTCAGCTGAATGTAAGAGAAATCTCCGGCGATGAAGCTGCTCTGCCCATGCAATACATTGAGACTATGCCTCCTGCGCCATTGACTAACAGACACATCATATATAGCCATGTCCACAGTACCTCATTGTAGACTAACGCTTAGTCTCTAAATATATATAATTTCGATAGTAACAAACCCATTTAAATTGAAAAGGAGCCCCAGTGAGATGGGAAATTCAGAACCTGAGGAATATCTAGACTTGCTTCATTGAGGGCTTTAGCATTGCAAGGAGGGCAAGGCAGTAGGGACAATAATGTGGTTCAGGGACTGTGAGACAGACTATACCTTATTGGTGAAGCTGTGGAACAGGCCGTTTCAAACCTATACCCTTTTTCCAACATCATATATATGTACATGTTTCGATTTTTTTCGCCCCAGACAATGAATGTTTGGACAACAATCAATTTCACGTCTATTATTTGGCAATTATGGAACAAAAAACATTTTCCCCGGTTTTTATTACATTTTACATTTTACTCCCCTCACCCTAAGAACAATACATAATGTCCCCCTCAGTGGGTGCACTGCACTGTTCTCAGAAACACAGAGCAACTGTTCTACTTCTGATCTTATCAATAAGGTTATGTAACTCAACTTACATGTACACACCTAATATTTGGTTCACTTAAACAAATCAGTACTCTTCTCAATAACGCCCGTGTACATGTTTTAGACTTTTAGGAATTACGTTTATTTGCTTTTGGCAGTAAATCATTCCATCCAGGCATAGCCTGTGTAAACAGTTTTGTTCATCTACAAGTGAGAGAATTCCCAGCATGTTTGGAACGCTCGCGTCTCTGCAAGCCCAATATGACGTCAAGCAACATCCTCCTCCTTCATACCAAGGTGAAGGCCGAGTCGATTTATTACATTACACCTGTATACACTGTAGATAACCAATCGTAACGGCTTATAGGGGTAGATGAATGTGTGTGGCATCAACTTGGTGGTCACCAGTCGCACCTATCACTATTAGCACAGGCCATATACCGGTATTTGGTCTCTGGCATTAGACATCGAAACATAAAACAGTTAACTGCACTGAAAAAACACCGATTTAAGCGACCGGTCAGTTAATATAAGGACTGGGAGTAATTGGGATAAGATTGGTCTTATTTAAAACAGTAACATATTTTTCTGAACCCATTTAAGTAACATTATTTCATTCCCCTTCCTCCCCAATTTTTATTCATGGCCGCCTATCCTCACCCGTCTCTCCTCCTGGGCAAATATACACTCAGCAGCAAAAAAACGTCAGTACGAATTCAAAATCAGATAGGCACTGTAATCAAATCATTACAGAAATGGACATATTAAGCGGATCAAAAACATTTTTTGTATACAATATCTTGACACATCAATGAATAACTCAGCATAATTTCAAGACGTTACGTGAACGTTTGCAGTCCATTCAGACTCTTGACTTCAGTATCTAGTGTGACCACCACGAGCGGCAATAACTGCAGCACAGCGTCTATGCATGGAGTACACCAATCGATTGATGAAGGCCATTGGCACCTGGAACCACACTCTGAGAAAGGCCTGGTGCAATAAATCGGCTGTTTTCGGCCTTGGTATGACATTATTCAGTCTCCTCTGAATTTCATCCCAAAGATGTTCAACTGGGTTTAAATCAGGACTAAGGGCTGGCCACTGCATAATGTTGACACCGTTCTGCTGTTGGAAGTCCCGTGTAGCCCTGGCAGTATGGGCCCGGGCGTTCTCATGCTGGAAAATGTTGTTCCGGTGACGTGCGAAATGTGGTATGACGTAGTGGGGTCTGAGAGCTTGGTCGATGTAGCGCATCGCTGTGATGCCACCTCCTGTCCCTGGACCAAGGTTCTGGAAAACTACAGAACCCACTCTCTGGTTCAGGCCTATTCCACCCCATAACATGATGCTTGCACCTACCCATGAGTCTCTTTCCATAACACATTGGTCTGAGTAATGTTGGCCACGTCGTCGCCATATTCTTGTTCTGCCATCTGCAGTTGATACGCAGTACCGACTCTCATCTGTGAACAGAACAGTACTCCATTGCCTGTATCGCCAGTTTTGGTGTTGTAGGGCAAACTGTAGACGTTCACGCCGATGACGAGGGGTGGGGATAGGTCCACGGTAAGGTCTACGGCAATGGAGGTTCCCGCTGTTAAGACGTCGGCGTAGCGTATCAGTACTGATTGGTCTTCCGTGTGTTCCCACTGTCTGACGTGCTGTTTCGGATGCCTGCATGAAGGGATTCTGTACATGCTGTCGCACAACATGGTGGTCTTGTCGTCTTGTGGTCAGCCTTGGTCTGCCAGTACGGGGGCGATCATTTGTGGTGTTGCTGGCCCGGAAACGTTGCTGCAGCCTGTAGATGCTTTGAACGTTGACCTGGAAGTGATTGGCAACGGCTTGTACAGTGTGGCCAGCTTCAAATCTTCCTAGCGCCTGGTTCCTCTGAGATGTCGTGAGTCGCGGCATCCTGCTGACGTTGTAATGTGAATGTTTTAACCAGGTTTGGGGTTGCATTTTATAGGGCTGGTCCTTGTGAACAGCACGTGCAATATGAGTTGCATGAAAAACATGGAGAACACCGTACCATCTCCGAGGTCAGGTTGCGCTTTTGAGACCATTTCCTGGGTTCCATTCTGAGTTTGGGAAGGAATGTCTTTGCTCAGGTAAAGTTGGAGATGTTGTCAAAATATACAATCAAAACATTAAATGAGTTCACAGCTATCCGTTTCTGCGAAGGAAAATTCCAAACTGACGTTTTTTTGCTGCTTAGTATAGTTACAGTCCATCAAGGTTAACGTCCATGGGAGTTGTATTCCACGAGTGGTCATGGGCTAATGGTCATTTAGTAAATAAGGCTCCCACACTTTAGCCACTAGTCATCCAGTGCGCGGCAATACATTGCAAAGAGCTGCGTTCCCCTGTCGAACTAGAATCAAATGGCCGTAGGTAGTCGAATATTCGCCTAGACTGTGATCATGTGGTCAGGAGTTTCGCCGATGTCGTACGCGTTCAAGACTTGGTTCAAGCCTTCCTCATACAACTGGGGACACAGGTCCTTCGTCTAAGGCGATGCATTAACGAGTTGCGACCCTTGGATATGCCAGAAACCCGAAAGGCAATCGTGGGTTCGAATCCCGGATTCGTCCTGATCATGTTTCTTGATCCGAAACCATGCTACTTCTGTGCTCGCGTCTTCATAAACGTAAAGGTATTCATCACTTGAGGTTTCCCGGAAAAAGTGAAGTTAAACGAAACTCACTCATTCCTGGACGCTGATCCCCATACTTCCCCGACTGCCTTATCTCACCACCGCAGCCACATGGTAAACGTCTACGACATGTTAAACAAAGGAGACATACACACACATATGTGATGCGGCGACGTTCTGACTCTCTGTCTCTGCGACTATCAACGTCAAACTTTTGAACTATATATGTACAAAATAATAAATAACACAACACAATAGCATTTCCCACGGTAGGTCTTTATTTCAGACTTAATTCGAAGAAGGTTACAATGGTAATTGTTTTCTTGTCAGGCCGCATCTAGAGGCTCGACATTCACGTTCAGCTTTGGCAAAGCAAAACATCAAAATACAACCGCAAATCGGGCTTTGTCAGAGGTGCATATAATCGAAAACTAGATGAGGTGGATCGACAAACAATGAAACAAAATTAAAACTGTGCATACAAATCGGTTTAACATACAAAAATGGCTGTACCATACTGTTTATGGACATTTAACGGTTCACATGTGTTTGGGGAATCTACCGAATGGAAGTAGATCCCGTACGACGAAAGTTTCTCACTCTCTGCAGAAATCGCCTCAACGATGACGTTTTGTCTTCATTCGACTTCACTTTGCTGTGTGAGGACGGAGAGCCTTCTCTCTTACAGGCTGTTTGGTCATTAGGTTTGGGCGTGACAAATGTGAATCGACTGCGGACATCACTGATGAACTTCTGGAAGCGTCCTGGCTCCGAGGTGATTCGGGGACGAACCATCACCCCGTTGGCAAAGACTGGAGGCGGAAGAATTCCGGGGAGTTTGTAGCGATTTGCAGTCGCGATGACGTTGTTTTGGACGTTGACGAGGGCTTGGTGGACGTTGGGATCATTAGGGTCACAGCAGAGGAACTGCCTGGTGACTTCAGCTCCTCCTTCGTTGACTGCGCTGTGTACCTGCCAGACTCGTCTGCTGACTATTCTCAGACCACCGTTCTTGAACATCAACTGGAAGAAGGTAGATTACTGTCAGCCACCGTAAACGATTTCAGTCACCAATTAAAACATGTAGGGGCTCTGTGGAAGAAAAGGCAGTCACTGTATCGTGTTTATGATATTGGAGTGGACCATATAGAGAATCGGTTATATCAGTGAGCGATTTGGCTGGTTGAGCATCAATGCATCTCTGTTTCATTGTTCACGCTATCAACCAATGGTTTGACAGGTCCAGACCCTACCATTTACACGCTGGCAGTGGAATATAAACAACACTCACTTACTCAGTAGACACAACTTATCATACTTCAGGACCGTGTTCCATACATATGGATAGTTGGCTCTTAATAGAATACACACACGCACGCACACACACACATACAGATACTCTCTCTCTCTCTCTGTGTGTGTGTGTGTGTGTGTGTGTGTGTTCTTTGTTTGCTCTTGACTTCAGGCAGCTATAATCGAGTCTACCCCAGACAATCCAATGATCGATATTCTGAGCTGCGTGCACGCCGTTAGCGAGCCCTACCACTCGGTCCAATAATTCGCCTCTTGTGTCAAGCACATGTTATCGACAAGTTATTTATGCATGGCAAAATAAACTACAGACTGGAAACTTGGAGTCTGGAGCATAACTCCAGTGGTTGATATTATGAACGACTCAACCAACAATGTCACTGAGTCTGACGACCTAATCCAATACGTCGTCTCGAGGGTCAAGCATGGGTTGCTGGGTACCAAGTCTAACCACCCGGAGTTACGTCATCATTAGGCTACATCTTACATTTCTACCTGAAAGAGGGGTCGTTTTCTTTACCAATTTGACTTCTTGTACCACCACGGGATTGTTTTTGCTTGCTTTTCTTGTTGCTAAACACCACACTCAGCAATATTCCAGCATGACATGTTAACCTAGATGTCCCTTCACATGACCCGTCAATGTTCTCGTTGATATAGTCATGATTTCCCATATGATTATTGTCGTTAGTAGGGACCCAGACTTACAATCGGTAATGCTTACCCTGTTCTGTTCCATGCAAACCTCTCTGATAACATGAAGCCACTGTCTGATAGCTCTGAACTCCTCGCGAAGCTCTACCGACCATGGCAGTTCTGCAACTGCAACACAATACGTGTGTAGAACCCGGGACTGGTGGGAACAGACGTGTAACTTACAGGTTCACACCAGATACTTCTTGTTCTTAACAGGTTCACACCAGATACTTCATGTTTTTAACAGGTTCACACCAGATACTTCATGTTTTTAACACCAGATACTTCATGTTTTTAACAGGTTCACACCAGATACTTCATGTTTTTAACAGGTTCACACCACATACTTCATGTTTTTAAACAATGTCCGCAAACGAACACTGTGGATGATTTTTTAGTTTAATTGTGTTCAAATTTTGTCCGCGCACAAACAATATGAAAGATTGGAACTTTAGCTACGTTCCTGTCTCAGATGCGAGTGTGTGTGATGATGATGATTTTGATAGAGAAGCATGTACAATGTGAATGACCCCCCTAAAATTTATGTACAAAGTAAGTGACACCCCACCCCACCCCTGCATGTGATGTACAAAATCAATGACCCCCCTCTCTCTTGCAACATTTTTAAGCATAATTTTTAAATAACAATATGTACAAAATTGCTGATCTCCCCTATAAACATGTGTACAAAATTGATCGGGGCAAGTGACGTGTATATTCCAGTAACAGCCAATCGGGGCAAGTGACGTGTATATTTCAATAACAGACAATCGGGGCAAGTGAGGTGTATATTCCAGTAACAGACAATCGGGGCAAGTGAGGTGTATATTCCAGTAACAGACAATCGGGGCAAAGGGCAGTAACAGACAATCGTGAGGTGTATATTCCAGTAACAGACAATCGGGGCAAGTGACGTGTATATTCCAGTAACAGACAATCGGGGCAAGTGACGTGTATATTCCAGTGACAGACAATCGGGGCAAGAGAGGTGTATATTCCAGTAACAGACAATCGGGGCAAGAGAGGTGTATATTCCAGTAACAGACAATCGGGGCAAGAGAGGTGTATATTCCAGTAACAGACAATCGGGGCAAGTGACGTGTATATTTCAGTAACAGACAATCGGGGCAAGTGACGTGTATATTCAAGTAACAGACAATCGGGGCAAGTGACGTGTATATTCCAATAACAGACAATCGGGGCAAGTGAGACGTGTATATTCCAGTAACAGACAATCGGGGCAAGTGACGTGTATATTCCAGTAACAGACAATCGAGGCAAGTGAAGTGTATATTCCAGTAACAGACAATCGGGGCAAGTGACGTGTATATTCCTGTAACAGACAATCGGGGCAAGTGACGTGTATATTCCAGTAACAGACAATCGGGGCAAGAGAGGTGTATATTCCAGTAACAGACAATCGGGGCAAGTGACGTGTATATTCCAGTAACAGACAATCGGGGCAAGTGACGTGTATATTCCAGTAACAGACAATCGGGGCAAGTGACGTGTATATTCCAGTAACAGACAATCGGGGCAAGAGAGGTGTATATTCCAGTAACAGACAATCGGGGCAAGTGACGTGTATATTCCAGTAACAGACAATCGGGGCAAGTGACGTGTATATTCCAGTAACAGACAATCGGGGCAAGTGACGTGTATATTCCAGTAACAGACAATCGGGGCAAGTGACGTGTATATTCCAGTAACAGACAATCGGAGCAAGTGAGGTGTATATTCCAGTAACAGACAATCGGGGCAAGTGAGGTGTATATTCCAGTAACAGACAATCGGGGCAAGTGAGGTGTATATTCCAGTAACAGACAATCGGGGCAAGTGAGGTGTATATTCCAGTAACAGACAATCGGGGCAAATGACGTGTATATTCCAGTAACAGACAATTGGTGCAGCGATAAACCAGTGACAAGATGTGTTGGCATTATTAGTCAAATGTGGATAGAGAATTTACACAAATATTAAGGTAAGATTTTATCAGAATGTCAAACTATCTATGTCATCCGAGCTGTATTTTCTCACTTATAAAGGTAAAAGTGTATAGAATTGAATTTTGTCGGTTCAGATGTAGCAATCATGGGTTAAAGATTGGAGAAGGTTGAAAACAAAATATTTCAGCATTGAAAAGGTTGTGTCGTGTATGTATTTGTACCAAGACAGGAAAACGAGTATCACTTCATGTTTGAATGTTCTTTTTATGATAGTTTAAGACCTTAAATATTACCTAGATATATTTGTGAAAATCACTTACCACAGCAGCTTAATTACGGAAATAAACTGAACTGAACAAAGAAATGGATAAAGCGATACAGTCAAAACAGTCAAATGGAATCTTCCAGTAGCATTCCGTCGTATTTACCTGAAACCCAAGGCTCTTGTCGAAAACAGCAAAATGTCATATTAAACTGCAAGTGTGTTGCAAGTGCAACACACGGAATTACCCACGTGAAAGTGGGCGCTCTTCTATGACGCCACACTATTGTTACGTCAACACTTTGTGACGTCATTTAAGAAAAGGGCACTTCCTGTTGTGTAAGCCCAACACACTCCGGCGCAGTTATCTTCACATTCATTCGAGATAAATTGTCTCGATCTATGAGAAAATGTGATGTCGAAACAAATATTGAAAACTCTTAGCATCGAGGACAGTTCGCCGGAAGGAACTTTTGCATCTTCGATCTTCGATAAGCCCGGGCAATCCTGATGGTAGGCTGACGTCTCGAGGCATTGTTTCGCAAGCATATCTTGCAACAAAATTGACGTGTTTTAAACTTTGAGCTGGGAATGGCAGACCGAAATGATTACAGGTACACATTTCAGACATAGCTAAATATGTTGAAAAGCTCAGGTACAGTCACTATTTCCTTACGAAATGAACGATGATCTATATGAATACAAAAAATATTTTCATATTTTTAAGTGATGTTTTCTATTACTTTTCTCAACATAATATTTAATGCAAGACAAACACGAGCTGTGGTCCTCGACACTTGAAACAGAATCAAGAAATGTCGTGAAGATTAACTAACGAAATTAGTTGTTTGTGCGGTGATGTGTGTACACTACAAGGCGTGGTCACTTGACTGCAGAATTTTACCCGGTTTGCATTCATGTGATCAAAACTCTATTGTTGATGTGTTATCACTGGCAAAATGAATAAAAATAAAATGCAAAATAATTTCAATATTAAATAAATAAACCCGGGATAGTAATACTCACAATGTCCTTACACAACATCTTCACCTTGTAAAGTACCGTTTATTCATAAAACACCACCAGGTCCTCCACCAGACTCTCCACTATACCCTGGATGCATCCACGGCTTGGCCCGATAATTATATTACTTCCCTTTGCTGGCTCCGCATTCTCACAGTAGCCAATCAGCTAAGCCGCTGTTACATCCGAGCTTGCCAGTGTCAACAAAGATAGCGGTCGCAGTCGCGAAGGTTTGTTCGCAGCGCCACTCAGATTTTGGGGGTAATCATACTGACAAATTGACAGATCTGAAACTTGAAAGAAATATATGAACCTAAGGACCACAAACCTGGGATTCGAACGTATACCCTGGAGATCATCGAGGATGACAGAAATGTAGAATATTAAATACCCTACACGATGGAGTAAACCCAAGTGCAAGTACTTCGGTGGTTTGAAAAATTGACACTGTTAAATGTTGTCCGAAATTTTGTTATGCATTAAAACCAGTGCATTTCTCCGCTTTTTATCGTGCACCGATAAAAGCACTGTGCGACGTGTTTTTTTGTGTGTGTTAACTTGGCATCTTTAGGGAAAGTGTGAGAAAAGAAAATACAGCCTGATATTTGAATGACAATAAGTATGGATGAAATGGGTTTCTGTGCTTATATATAATGTCAGACACTCAACTTAAAAAAATGATTTTCCTCTATGACGTCGGAGAGGTCCTGCACGTAAAGGGGCATAACTCCACTATGCGTAACACTAGGTCATCGTAACCCCGATCCCTTGGACAGTATTTGCTGTGGATACGGACACTATATTGTCGTGATGCTTTGTTCACGGTGAACCAAACTATTCCAATACAAAGATGCCCACTGTAACCGGACTGTCATTCCGTTATATTACAATGCGACTTGGACTATGCTCTCGTGGTATAGTGTCATGGATGTCGTCATTATTGGCATGAAATGTAGATTCTATGTAGATTCTTACACCATTATCAAGCTAAAATTTCGAAGTAGATTCTTACAACATCGAAACGTCGCTCTATGCAATAAACCAGACGTTGTGATCCATAAGATTGTATGTTTCATTTTTAACTCACCAACTTCTAAAATGCCAATCAAACAGTCATTAATGCCAAGTTTGTAATTCCACCCTTATCAATGAAACAATCACACATAAAGCTCAAGATACTGGTTTGTTTGTTTGTTGTTTAACGCCGCATTCAGCAGTATTCCAGCTATATGGCGGCGGTCTGTGAATAATCCTGTTTGGATCAGACAATCAAGTGATCAGAGTCATCAACATCAATCTAACTGGGATTCGATGACCAAAGCTCAAGAGGACAAGCTCGAACCAGGACCAGACAAATCGGCGAGGGTCTGTGTCAACTGGGCAATACTCGTATCAGCTGGGGGAGGTAGGGCCGCTTGTCAATACAGTTAGTCTAGGTCAAGTTCCACAATGCTATTTTGGTGCCAAACCGATCGCACCTCCAATCACTAATAACTTCGACTTGCCATAGGCATAACTGGTCTGCTTGAGAGGTCACCATCCAAACATATACCTAACACATTATAGCCATTTAGCCTGTCCGCTCCCTGAAGACGAAGTATTGGGCCATTGGAGCGCATTAACCTACTGAGATCTGATGCCTCAGTTCAACATGGATACCATACCCACACACAGTTAATGGCTTCAGTTCCGGAAACAAACCCGACACTCTTCTGTACCTAAGATTACCTTCCTGCCCCCGGAGACACATACAAACTAGAAACTTGCTGTATAACGAAAGACAGCAAACCTGAAGTGTGGGCCACGTTTCATGTGGAACCATCAACAAGTCAATGCTCAGAACATAACATAAAGGACGGGCGTACTGTATACTTCGTTTGGGGCATATTGGCGATGAATAAAATTCAACATCGTTACTGTGTGATGATCCGCAGCTACTATCATCAGCAATTTCAATAGAAACATAGGATAAGGCAAATCACAGTGCATGTTGATGTTTCCGCTGCGGGACAGTTGATACAAATTGTGCACGATCTGGTTGATCGAAGGTTGCTTATACCATCAATCACTGGCCTGTATGCTTCAGATTCGTCATGTGGAGGGCAGGATTGTGATAAATGGTACATTGGTGAATTAAACGACATCCACAAGTTATTTCTGTGGGCATTTGTCTGGTATCTATAAAGTTATTGTCGTGATTGAAAGTTGTTTAAGTGAGTGACTTTCTTGAATCGTGATGTTTGAGCATTGCAAAAATGCTTATGCACCCCACTAACACTTATACGGGGTATGAAATCTATGGCGAGTTCCACAGTCCAGATTTGTATGCAAACTTTGGCTATATATTTACAATTGTCATGGACAATCCATTAACTGCTTATCTGGGGAAATCGATTTTAATATCTTCAAACAGATTTAACTACGGTGATTACTGATTCAAAGCCACATGCACTGTGGACAATTGTAATACACCCTGCAATCACAGATTCAGCTCTCTACACAATGAATGTTAGAACTGGAATATTCATCAAGTACAATTGATAGTAACAAAGGTATGGCTTAAATATCTTCCGGGCAAAAGTGTAAGGGAGATAATCCTGGACGGTGTCATCAGAACTATTTCTGCACACCCGTGGCACCTCTCTAATGTTCTATGATAGTAGTCCATCAAGAGTTATTTCCCCTCAATGTCCAAACATTCACAATACACTACCCGTCACTGACAAGATGAAACAAGCTTTAGCAGATGGGTTATATCATGGACCAAATGCAACACAATGTGGCTTGCTCAAAACAATGAAGTGTAACAGAACTGAAAAAATTGCACATTTTATTACAAAATATCACAAAGTGCACCTTAAACAATGTTATAATGAGAACAAGTCCAGAGATGTTTTGGCAGCAGTACTTAACCTCACAAACACCTCCTCAAGAATGTGCCAGATATCAACAGTTTATCAATTGACACAATCCCTAATATTCATAAGGAGCGGGTTTGGTTACCCCACTCTCGGCAGCTTTGCACTGTGTTTCAGTTATATAAGGGTATATCAGCATGATGAAAGCCAGATGCACACACTTACTGACCTAAAACTTTGGTAAAAACCTGGAGCATAGATGCTGACAACCTAAGGACCATAACCAGCAGGACAAACCTGGGATTCGAACATACAGCTGGTAGATCCTGCATATTCACAGCTTTCAGGCCTTAAACTTTGCACTCATAAAATTACCTTAGGAAATGAAAGGTACATGCTCAGTAAAATAGCTTTAAAATATCTGGAAAATCATTAGCAATATTTCATTCCATAATACATATGGATCCGTTTCAAATCAAAACTAAAGCTTGAGTAATCTATTTAGATCCAAACAAATTTGTGAAAGTACTTTGATAAATTTAGTCAATAGTGACATCATTCATCTCTGTAAGAACACTAGGGGAAAGCAAGATTCACTTGACAAAATCTTCACCCATGCTTTCATATGAGTATAGTGATCAACGTAATGACAACATCCAAACTCTCTCTGAAACTGAAAAATATGTCACTGAATAGTGTCTGGAGATTCCACATGCTCTAACTGTCTGATGGCATAAACCACTGATCATTGGAGACCTATCATCTTATCAATGGGAGGGTACTTCCAGTCATCATCACTGAGGCTCTTCAGTAACTGTCGTAACTGCTTCATTCTCTGTTCATGGAGGTCTGAAAAAAGAGCAAGCAAAAACGTATATCCTTGACTAATCACGTGATAGTGGGATACAGCGTTTGACCCAATATTATACATACTCTCACTTTTAACCATAAACAAGGTATCATTTATTAAAATAGTAAATGAATTAAAATACTGGACATGACTATGACCTTGCACTATGGCCAGCCATCAAACCACACTCCATACCATTTAATCAATCTATGGGAGATAAAGTAATGGGACATTCTTTGATTATCCAGAGTACAATATGATAATATAACAAAATAAAACAACTTTATATTGACATAACCATCATTAACTGATTCCCCGCATCAACTTTTGGAAAGAAGCAGCGGGACCAGTGAAGCAAGAGATACAGCTGGCAGAAAGTGTTAGAGAGTGATTAAAGCATTTGCTTGTCATGCTCAAGGCTCAGCTTTAACTCCCTTCATGGCAACAATGTGTGAAACCATCTTCTAGCGAGCCTTACTGTAATAATCAGAAAGTGGTGTAGAACAATACTCACACACTATGTTGCCTGGATAATCCTCCATATTGAATATTTTATCCTTTATCCCTATTGTTGTCCTAAATATACTGGCACTTTGTCATATATGTAGAAATAAATGTCACGACTTTTGTACCTTTTTGTAGATTGGTGTGCATCGTCTCTATGTCATGGTCTATCTGGAGCTTATTCAGAAGTACCTTGAAATCTGCAACAACAAAATGATATTGATGAAAGTAGACAACTTTATCAATAGCACTATTGGACATATAACTACCGAACAATCATTTTTACCACTTTGACTGCAGCTTAAGATTATTGAAAGAAGATATATGCCTTAATTAATTCCTCAGAATGAAGCGTAGAGATATAAGATGGATCCTAAAACCTAACAATTTGTGGGTTTAATAAGTGTTAAACTGTCAAGATGTACCAAATTGTTTTAAAACATCAATCTGTAAAACTGACCGTTTGAGTTATTCCTAGCATTTTCGGGCACTCCAGGCGATTGAAATAGTGCCTTTCGAACCTCGTCATCAAACATTTTGGACATAATATCGCTATGACCAAGAAAAGGTAGCAATATTATGACTGTCCACACGAAATCTTCGCAAAACGTCTACACTAAAAAATACTAAGGGACGTAACCCGTGCTGCCTATCGACCATACTATTTTCGCTACAACTAGTACCATACTCATTATTGTGGAGACGGTTCGTGGGTCCCAGTCTAAGCTCGCGTACAGTTCAACCTCAGGAGAGTATACCCATTCTAAATAACATTAACACAACATGCTAAACACCATGCAACAAAAGCGTTTAAGCCTTTCCAGTAACTTCATGTTGGAACCGAGAGGATAGTATAGACTAAGCTGGGCCCCGTCTCGCAAAGGGAGCCGGGAACCAGCTTAAGTATAGGCTACATATGCAATAATTTTATTCATAATGTATACATTATATGCCGTTTATTCAATAGACACACATCAATTCACACCATGCACATTAAACCATGTCTCAAACACATCAACACAACATCGTAAAATTCTTCCTTCCTGTTTAACATACCCTTTGACAAGAGGTGTTAGACTGTTTTCCTGAAATAACGACCGCTTCCATTGTGTAGAATCTCTGTGTTGTGGATTATTTTTCTATATATATTTTCTACTATATTTTCGTAATTTAACTTCAAGAGAATACAGTTTCATGGCAGTTTTAAGTCGGAATCCGTGGTAATATCAGTATAATTGTAAACTGACAGTTTATTCATAATATCCAAGAGGTACACACTATGAGGGGAGATAAAAAAGTAGGTAGCCTAACTATATTCTCGATGTCCAATATTTGAAAAGCTTCCATTTTATTTTGAAGGATCCATTAGCAAAGCCATATCCAAAATTTCACATATATGGGTAATGTAGTTAACGAGATATAAGTCATCACAACACATTGAGGTTTAAAATATTTCTTAAAAAATGCAGAAAATGAAAAACGATATCTCATTTGATACCTCATGGATAACGGTATGTTCTCAGATAATATCAAATAAACTATATGTTCATATGTTCAGTATAGTAGTGGATGACTTCCCGTCTTAATAAACAGTCAATCAAAGATTTCGATTGCTGGATTTAGTGTGTGTGTGTGTGTGTGCGTGCGTGCGTGCAAAGATGCGCTGCGTGTGTGGGGTGGGGGTGGGGGTATGGGGTGTGATTTCGTATGATAATTCAGCATTAATACTGAACCCTTGGCATCATGTATGGATAAGCGAAAACATTAAAATAAGTTATGTTCTTCAGAAAGAGGGTGAGTAGTGTCTCCAAAACTTTAACAAGCGATTGTAGTTTCAAATTGCTTTTTTATGCACTAATTGCATTTATTGCAGATTTTGCGTTTTTGGGGGTACCAAGATAGAAAGTCAAACAAAATGGGGATCGTGAGGCTGGAACATAGCAAAACCAATTTGCTTCAGGTTGACAGATACTATGCAGAAATATATAACATAAAAACAGCTGCATTGTGTCATTTTCTTGGTGAGGCTACCTACTTTTGGATCGCCCCTCGTATATGAAAGGTAAATAGTTAGCCCTATAATATAGGAGTGTACTTACTGTGTTATCGTCTTTAAAGGGTCACCGATCTCTGACAATTTCTCAGGACTGCTTGAGTGCCCTTGTTATTGTATATGTTCCCGTGCGTACCCTGATGATATCACATAAATCACGACTATTTAACAATCTGTGCGCCAACGGTCAACATCTGATTGTGTAAGATCGCATGTCTTCTACAAAGATGAAATACTGCTTCGTGTTCATGGTCATGGAGTTGTTAGGGGAATGTATTGAACGATAACGAAGTCACTTGTTTAGGAGCGCAAAGTAATGAATTCATCTGTACATTTCTCATCAACTGGCACATCTTGTGTCAGGCTTACAGTCAGTGGGTAAAATGTCTGAAATTTTCACTGCAGCGATTCATTAATCCGCCCTTGGGGCAAAATGTCCCACAGTTACAAGTAAGTGAATGAGTGAGTTTAGTTTTATGCCGCACTCAGCAATATTCCAGCTATATGGCGGCGGTCTGTAAATAATCGAGTCTGGACCAGACAATCCAGTGATCAACAGCATGAGCATCGATCTGCGCAATTGGGAACCGATGACATGTGTCAACCAAGTCAGCGAAACTGACCACCCGATCCCGTTAGTCGCCTCTTACGACAAGATAGTCGCCTTTTTATGGCAAGCACATGGGTTGCTGAAGACCTATTCTACCCCGGATCTTCACGGGTCCCCACAGTTACAAGAACACCCGAGGTCTCACAAAGGTCGTCACAGATAACAGAACTCAGGTTGATACGAACGACTCTAACCAATCCACCCAAGCACATTTAGTCAAATGGTTGAATGATTAACCTTCCTTGTACGGTAGCTCAACAAGGACCAACTGCTTTGGGTTTTTTTCGTTTTCTTTATCAGTTTTATAAGGAATTTCTTATACAGGTTGATTGCTGAAAGTAGTATGTTACTTACAATATTGGACCATTTACGGTTGAGTCGATCTTGTTTCCATTTTAACCGGTACACAGCGAAGAAAGACTAAATTCTATCGCTAAAAACCTCTTTCACATATTCGTTTATTTTTAGAAGGGAAAAATATACCTTTAGTTGAAAGGTATTTGCAAGTAATAGTGATGGTTTTATAACTTTATAAAAATTGTTAGGGTGTATTTGAGGTGTGTGAAAAAATGTGACATATCGCCGATCTGTTCTGATCCGTCATTGAAATACTACAGGGCAATGTTTGAGTGTTTCTAGTTATTGTTCTAAGAACTTCTTTCACATACACCTTTAATTTTTACGAGGGGAACATACCATCAAGTGAAAGGTGTTTGCAAGTAATAGTGATAGTTTTATAATTTCTTAAAAATTGTAAGGGTGTAATTGATGTGTGTGAAAAATATGACATATCGCCGATCTGATATGATCCGCCATTGAAATACTACACAGCGATGTTTGAGTATTTTTAGTTATTGTTTTAAAAGCTTCTTTCACATACACCTTTAATTTTTATAAGGGGAATATACCATCAGGTGAAAGGTGTTTGCGAGTAATAGTGATAGGTTATTAATTTAAGAAAAAAATTTAGGGTGTATTTGTTGTGTGTGAAAAATATGACATATCGCTGACCTGTTCTGATCCGCCATTGACGCTTGTAATGTTTGAGCGTTATAGTTCTAAAACTTCTTTCTTTCTTGTTGATTTTAGTATTTGACAAAACTGGAAAAGTGTTTACAACGTTTGTGATAGTTTTAAACTTTCTTTTTTTGAGGGTGTGTGACAGTGTCAGTTAACATTTTGTCAATGTCCATGCCATTCCACACATGCAATAAGATATCTGAATTAATTACTAATGTAAAAATGTCTCAAAATTGATTTTTTTTGCGTTCTTAAAAGGACAGCTGATGTTAGCACAAGTGTTCTAGCGATAGTTTTGCGTTCTTTAATATGTTTGGGGAGGGATGGCCATGGTGTATCATTTATTCTTTCATTCATTCTTTCATTCACTACATATGTATTTCTTTTTCTTTTCTTTATTTCCTTCATTCACATATAATTCTTGCTCTTAATTCTTGCTATAATTCATTTATTCATTCATTCATTGTAAAATACCGACTGATACAATAAACTGGCTGAGGTACTGTTAAACGCAGCCTAAGTTGCGCTGGGAACGAACCAAGTCACTGTGTGCGTTGGAGCATGACGAGGCACACGCTAATTTAGTACAAATGGTAAATAAAGCAAGCGAGTGACCTATCCCTGTTGTAGATTATCCCTGCTGTAACCCACCAAAGACAACCATAATACATGCAAAGAACATCCTTGAACTGATAGTACTTGTCATTATATTGAGTTATAAGTGTTTAAAGTGTTTTTGACTGAAAAGGTATTCTCAGTCGATAGATATTCATTTGGAACTGTGATCGAACAGTGACAAACCCTTGATGCCCACTGGCCCTTTAAATCGGAACTATCGTACGATTAACCAACATCTGGATTATATAGGAAATTATCACGCTTTAAGCACCCTCCGGTAAAAATCGATGGACAGAACCGGAACAGAACGTGCGTGTTTAGCTATTATATGTCGCTAAGAAAATAGGCCATGGGGAGGTAATCTATCGAAGGGGAAGGTCAAAATCCGGAATCACAGCTAAGTCTTTACGTCCAGTCAATACAGTTCCTGTTTTAATGCAACCATAAACGTACGGATGGTGTCGTGCTTGCCACGAGGTATACCACAATTACATGGCAGTGGACACTTATATTCATACTTTGGCCAAATGCGTAATTGTGTCATGAAGTAATCTTTTGCACGAAATTATTGGTACGAGAGAGCTGAATGAATGATTGATGCTGATAGTCAATATTAGAAGTTAAATAAGTACAAAGTAATATTTGTCCAACGTGTCCTGGATTAAGGTCCGTAATCTGAGGGAGACAACTAAGACTGTAATTGGTTAATCATTGACACGTAATCAACTGTGGTGCGAAGGAGGACAAATGGCTTTCAACAGAACCGGCACCTGGCTACAGTTGTTCCACTGGGGTCCCATTTTGGCACTGTCAGTTATATTCACTATTGCTGGAGTTGCACTGAACTGTACGTTGATGTGGTGGCCAATAACGACGGTTGGAGGTGCTATCAATGTCGTTGTGTTCTTGATTTGGGTGTTTCTAACACTTTACAACTACCTCAATGCAGCCTGGAAGGGACCTGGATTTGTGCCTCTTAGCTGGTCTCCGGTAAGCCAAACTGGTACCAGGAATATGTAATCAATCCCCAAACCTAAAGCTAATGTTTCATTGTAACATGCAGTATGCAAGGTTTGAACTATCATCAACTCTGAAGAAATGGAGATTGCCTTATCAATGCTTATATATTTTATAATCTTTTACTCCCTCAGACAAAGTCTGTTTGAGCCATTGTCATGGGTCTTCATAGATTAGCAATTTGTCTTTTACCACTGCACTGTTTTGCTAAATAAGGTTATATCAACATAAATATAATTATTTTTTATGAAAGCCCGGATGTTAACTGTTATTCTATTTGCGATTAAGTAATAATACACACCATAAAGACCCCTGTTATTTCCAATGTGCCTATGCCACAAGGGAGCAGTTCCAAATGATCCCAAATGAAATTCTATTAACAACAAGTGCAGTTATAATTTTCTTTGGTATTTTCAGGAGAACAAGAATGATGCCAACTTCTTACAGTATTGTGATTTCTGTGAGGGTTTCAAGGCCCCTCGATCTCATCACTGCAGGAAGTGCAATAGGTAACACTGTTTGTCATCAGATTTTAAGATCACATGAAAATGAAATTCAAGGTATCAATGCTACCAGGTAATTTAGCCAACACAAAATAAGTTAATGTCCACTCAATTCTTTGATGTTACTAAAGTTAATCTGTTTATCCATAATCCAAGAGTTTGAAGTCTGATTTTCAGTATACACACCATGGCACTATGTTTGGGGGGAGTCACCTTGTCCTGTCCCCCCATGTTCGAACTTGCACAAATCGTTTTACCACTATTTGTTTCAGATGTGTGATGAAGATGGATCACCACTGTCCATGGATCAATACTTGCTGTGGTCATTTTAACCACTGCAACTTTGTGTGGTTTCTGTTCTTTGCACCGTGTGGATGTGTCCATGCAGTCATTATACTTATACCATCTATATACAGAGCTTTAAATTATGTAAGTTAACAAGGTTAGGGCAGCCTTTGAAATCCACACTAATCACCTGGCCCTTGACTACTAAATTGTGCTAAGGACAAGTAGTAATCAGTGTTCAATTATGCTTCAAATTGGATATGAATATAACAGACAAAAATGTTAAAATAGTGTACCTTTTTGTCTTGTTCAAGTAGGACTAGGTACAACCTCTGAGGACTAAGTGGAATAAGGTTTCATTTGTCCTCATATTTCCATGGCAGAGGAATGTCCAACATGTTGAAGATTTGCAAGACTACTCATTAATTCACATAAATATTGTCTGTGATGTACTTGTGGGGAGATATATTGTAACAGGTGTACAAGATCAGAAAGTACAATTACATGTTCACTTTGTTTAGAGCTATAAGTAATTTCTCATTAATCATAATTTTTAGACCAATGTCAGCAAATGCTGCAAATGTATCGTGTTGCTTGTGTTTTTCAGAGTTACTATTACTACTATGGGAAAGATGAACCTTTGATACATCTGTCTGTTGTGGCTTTTATTCTCACAATGTTTGGAGTTGGACTAGCTATAGGTGTCGTCATTGCAGTAGGAATGCTGTTTTATGTACAGGTGAGAAAACACCAGAAAGGGAAAGCATTTGTTTTTGTATAAGTTCAGTGTTTTTATACATGTTAAGCATGCTCAACATTCAGTATGTTTGAACACTGTCTGACTTTGAATCAAACACTTCTAATTCTACAAACATGAACAGCTTTTGTCTACTTGTTTTTCAGATGAAAAGCATATGGAGAAATGAGACTGGTATTGAATCCTGGATTATAGATAAGGTACTGACTGTTTTAAAATGCATGTTTTTCTTATATTCTCAAGATGAGGCCAGTATGTAATCTTGGATCTGTGAGTAGGAATAAAATATTATTTAAAGTACTTTCCAGATTTCTGTGATGTTATGGAAAGACGATTCTGTAACCTCCATGATAGTTATCCCTGTCTTGTTGTCTCCTTCTTTAATGTCTTCTTGTGATCATTTCTCCTAAATCAACACATCTGTTTTCATTTGATGTGATAAAATAGTACTTTGCCACTTTTCAAGAATGAAAGATGGTTTCACTAATTCATGTTATTAAGTATGGTTGAAATACAACAACAGATGTAAGGCACATGGTTTCTTATTATGAAAAATGCTATGTACGTAGTGTTTCTGACATACTTGCATGTTTCCCATGTCAGGCTGAAGATCGAGAGCGTGATGAGGATGAGGGCGAGGACTTCATATATCCGTATGATCTTGGGGGTAGGGGAAACCTCAAACAGGTGTTCACATTCACTGGCAAGCCAGTCTCTGATGGAATAACGTGGGATGTGGTGGAGGGATGTGACCAGTACACTCTCACTGTAAGTGCTCAGGACACTGTCATTTAACTTCTAAATACATTATTACTGTAAGTACACTGTACACTCTCCCTGTAAGTACACTGTACCCTCTCACTGTAAGTGCTCAGTACACCCTCACTGTAAGTACACTGTACACTCACCCTGTAAGTACGACTGCCTCAGTGGTGTAGTGGTTAGAGCGTCCGCCCGGAGAGCGGAAGGTTGCGGGTTAGATCCCCGACCGCGCCATACCAAAAGACGCTAAAATATGGTACTTGTTGGTCCCTGCCTGGCGCTCGGCATTAATGGGTACAACAAGGACTGGTCAGCTCGGAGTCAGTATACTGTGTCTCAGTGGGGTATTCATGCTTCACTGCGGCATGGTATCTCAGTGGGCTAGCACTATAAAAACCAGCTTAAGTCTGGGCTAGTACAAGCAGCCGCACATACACATACATACGCGTGCACATCATCATATGAGCGAAATATTCTCAAGCACGACGTAAAACCCAATTTCAACTCACCACCTCACCCTGTAAGTACACTGTACACTCTCATTGTAAGTGCTCAGTACGGTCTCACTGTAAGTACACTGTACACTCTCCCTGTAAGTACACTGTACACTCTTCCTGTAAGTGCTCAGTACACTTTCACTGTAAGTATGTGTACACTCTTCCTGTAAGTGCACTCTCAGTAAGTACACTCTCTCTGTAAGTACACTGTATACTGTAAGTGCTACAGTGCTCTCTCTCTGTCACACTGTTCCTGTAACCTCTGATTCACCTGTAAGTACACTGTACACTCTCCTGTAAGTACACACACTCTGTAAGTACACTGTACACTCTCACTGTAAGTACACTTTACACACTCTCTGTAAGTACACTGTACACTCACTGTAAGTACACTTTACTCAGTAAGTGCTCAGTACACTCTCACTGTAAAGTGCACTGTAAGTCTCACTGTAAGTGCTCATTACACTCTCTGTAAGTACACTGTACACTGTACACTCTCACTGTAAGTGCTCTGTACACTCTCACTGTAAGTACACTGTACACCTCACTCTCACTGTAAGTGCTCAGTACACTCTCACTGTAAGTGCTCACTCTCACTGTAGTACACTCTCACTGTAAGTACTCAGTACACTCTCACTGTAAGTATGTGTACACTCTCTCTGTAAGTATACTGTACACTCTCACTGTCAGTACACTCTCACTGTAAGTACACTGTACTCTCTCTCACTGTAAGTACACTGTACACTCTCACTGTACACTCTCACTGTAAGTGCTCAGTACACTGTACACTCTCACTGTAAGTACACTGTACACTCTTCCTGTAAGTGCACTGTACACTCTCACTGTAAGTGCACTCTACACTCACTGTAAGTAGCTACACACTCTCACTGTAAGTACACAGTACACTCTCCTGTAAGTACACTCTCTGTAAGTACACACTCTCACTGTAAGTACGCTGTACACTCTCCCTGTAAGTACACTGTACACTCTTCCTGTAAGTGCTCAGTACACTCTATCTGTAAGTACACTATATACTATCACTGTAAGTGCTCAGTAACTCTTCCTGTAAGTACACTGTACACACACTCTGTAAGTACACTGTACACTCTCACTGTAAGTACTCTGTACACTCTCACTGTAAGTGCTCAGTACACTCTCACTGTAAGTACACTGTACACTCTCACTGTAAGTGCTCAGTACACTCTCACTGTAAGTACACTGTACACTCTCACTGTAAGTGCTCAGTACACTCTCTCTGTAAGTGCTCAGTACACTCTCACTGTAAGTACTCAGTACACTCTCACTGTAAGTACACTGTACACTCTCACTGTAAGTGCTCAGTACACTCTCACTGTAAGTATGCTGTACACTCTCCCTGTAAGTACACTGTACACTCTCACTGTAAGTACTCTGTACACTCTCACTGTAAGTACACTGTACACTCTCACTGTAAGTACTGTACACTCTCACTGTAAGTAAGTATGCTGTACACTCTCTTTTCTGTAAGTACACTGTACACTCTCTCTGTAAGTACACTGTACACTCTCACTGTAAGTACACTGTACACTCTCTACTGTAAGTGCTCAGTACACTCTCACTGTAAGTACACTGTACACTCTCACTGTAAGTACACTGTACACTCTCCTGTAAGTACACTGTACACTCTCACTGTAAGTGCTCAGTACACTCTCACTGTAAGTATGCTGTACACTCTTCACTGTAAGTACACTGTACACTCTTCCTATAAGTGCTCAGTACACTCTCACTGTAAGTGTGCTGTACACTCTCACTGTAAGTACACTGTACACTCTCACTGTAAGTACACTGTACACTCTCACTCATGTAAGTGCACACTCTCACTGTAAGTACACTGTACACTCTATCTGTAAGTACACTATATACTATCACTGTAAGTGCTCAGTAACTCTTCCTGTAAGTACACTGTACACACACTCTGTAAGTACACTGTACACTCTCACTGTAAGTACACTGTACACTCTCACTGTAAGTACACTGTACACTCTCACTGTAAGTGCTCAGTACACTCTCACTGTAAGTACACTGTACACTCTCACTGTAAGTACACTGTACACTCTCACTGTAAGTGCTCAGTACACTCTCACTGTAAGTACACTGTACACTCTCACTGTAAGTGCTCAGTACACTCTCACTGTAAGTACACTGTACACTCTCACTGTAAGTACTGTACACTCACTGTAAGTGCTCAGTACACTCTCACTGTAAGTACACTGTACACTCTCACTGTAAGTGCTCAGTACACTCTCACTGTAAGTACACTGTACACTCTCACTGTAAGTACACTGTACACTCTCACTGTAAGTGCTCAGTACACTCTCACTGTAAGTACACTGTACACTCTCACTGTAAGTGCTCAGTACACTTTCACTGTAAGTACACTGTACACTCTCACTGTAAGTACACTGTACACTCACTGTAAGTGCTCAGTACACTCTTACTGTAAGTGCTCATTGCACTTTCACTGAGTGAGAGTCAATATTAGTGTAGGTGCTTATACACTGTTCAAGTGTTCAAATACTTTCATTGTAAGTGCTCTGTACACATGTTGGCTCTGCTTAACAGGAGCTGCAGCTAAGGTTGTTGATAGAGTGAGAAGTGATGAACTAAAATATCCTTTTTGTCATGAATGAAAGAATGGCTATTTAGCATGATCTTGTCAATGTCAGCTGCTATATAACTGTATTTCATCTTGCAGGTTGAGCAAATTAAACAAAAAGCTCAGAAGCGAGAGCGCACTCTGCTGTATGTGATAACAGAGCCCTACTCTGGGGCCATGTTTCCTATCACTAAAGGATGTCGTGTTCTCTGCTTCGTGCCGTGTACTGATGAACCTCGAATCTCCGTCCTGGAAAACGACCGAGTGATGGTCACACGGTGGAAAAAGTAAGTCATCAGTTGTAAATATGGAATGTTTCATATCCTGTTATCATGGATACTGTAGAAGCCTGAGGGTGCCTCAAGTGAGAGTAGGTAGGCCCTAAGTACATGTACTTATGATTGTCAAGGAGCTCAACGAAATAGACATCATTCTGTTTGAGCAAAGTCTGACTGTGTGTCATTGAACCTGTGGTTTGAAATTAAGGATTCTGACGTGATATGAACATTAGGCAGTTTGAAATGACATATTGATTGAATAGATTTAAAAAAATAAAGTCTTCCTTGTAATAGTTTTTATCATATTTTTGTATTTACACATATGACCTGTAGTTGTCCGTCCGTACGTCCTGATTCTTGTCAACGCGATATCTCATGAACTGTTGTACCCAATGTCTTCAAATTTGGTGACAGCCTACATTGGGGGATTACGCAGACACCAGTTGATTTGGGTGACCTTGACCTTATTTTCAAGGTCACCACAACACTTTGACCACTTTTCAAACTCTTGTTAACGCGCTATATCATGAACTGCTGTACCCAATGTCTTCAAATTTGGTGACAGCCTACATTAGGGGATTACCCAGACACCAGTCGATTTGGGTGACCATGACCTTATTTTCGAGGTCACCACGACACTTTGACCACTTTTCAAACTCTTGTTAATGTGATATCTCATGAACTGTTGTATCCAATGTCTTCAAATTTGGTGACAGCCTACATTGGGGGATTACACAGACACCAGTCGATTTGGGTGACCTTGACCTTATTTTTGAGGTCACCATGACATTTTGACCACTTTTCAACTCTTGTTAATGTGATATCTCATGGACTGTTGTACCCAATGTCTTCAAATTTGGTGACAGCCTACATTGGGGGATTATGCAGACACCAGTCGATTTGGGTGACCTTGACCTTATTTTCAAGGTCACCACGACACTTTGACCACTTTTCAAACTCTTGTTAACGCGATATCTCATGGACTGTAGTACCCATGTCTTCAAATTTGGTGATAGCCTACATTTGGGGATTACACAGACACCAGTTGATTTGGGTGACCTTGACCTTACCTTCAAGGTCACCACGACACTTTGACCGCTTTTCAAACTTATTTAAACGCGATATCTCATAAAACATTGCACCCAATGTTTTTAATTATGTTGACAGCCTACATTGGGTGATTATGCAGACACCAGTCATTTCAGGCATCTTTTATGTGACCAAAAATTAAAAAGTAGTAAATATAGATATTCCATTCTTTAGCGGTGGGGGACATTGCCATATCAGTGGCAGACACTTGTTGTATATTACATTGGCATTAACCTCTTTATGATAACTGGTTCAACATCGTCTAAATAAACAACCTCTTCACAATTTCCTGGTCAGAATTTAGAGTTGTTTTGATGATGAGTATTGTTATGGTTTCACAACGTGAGTTTTGCAATTGGTAGACCCTAAATATTTTGTACAGAATATATTTCTTTCTGGTCACAACACCGTTATCATTCGCAGGCACTGGCTGTACGGGACAAAGGTGCTGGAAAATGGGGGCAAGAATAAAGTGGGTAAGTTGCTTTTATCCTTGGAATATCAACATGATCAAGTTATGTTGCAACACGTCCTGTATAACATGATCTTAGTGAATGTCATATCACATAGATGTCGTCTATTGAACTTCTATAGTAATCACTGACAAAAGACGGCCATCAGCCCAAAGAGTAGATTAGTCAGGCATTTCAGATACAAGATTAAGAGCCAGTTTACTCTTTGATTCATTTCAGATGCATTTAATGCTTTACATGAAGATAGGTAGTTGTTTCACAATGTGTACCTTTGTAGTTGTCAACTGCATTTACATGTGTTTCATTGTTGGACTGGTACACTCAGCAACTACGGGGCTGTCTAAAACAAGCGATTCTGACCTTGTACTAATCATTGGATCTTGTGATGCCATTCAGTGAGATGTTGACATGTATGTTCTGTTTCTTTTGCAGCCTCCAAGAGAGTTCGAGGATGGTTTCCACGACGAGGTGCAAAGGAACTCATAGACAATAATATGAATGACAAGAAAGCAGTATGAACAAGAACTGGTGTTAGCAAGTAGATGTAAACACTGGAATCAGAATGCCTTAAAGCACAACCGTATTGGAGATATCTGGTTTCCCCTATGCTGTAAGCCAAATAACATAGAATATATAGATGCAAGTGTATTGCCACAAGAAGGAATCTTCTAGGTTTTACCTCTGATGTTTTGTCGTCTCAGAACCGCATTACTTTATTGTTGAATATGACTGATTCATAAGGCTGTCACTGAGTATGAAATATTGAATGACAATACCATTAAGAGAAATATTATTGTGATTTCACCTTGAAACAAATGAACTAAACATCACCCTGATATGTAAAGTCAGATAAAACCAGGAAATGTGATAAACAAGGATGACAGCTTATCTTGTGAATAATAATTGACAATTTAAACAATTCGTTCCTAAAATGTATTGTATACTTTCAAACACTGTCCATGGTATCATTAATCAATGCATCAGTTTATGGTCGTAGCGTTTGGTTGATGTATTGGTGATAAAATTTCAAATGTAAACATTCCTCAGCTGGAAACCCACAATAACACAGCCATTAGTTAATACTTTTGTTGTGTTTATAAGATATATAGTTTGTTAGATGGAGTATGTTATATAATACACAGCTGTTGGTTAGTATGGCACCAATGAGAATGCAGCTAACCTTGAGTGACTGAGGAATGACTGGCCTCCATACGGTAGTTTTAGTTGAGATGTATGCAAGATTCAAGTACAGAAGTGTGTCTGTTGTGTGTTGTTCCCTTGCAGGTTCATTATGCTGCAAACCATTTGACTACTTGTGTCCTAGATTGGGGCCATGATATGCCCCTCAACACCTAAAGCAGCTTCACCTTTCACACAGTATGTTATTATTCTATTTCCTTGTATTTAAAGGGAAACAAAACTCCAACCCTCCCTCGCCTAGCTGGTGCCATCTTATTTAACCCACATATAGTTGATCAGATTTGGCTCACCAAAACCTTTCCCTTTGAAACTTCATGTACAGTATGACCAGAAATTATTGAGAATTTTAGGAATATGTTTAATTGAATTTAGTTGTATATGCCCTACACTTGTATGTTCGTTGTCATTCACTTGATGCTCAGTTAATGAGTATTACTTCGTGGTGGCAGCACTCAGATTACATTGACTATGCAACACAACTAGACAGGTGCACCCCCCTCTCAGGGTGTCCAGGATATGTAGCAATCAGTGGGTTGCAGTTTGCATACTGAATCTCCGGCGTATATACATGTATTCATTCTAAGTTTGATTATAAAAGGGTTTGATCTCGTGAATGTATTACATGTTATATAATACATTCACATTTAAAGGATTAATGTATAATCCATCGATTGATTACCTGATCCACAACTAGGTGCCCGTGTAAAAACAAGATGTTTTATTCAAAGGATGAGCCAATAATAGGTTGATTAAAAGATGAAATTATATAAATGTCAATTTGTCTAATAAGAGGGACAAAATGCTTCTGGATATATTCTTACACCTTTATCAGGTGAAGAAAACAAGGAAGCAGAAAAGTACACGTGAAACAACAGTGAATAGTTGACAATGGTGAGGACTGAACAAGGGAGGGCAGTAGTTATAGCAATGAGCACATAGAAGCATGGGGGTGAGGACTGAACAAGGGAAGGCAGTAGTTATAGCAATGAGCACATAGAAGCATGGAGGTGAGGACTGAACAAGGGAAGGCAGTAGTTATAGCAATGAGCACATAGAAGCATGGGGGTGAGGACTGAACAAGGGAAGGCAGTAGTTATAGCAATGAGCACATAGAAGCATGGGGGTTGACTGACTGTACATGGTTTCATAGGTTGACTAACTGTACATGGTTTCATAGGTTGACTGACTGGACATGGTTTCATAGGTTGACAGACTGTACATGGTTTCATAGGTTGACTGACTGTACATGGTTTCATAGGTTGACTAACTGTACATGGTTTCATAGGTTGACTGACTGCACATGGTTTCATAGGTTGACAAACTGTACATGGTTTCACAGGTTGACTGACTACATGGTTTCATAGGTTGACTAACTGTACATGGTTTCATAGGTTGACTGACTGTACATGGTTTCATAGGTTGACAGACTGCATGGTTTCATAGGTTGACTGACTGTACATGGTTTCATAGGTTGACAGACTGCACATGGTTTCATAGGTTGACTAACTGTACATGGTTTCATCGGTTGACAGACTGTACATGGTTTCATCGGTTGACAGACTACATGGTTTCATCGATTGACAGACTGTACATGGTTTCATCGGTTGACAGACTGTATATGGTTTCATAGGTTGACTGACTACATGGTTTCATCGGTTGACAGACTGTACATGGTTTCATCGGTTGACAGACTGCACATGGTTTCATCGGTTGACAGACTGTACATGGTTTCATAGGTTGATTGACTACATGGTTTCATCGGTTGACAGACTACATGGTTTCATCGGTTGACAGACTGTGCATGGTTTCATAGGTTGACTGACTACATGGTTTCATAGGTTGACAGACTGTACATGGTTTCATAGGTTGACTGACTGCACATGGTTTCATAGGTTGACTGACTGCACATGGTTTCATCGGTTGACAGACTGCACATGGTTTCATCGGTTGACTGACTGCACATGGGTTCATAGGTTGAGAGACTGTACATGGTTTCATAGGTTGACTGCACATGGTTTCATAGGTTGACTGACTGTACATGGTTTCATAGGTTGACTGCACATGGTTGTCTAAATAGATGGATTGTTTTTAAAGAACCTTGGATATGATGAACAAAGATATCACATGTGCTGTCTTAGCTGACCAATGAGACATGACACTGTTGTGAAACACCTGAAACAAGGGAGACAAATACACATTGTAATATTCCAATTTGATTTTTGGAGATTTATTTCCGTTTTAAATTATTCTGGTCATTTTAATATTTTCAGGATCCATCTCTCCATTAATGATTGTGTTTAGTACTGGCTGATTGTCCTAATGCTCTTATGGATCATTCTCTGTTCAGTTAGAAACACATATCAGTTTATTGGGGTCAATAGTTAGTGAGAGATAAATTAAATTATATTTCTGTGTTGTCATCAAAAAGGTTGGTGTTAGTTTCAGTTTAAACATTTCAATCAGAATAGGAGCCAGCATATTTATTAAAAAACCGTATCCAATGGTTCCACTGAAACAAGATGGCTTCTTGTCTTAAATTATTGCACAGTTTGTAGAAGCTACCTCAATCTTTGATTATTCGGTGTATTAAGTTTCCATTCTGTTACGATAAATACCAGGGACCCAATCACCATTATAGGTTTCTACCAAGTGATGTCACGATATCCAATGCATATGGTTGGTATGTCAAGGAGGGGCAGGTGAACAATAACATGTATTGTACATGATGGTTTTATGTTTGTTTTAGTCATATGAAGATCCATAGGATTATTATCATTTATAATGCTATTTCAAAAGCCTTGTCATTGTGATTTGATTATTTCTGAATGTTATCCTATATTTAAGTCAGTGATCATTAAAATCTAAGAGTTGTAGCAAGTGCCCAGAGAGTTTTCATCATAATAGCTGTGAGTATGATTAATATACATATTCAGGCATGTTAAGTACATGACATAACAATCAAAGTATTCATGACATTATTTGAAACTATGGGAGATTTGTCAGCAGCATCCAGCCTGTCTGTGTGTAATGAATGTGGTGTAAACGGCTTTGAGGCATAATATAAGTGTTTTGTACTTCTATAGGATACTGTTGACCAATCAATAAAGAGCCAAAGTTTGCTATGCTGATGAAATGGGTTATGAATTAATGTCAAATGTTGAATGTTTTCAGAAATGTTTATTACACCATCAGTTTCTTGTAGAATTAGTTTTGTTGTTTATTTTCATAATATTTTAAACATTTTTATTGGTTGATCTGTTCTATTTCCCATGAGATGCAAGAGCTGTGTATCTAATGTGAATTTGGTTTTTTTTCACCAATTTCTCTGCATTTGTTTGTATATCGAACCTGATCAGCAAATAACTGTGTGTACAAATATATAAATTATTTTGATTCAATATTTCTTTTGTTGTTTTGAAGAAATGTATTATAATAATTTTAAGAGTAAAAGTACATTTGTCAATTGCTTTTCTCCATGCAGAGGCACAGAATTTACGAGAGTTAAGTTGAGTTGGTACAGGGTTTTACAATATAACCATTGTGTATTGTAAAACATGACTTGTTTGTAGCTCACATGACACATTGATTCCTGTTTGTGTATGTCATGGTGTCATCCATTGTCCATCCATTGTTCACTTCCAGTTGTTTTACTTCTCCACAGAAACCACATATACACTTTCATGGATATTGTCACAGAATCTAATTTGGTTTTAGTCAGCCAGACTGAAGCTGTCATTTTGGTATTGACCATTTGAGACCATAAGTGTGAGGCGTATCTATGCTATGAAATCCAGAACTGCCTCAGAACTGGACTTCACTTCCACATTTCATCTTAGTTTGTGAAGTTGTATGATCTCAGAAGAAGTTTATTAAAGATGGCTGAAAGAAATTCATATTGTCGTGATTACAGATAACTGCTTGGTATTCTGTTTGGGGTTTAACACATTTGAACACATACTTTTTGTACATAGCTCTACCACTTGTTCAAGTATCAGTGTGTAGTCTGATAGTTTGTTTTAGGGGAACAGGTTAAAACTATTGATGTGTAGAAACATAGTATTTTATTCTTTAATATTTAATCTGAATAAGTTAACTTTTGTAAAGATTTAGACATTCAGGTGAGCTACTGAGCCTGAGGGCTAACAATGTGTTCAGTGGTTACTGTGTAGTGCAGTGGGTAGGAACACGATGGTATTAGGCAGAGTAGATGCATGTTTTTGTATTTTATTCATTATATACGTAGACAATTTGTAGATCTTCATGATTATATGCCCATGGTTATTTGTGACTGTTACAGGCGTGAGTGATATTGCCTTCTGTTTTCATCATTTCACATGCCTTAACAGGGTCTATATTGGTTTGACTGTACTGCTGTTTAGTATATACATGTATCAATCATTGAGTGTTTATTATGTCTGGACATGTCACATTGAATGTTCCCTGCCCACAGTGGTAAACTGCATACCACACTGTGTACATTACATCAACAAATGACAAGTATTAATTTTGTTCTGAAAGTAGCAAAAGGTCAAACTAGTTGTCATGTTTTATTAATGTACCCCTCAACTTTGAAGGGGTTTTCCACTCTGACTGATAATAGTTCTTGAAAGCTACAGATGGTTTGTTTTGCTGCATTCACAAAGTGAATGTAATTGAAGTCTGATTCAGTGATGTTTTTAGGAAGAATTTTCCTTCCCTAAAGGGAGTAAGGGATAGTATAGCAGGTAAAGTGTTTGCTCACCATGTCGATGACCTGGGTTCGACTCCCAACATGGGTACAATGAGTGAAACCCAACTCTGTTGTTCCCTACCGTGATATTGCTAGAATATTGCTAAAAGCAGAATAACATCATACTCACTCACTCTTCCCTGAACCAGGGCCAGTGATAGAAATATGATAAAGACAATATTTTTTCAAGTAATCCCATAAACAAATTGTAAGTTGGTTCAAGTAATGATAGAATAGAAAAAGGGTTTGGTTTTCATGGCAAATTAAAGGGTTTCCACCCTTCCAGAGTTGAACTGTGCTGAACTTATTTCACTTGTTACTTGAAAGAAAAGTACTGTTTTCATATTTCTGGGGTTTTTTCAATTTGCTTTATTTGCTGTTGAATACATGAACTGTACAACAGTATGAGATATCTTGGTACACAAGCTGTTGTGGATTCGAGATACCCATGATCACCTGTTTTCATATTTCTATTCTCATGTGAAACTACATGAAGTACCGGTGTATGCAGGACTGTAGTACAGCTGACACTGAGACACCAACATGCAGTCATTGACCTGCAAACATGATCATTCTGTGGTAGGAGGGAGTTACGACAATCACCCACCTTGGTTCTTGTTGACAAACATCTACACCAATAGTTAGGTTCTGACACGCCTTGATGTCCACTATTGATTGCCCACTATCGATTGTCCACTATTGATGTACTTATAAAAGTTACAAAATACCATTCTTTCATATCATAAATGTTAGTCTCTTATCGAATTACAGATTAATTATAATGATATGAAACAATTGGCTGTTCTTTAACTTCTTGTAAGCTATTGAAATATCATCTAGTATGTTTAAAGCAGCATTACATCCAAGTAATGTTTGCTTCACTATCACAGTGAAACTACAGCGTGTCCGTGTTGATATGATTGCTATTTGGAAGCCTAGAGACATTCTAACAGATGTATTTTCCTCTTATGATGCTATATTGCCAACATCCATCCATTGCGGACCACTGTGAATACAATCGTGCCTATATTTTATCATTGTTATATATTTATTTACAGATGTATATATATATATATATGAACACCGAGTGTATTATATGAGATGATTTATGCCAATATTGAGAGAGTTTGATTGAGTGATTGACTAATTAAACATGAAAGTGTAATTCTCTTTAATCAACAATACCAATTAAGAGTTTAATAATGTATAAAGTTGCTGTTCTGGGCTTGAACGTGTATTAAATACAGAGGAACCAGACAGCTCTCCATCAACATCACAGCAATTTCCCTCTTGCAAAATTAATGTTAGGCCAGACCAATTGTATTTCTTGTTTTATGGATTTTTGTCTTCAGAAAACCTTAAGGCAGAATGTGACAAAAAAATCACCAAAGTAATATTCCTTTTAAATACTAAAAGTATTTTACTTTTGCCAATTTATGAAGTGTGTATAAGGCAAAAACAACAACAATCTAACCCAATTTTGTTTTTGGAAGTTTACATTTTTGGCCAATAAACATTAGGATTTTATTTTTTGAGCGAGGAAAATTAATTTATTTATTTTTATTATTCTTGAAAAGTATGAGCAGCAGATCTGTGAAACAAGAAATAAAATTGGTCTGGCCTTATGATCATACAGAATACAGGGTCAGACCACCTAATGCTGTATGGCTCTGCCCCAACTGTGCACGGAACATTGATGCCATGATGACCATATTGAAAATGTCAGTTTTGCTCAGCCATTTCTACATGTATCATTATGAAATCTGATAGGGAAGAAGTGCATAATATGCAGTATAACATGTAATATGATTTTTTTCTTACCTTCACATACCCTCATATTTCTAGTGTTCTGGTATTTTAGCATCTCTACTAGGCCTATGATGCCAGATATCGTGTCTCTAATCTTAACTTCACAGAATTCTGATCCAATGTTAAACATTATTTTTTTTGTTCATAATGAAGGTGATCTGCAGACTGTTGTGGTCTGTTTTTACTCAAACATAATTCGTAGTCTATTGGTTCACACTGAGGATAATAATATGATTTATGTCACTCTGGGAACATTTATATACCTGTATTCACAAAAATATTCTTCAAAGTATAAAAACTTCCAAGTGCTTTATCCTCATTTCGGCCATATATGTACCCCACACTCATAGTTCAAAACAAGAGGATTTCACTTGTTATGTTTACAGTTTAAAATAAAAGCAATCAAGTTAAAAGGATGTAATCCAGTTTATCCATGGTTTGAGTCATTTACGTTTAGAACAGAGTGCAGATTCTGCCAAACCCTTTTTATGTTGTGAAATTGGACTTGGAGTAAACATTGTTTCAGTGTGGGTCTGCAGCCTTAAAACTTATACAAAGATTTAATTTGCAAGACTAAAGATCAGTTATTATTAAGAACATTTTGTCTGAACACACTTCTAATACTGATGGACGAAATAATTCTTCTGTATGGATAAATGGATAACAATTTGTCTCTTATTGTGGCATATAATTACCTGTAAGGTATAATTCAGAATTATAGGTTTGAAAACTCATTTACGGAGATGTACACAATTTTGAAAATTAACCTGTTTATTTCTAAGTGTTTGTCATCTTTATGACAGCTAACTCTAAAAAACAACAATCTTTCTCAAGCTTAGAATCAGTGAAGGGCCTATGCATACATGTTTCTGTTTGAATGTTGGGAGTTACAATACTGTGTGTCTGTTTGCCAAGAATTAATTAGCCACTAAATTCATGGCACATATGTTCAACTTGCAATGAATACTTTACAAGATATGTCGCATATATTTTTAGTATAGTTTATGAAAAGCTTTATTTTATTACATTTTTGCTTTGATTAAGCTTCTTTTAAATTGTTGATAGTAAATAAAGCCTGAAACCTAACATTTTGAGAAGAGATGCCATTTGTGTATGTATTTTTTCAATATTTCTTGCTGCATAATGTTATTTATGCTGTAGAGGATCTAAATGTTGTGTGTGAATTGTATTTATATGAATTTCATTAAATGATTATCTGTTTTGAAGTAATGTTCATCAGATGAAGAATATTGAATATTGTTTATTTAGAATTGATTTCTATTTATGTCATTTCACTGCAGCGTTATCATCTAGATGCGAATGTTCATGAATGTGTGATTCTTCTGAATAAATGTGTATTTACTCAGTCATTTTTACTTTGTTTTGTAATGCAGCTTCCCACATTTGGAGATGATAAGATAGTTGTATCTGGGGTTTTTAAGGCAAGTTTCAGTACACATGGTCAAAAATGCACATCAACGCGGATTTCATGCAGTCCATGTAGACTACAGTACACATTGTTGAGGGAGTGAATGGAGACATATTTACAGCAGCCGGTAAGACTTCCGCCCGTATCCCCCTAAATTTTAACGATGAGGAAAAATTCCTTTGAGAGGCATTTTCAGAAGTTGGATATGTCTTTCAGTATATTCAGTTACAGTTAAAGAAACATGTTACAACTCATCCTTATCAGATGAGGAATATATACATTCAGGTGATATGATTTGACTAGAATGAAATTTAAGGGGATACGGGCGGATGTCTTTCCCAGCAGCCAATAGTTACATTTTTCAGATATATAGTCATGTTGTCACGAGTTGATAACTCACATATAATCAGAGTTGATCAACAAAATAGTGTTTTGCAAATACGTAAATCATTTTTGGCGATCTCGAAAATGTTAATGTCGATTATTGTTTCTGAAATTCCAAAGTCTATAAATTTAATGATTATCATGCACAACCAATAAATAACTTTCCCGCATGGAGTATGGATTGTTTAGATGAACTTTCGCCACTACTCTCTCAATCGCTGCAAGTATCATGAGATGGTTCGCGAAGTGGGCGTGGCTTTTGTGTCACGTCCTTTGGAGTTGCTTCCCTTGTTCTGCTTCCGGTTTATGTCAACATGGACAAGGATAACGATGTTCTCAGTAAATATCGCGCTGTCACCAACAAGTTGAGAAAGTATGTTTGACAAACAGAGGACAGTTTTAGTCAGCGATTGCGTTTTGAATCAGGGGTCTATGGTTAAGATTTTGGCTGTACGCGGCAGTAAACATTGATACATTTATGATCGGGAATCGATTTTGAAGAAGAGCTTGTATGTTCGTGACATATCACTATAGAGGTCCTTAGCATACATGTATCATCTATGAAATACTTTCTTGCAGGCGGTTTCTCAAGAAACCAAACGTTTCCGAGGGCAGTGAGCAGTTTGGTAAGCATGTATTTTTCTTCCAGTCTACATCATATTTGTTGTTTTGTCTTTTTCTAAAGTCAAATCATTGATAGCACTAGCAGAGCTTGATGTTTGCTCAGTACTTTAGAGGATAAACATGGTAAATGTAGAATATTCGGATTTTGTTTCGCAGCTTTGTCTATTGCAACAGTTGCATAGTTTATTAATGAATAAATCACTTTCTTTTTACATTCTACAAGCCGATTATCAGTCAGACTCATTCATTATCTAAACATACTGGAATCCGATTATCAGCTAACACAAACTTTCCAATCACTGTCGGCAGAGTAGACGGCTTCCGAAATTCTGTATTCAGATTATCTAATGACTAATAAGATGTTCCCAATAATTAGGATTTTTTTACGTTTTTTACGTTATAACAGAGACCATATGGTCTCTGGTTATAAGTTTGATAAGCAACAAGGTGTTTCACGAAAATCAGAAATGCTTGTGCTACAAAGAGGATTTTCATTGACTATGTACAGAAAGGTTGATGTTAATGCATTTGTATGTATTCAAATGTTTCTGTGTTTAAATTTGATTGGCATCAAGTTGAAGTTGAACTTCAGTGAAGAAAGTGATATTTTGACATTTTGGTAATCAGTCAGGTTATGACTATTTGATGTTTGCTAAGCTACAGCAGATGATTTTGGGGCAAGGCTTTTAGATAGCTATTTTTAGTTCAGTCCCTGCACAGTGGTTTTGTCAAAATGGTAAAAACCATATGAGTCAGCTTGGTAGTGTTTAGTACAATATGTGATGGGCATTATAAGATGTAATATTGGTCTATACATATGGACATTTCTGAATGTAAAACCTATGTAGTGTTTAATATGTTAGCCCAACAAAGTGCAATTTGAATGACAAATTAATCTTGTTCTCCTCCTGGTTAACTTGTACAAGTATTCTGATCAGAGATATTAACTAATATCAAAACTTGCTATATTTCTTAGGGTGTCAAGGACCTCATGTTGACAGTGTCTTACCAGTAGCTCGTACTCATATTGATATAATCATATTGGATGTTTACATTGCAGCCAGTCTAGCCAAGTCCTTGCAGCAGCAAGAATGTCCTCAGTATGCAGGCTTCTGTTGTTTAGCTCAGGCCAGGTAAGAGGAGTCATGTTATTGGTACTGGACTGTTAAATTATTAGTATTATATACTACCCAAAAGGTGTTCAAGAACACCCCATTTTTCATATAACTATTGCTAATCTGTCATGACCATGGGTGTTCTTTGACTTTGTTTGAGTACAATATATTAAAAATGAGGGGGGTTACATTTGGTTTCAGAGAGAATATGACAAAAATGTTAGTATCCTATTCCTTATACGTTTATGCAGCATTTGCTACATGTATGCATCATGTTTGGAGGGCAACAAAGGAAAATGTAGTATGTTTTCACTTTGTTGTAAATATTGTTACCATGGTTACCTAGATGTGAACACACATTGGCTAATGCCCCTGGAGAGGCCCAGGCTCTCACACAAGCAGCACGGTCCTTCCTGGAAGCCGAACTCTTTAACAGATCACTCAAGTATCCTGGGTTTGAGGAGCATCTCACAGCTGCTATTAACTGCTATGGGCACGCCATCCGGGTAAGAAGATAAACAAACATCTTTGGATATATGTAAGAACATTTTACACCTGCATGATAAAAGTAGGATAACTATACTCTTTTGTAACTGTATATGTTAGGTGTCATTTCTTCCTGGAGAATGACATACTGCTGCCTTTTCTTACTTGGGAATATATATCTGTACTTTTTACTCTCATGTTGCCCCACTAACTGTTTGCAGGTGCACATTGAAAACAAGCAGGTGGCACTGGCAGCATCTCTGTGTCTGGAGCTAGGAAATGTGCTTATGGTAATTTTTTAAAAGTTTTTTAGCAACTGAACTTACTTGTCATTACATTGACAGTAACAAAAAATGTTTTTTGCTACAATTTTCATAGTCTATTGTCTGTAAACCTTAAGAACATAATTCAACATATCATTTGGGTGTGATAATCCTACTGTGAACATGTATTTAGTTTGCTGAACATTGACTGATATGTCTCCTTATCATGTATTTTGCTGATACTATGAATTGTTTACTGCAGAGATTGAACAAGCAGGTAGAAGCCATGGGCCACTTCCAACGAGCAGCTGAGCTGCAATCACAGGTCACTACTTGAACATTACTTCACTTGTACATTACACTTACAGGCAGTAACTCACCACAAGAGGGAGCCTGAGCAGAATTCATCCTTAATATTGTTGTTGTAAGAGCCAATGTTCCAAACATAAAATAATTCATTTTAACAGTATGATTTGGAAAAATATTAATAGACACATTTTTGTCTCATCCAAGTATTTAGTCAAATGGCAAAAGTGGATGTTATTTTACAACTACAGATGTTTACAATTGTTTACAGAGTCCCTTGGACTGTCTGGATGCCTTGGAGATGGTAGCCATTGCCAAGATTGACACAAGTAACATAAACTAATCTGTCTTTATAAAAATGTTCATTATTATTTTATAATTTACTAGAATGAGTCTTTATCTTAGTCTTGAGAGGGACTATTGTATTTGCCTAAATCTAGATGTTCCTCAGACATATATAGTTGTACAACAAAAGCCTTGGTTCTCCACAGAGGACTATGAAGGATCCCTTGCTGTACTCACTGAGATGGCGTACTTGGCTCAAGAGAGGGGAGGTAGGTTACATGTTCTAAACTATACTGTATGTCAACTGGTCTTCAATGACCTGTGCTGGTCAGGCTCGCTGTCTTGGTTGATGCATGTCACTGTATCCCAGTTACGTAGATAGATGCCCATGTCAATCACTGGATTGTCAGCAGCAGACTTGATTATTGACAGATTGTCGTCATATACCTGTAATACTGTGCGATGTTGAACTACCAAACTACCCTAGTGAGAAATGGAAGAGACTGGAAAATCAGCAAGGTTTGGTTAAGTACTTCACTCCCCAATATGCCACATCCTCAAATTACCATTGATCAGTTAATGATTGCCAAGTTTGATTGCTCAAGTTTTGACTAACCTACTCTGATTATGTGAAACCCCAATGTCAAATCTCACTGTCCATGACAAGATGCCACTACAGTGAAACATCATTAGGTTAAAGTCCCACAACACATACAGTACATGGAGCTGACTGTAGCTCCCCACACATACAGTACATGGAGCTGACTGTAGCTCCCCACACATACAGTACATGGAGCTGACTGTAGCTCCCCACACATACAGTACATGGAGCTGACTGTAGCTCCCCACACATACAGTACATGGAGCTGACTGTAGCTCCCCACACATACAGTACATGGAGCTGACTGTAGCTCCCCACACATGCAGTACATGGAGCTGACTGTAGCATGAAGCTGACTGTAGCTCCCCACACATACAGTACATGGAGCTGACTGTAGCTCCCCACACATACAGTACATGGAGCTGACTGTAGCTCCCCACACATACAGTACATGGAAGCTGACTGTAGCTCCCCACACATACAGTACATGGAGCTGACTGTAGCTCCCCACACATACAGAGTAGCTCTGTAGCTCCCACACTGACATGTAGCTGACTGTAGCTCCCCACACATACAGTACATGAAGCTGACTGTAGCTCCCCACACATGGACATACTGACTGTAGCTCCCCCACATACATATGAAGCAGTACATGGAGCTGGACTGTAGCTACACATGTACATGAGCTGAGCTGACTGTAGCTCCCTGTACACATACAGTACATGGAGCTGACTGTAGCTCCCCACACATACAGTACATGAAGCTGACTGTAGCTCCCCACACATACAGTACAGTGTAGCTCCCACATGTACATGAGCTGACTGTAGCTCCCCTACACATGCAGTACATGGAGCTGACTGTAGCTCCCCACATGAAGCAGTACATGGAGCTGACTGTAGCTCCCCACATACAGTACACAGTACATACAGAGTGACTGTAGCTGACTGACTGTAGCTCCCACATACAGTACATGAAGCTGACTGTAGCTCCTCCTGTACACATACAGTACATGGAGCTGACTGTAGCTCCCACACACACACATACAGTACATGAAGCTGTACATGACTGTAGCTCCCCACACATACAGTACATGAAGCTGACTGTAGCTCCCCACACATACAGTACATGGAGCTGACTGTAGCTCCCCACACATACAGTACATGGAGCTGACTGTAGCTCCCCACACATACAGTACATGAAGCTGACTGTAGCTCCCCACACATACAGTACATGGAGCTGACTGTAGCTCCCCACACATACAGTACATGGAGCTGACTGTAGCTCCCGACACATACAGTGCCGATGTACAAGTACAGGTCAACACAAGCTTGGTCTTATACTGAGTTAATGGAGATTACTTTAATATACATTTTGATGTACTTTATTTTTCATCTCGGAGACATACTTGAGCTGACAGTAGATGCCCTGTTGTACACTGTTCTGTTGTTTCAGGGTCCTCTGCTACAGGGAAGCCAATTGGAGCGTATTGTGACATCCTGTCCAGGTGTGAAGTGACTCGGGTTCTGCTTCTCATGCTGCTTCAGGTACTTGCTTTCAGAGACTCTTGTATTCTAATGTGTTCTCTTGCAAGCACCTTGTATCTCTTGTGTAACAGGAAGATATTGATACAGACGCATGAACGCACCCTGCAAGTTATGAAGTTTTCAGATCTGGTTTCCAGGCTCGTTGTGGGTCTGCCGGCTGTGGGATATCTACACACTGTCATAACAGCATAGTAACAATTTCCAGGAATCAGAGCATTCCAGTATGTCTTCATGCTGTCGACTCTACCATGTTCAGTTGACGCCAGGGGAATAATGAAACTAAAGTCAAATTGCACACTATCACAGCAGGCTAAGGGCGGTGGGGTAGCCTAGTGGTTAAAGCATTCGCTCATCACGCCAAAGACCCGGGTTCGATTCCCCACATGGGTACAATGTGTGATGCCCATTTCTGGTGTCCCCCGCTGTGATATTGCTGGAATATTGCTAACAGCGGCGTAAAACCAAACTCATTCACTCACTCACAGCAGGCTAAATGTATTATATAGAAAATTACAAAAAGGAAATTCCTGTAGTATTATCCAATTTCACAATTTTTAAACTTATCCTATCTCACGATTTGCACTTCTCTCTCTTGCTTTGACGCTGAGTGGAACGAATGAGAACTTTTCCTGTAGGCCTCTCTTGTCCATACGCCCGTGTTCCCCAGGCTGCTCTCCTTATAGAACCTGTCCCTAGTCCCCGACTAAGCGTGCAGCACGTTCCCCTGTCTACCCACGTGACTACCTCAGACTGATCATTCTTCTTCTTGTCGCACCACTGTGTGGACGTATTGTGAGAGTTCTCAGCTTTCCTTACAAATTAACATGAGAAATATATATTGGGTACTTGACCCTAAGTAGCGTAATTTTGGACACTGTAACAATATTTACTTCCGTAGATCCCACTCGTCATGTGTGGGTTGTATTAACCTGTGTTCCTGGAGCAAACGTCAGGAATGTGCTCCCTTATCAAGGACGTTTTTAGAGCATATAGACATGCTTGCTCACGTTGGCTGGCAGACAGAGCTCGTTACACTTCAACAGTTGATCACCCGACAAACCCCAATCCACAGTATTAACTGCTTCGTCGTCCGAGATTCCCATGTCGGACGGCTGATTTTATTGCCAGCTGATTCTCAAACTGCTCAGTGTTGCCACGACTCACACAGATCTACATCACAAATCACCGAACCAATTCACCACACCGAATCAGTTCGCCATACCGAATGGATTCACCAGACCGAACCGTTTCGCCACGGCGTAATGTGGATTACGACATCGACTCAATTCGCCATAATATTAAGACTGTTTCTTATCGCCGAAACGGTTCACATCATCGATTCGATTCACAGCACCGAAACGGCTCGCCTCACCGTAACGGCTCTCTTCACCGAAACGATTCACATCGTTGAACCAATTAACCTCGGCCAGAACATTTCACTTGCCTCACTGGTTCATCTGATCGTTCTAGATCTCTCCATCAACTGAGATTATTTAAACGTTTCAGATTACCGAACCTATCCAGATCACAGTCACGATCGAGATCACAACGCCGATCCAGATCACGGACTGATTCAGATCACATCAACGTTCCGGCTCACCACCCTGAACCGATTTACCAGCCCGACTCGTACCGTTTCACCAGGCCGAACCGCTTCCTATCGCCGAACCAGTTCACCTGGCCGTTCAAGATCACTGAATTGTCAGCATTCATCGAACTGTCAGCATTCGTCAATAATCCGTTCCTCGGACCTTGCCAGCAATTGAGTTTATTCACGAATTGGGCGATTCACCACTCGTGTTATTTCCAACACGGCGCATCTTACCAGCCTATCAGAGCCTATGCCAAATGTGTCTGGGATGCCTCCCAAGACACTTAACCCACATCGAACCTCGCTCTTTGTTTTCATGGTTCGGCTATGCCAGTCGCCTATAAGAGGCAGGAATTGTTTTGGTTGATTCGACACACATGATCGCATGGTTCGCCGACCACCTACGGCTACCTAGAGCAAGATACCAGATGTTCTATTGATTACATTCAACATGAAGGATCGGGACTTGTCAACACTGGTTTTCCACATCCTCAACGAGGTTCGTGAACTTGCATCTAGATAGGGCCAAATTTGTCGAACTCTGCTAGTTTTCAACACGATCCTATTTTTCAGGGCATCTGTGAGGCGCTGAATTCCTCATTACGAAGTGGCAAGCTCTAAGCACGACAATTTGATTTGTTTATCCGGTTTACCTTACGGTTTTTGAGGCGCTTAATGTTTTTAGTCACATTACTTATCCCACCTTGTACCCTTTTTTCGGCTGGTTGAACAGAAGTAGTAGCTATGTGCTTCACAATGCCGAATCAATTTACATGTGATGTCAGTAGCGCAGGAGAACCCATCACTAGTAGAGGTACTATGCTAGTCAGATCCGGCCTCCCTTGTTCATTGCTATCTACGGTTGTCACTAGCCTATACAGTGTATCCTGTCAGTTCCTTTTGACTTAGGGTAATCTGTGATCCACCGTCCAACCGTGGGATAAGTGCAAATCGTGAGATAGGATAAGTTTAAAAATTAGAAAATTTGAATATAAATTCTATATTTATATACTTATCCTCACGAGATGGATGCCTACCCAGCCTCCCCTCTACTCAGATTACGACGGTTACGTATAACTGTCATTGGCTCCAAGAAGAGAATGATCACTCTGAGGTAGTCACGTGGGTAGACAGGGGAACGAGCTGCATGCTTAGCCGGGGACTAGGGACCTGTCCTATAAGGAGAGCAGCCTGGGGAACATGGGCGTATGGACAAGAGAGGCCTACAGGAAAAGTTTTCATTCGTTCCACTCAGCGTCGAAACAAGAGAGAGAAGTGCAAATTGTGAGATAGGATAAGTATATAAATATACAATTTATATTAAATTTTCAATACCATGGGAGAGACATTTCAGAGCAATGACTGCATGTTAGGCCAAGCAAATGTGTTTGTACATGTATTGTATATGTTAATTTCAGCCAACACCCCAAAGAATCCGCCCTGAGCATGCTCAGACTTTAGAGAAATATGCATGGGAAACAACAGAAGACAATTTCACAGGTAGGTCACAACTTAGGCTTGTTGACAACCTGGTAACAAGTTGGGTATGTCAACAGCTAGAACAAGGCAAACAACATTTGGCTAAACCACTTACCTGTTCATGTAAACAACGTGGAAGAGAGTTTGTTTACATTTTGCAACTTTACATTACTGTGAAAAATGCCTGAAATGTGAGAGACTGGGAACAGTTTGATGAATTGGCAGTTAACTTCAAACTATCCCAATTCAAAGTTCCCCAATGTGAGCGGATGCAGTTTGGTAGTTTCACAATTCTACAAGAAAATGACAACGTTATACATGTGAAAGCACGCACATGGCGATGGATGGCCCTATCGATATATAAGTTAGTTCTTAGATTCCCATATTGTCCTGTTTGTGTAGATGTATTTTGACTAATTTGCATCGTTATTACCAGAAATTACTAGCCATATCTTCAAATGTAGTAGAAATTGCGCTGAAAATAATACACCATTTTAGTTGCCACCGTCATTGCTTGTTTTATGCATTTTCACGCGCGTCGGAAAAAGAGCGACACTGGTATGCTGTTTAGTACATATCTCACCTAATTTCCTTTAATTGTGTGAAAGGTCTCTCGGGCTTCTATGTCAAAATTTAAGACTCTTTAGACAAAACATAAAGAAATGACTGATTTTTTCCATTTAAATAGTGTCCTGAATATATCAACAATTAGACAGTTTGACTGGGTGTATCTTTTTGTGAAACACAAGGCACCTGTTTGGCATCAATTTAAAGCGTAAATGAAAATAACATTTCACAACACCCGAATATTTTGTTTAGGATAAGAATTTTCTTTGTTTATGATTATGTAGCTATTTCTCTTCATAAGTATTATGCAATGGAAGATGCAAAAGATAGCTTTTATATATGGAACTAAAATCACGTTACTATATATTAGAATATGGATGTAAGATTTGTCCAAATTAAGACATGACATGGTTTATATATTTTTAAACAATTTTCGATATATAAATGCTAGTTAAGAGTTTGATATCCTGTCATCACAATATTTTTAAATCGAATATGAATTGATTATATTACGCGAAAACAATGATAGTGAATCATAAAGCGTTTCCCGACAAAGCGACCTGGCCAATCAATTTTACATCATTGTTTTCTATAAACCTAATATTGACACACAAATTATTACCGAAAAAACAAGACAATTCCTTTAAATATGTGTGCATATACATTTCATACCATATATAAATCATTTTCATTAATATTATCAGTTTTACTTATAAGGTTGAATTAAATCGCCCGTTCATTAACCTGTTCATGTGAAACTGCAATATTAGTCCAAATGCATTGAATATTGTACATCATCGGAACTAACGCGAAATTGCAGTTATGGCTCACGCTTTGATCTTCTAACACTTGTGTAAAAAGGTTTAAAATGGTGTATTGCAATAAATATGTCAATTTCCCATGTAAATATGAAGGATTCAAAACAATCAAAACTTTCAAAGAATAAAACACAGTAAAACCTATCGCGCATCGCATGATATGATATTGAACAAGGCTAAATGTGGATACTGAAGTCAGTTTCATGAAAAGTAGTATCTGAACTATACGCGAAAAATATACACCATAATACTGACAGTGTAATCGGAAGGATTGGGCCATTGTGTTTACTCTTGTTCAACCGACCTTCACCTCAAAGAAATTGCCTAATATGTAGAACAATGTTGACGTATGATTATCACTACGGCTGACCGATTTCTTACAAAATAGACGTTTTGCTGACAAGGGCGTACATTAGGATTTTATTGAGGGACCCTTCCATTGATTCAGGGATCGTTTGTCCATAAATATGACATGTAAGTAATCAGAATGATTCTGACTATCTGTGTATTGTTATATGTTTTATCGTTTTCACTAAAGTAAGAGAAAAAAGACAGAAATCCAGATAATTACCAAGCATCGTTTCATGCGTGATTTTCCTCATCAGTCGTGATGTAAATAATACTGTACCGTGAAACTTTGACAATTTCTTATGAATTATCAAATCATTGCATTGTATCTATTTATAATTTCCTATTTCTTGCTACTGATACTCTTTCCATGCATATTCCAAAGGTATTGAGCCATTGCAAGCAATGAATAGGACGGATGAATGTTGGAAAATTTCAGAAAATGCTACACAGTGTAAAATAGGTTTTGTCTTTAGTTTTTACGTTAAAGATTGACATGTCATGAGTTGAATGCCCATCTATGTGTTCAACAACAATATTGCTATGGATCTGTTTTCTGTATAGATGTTTAACTGACATATTTTCATGATTTCAGTGCAATACCTGGGCGAGGACTTGTTTCTTCTTCTACAGTCGGTTGTGGTAAGTCAGTTGCATTGCAAAAAGCAAGATAATGCTTCACTGGGATTTTGGGAACAGTGGATTCTATGAATTTGGGAGAACCTTGGTGGTGAAATAGCACAATTGTTGTACAGAGTTGTCTCCCTTAGTCTGAGCTCATGGGAATCATCAAGTCCCTGATCTACAACCAACTTCACTTTAGGCTGTCAAATGAAAACAACCTCTCTTGCTTAAGAAATTAAGTAGGTGACATGCAGTTTTTGTGTCAGTACAGGGATGTATGTTTTAGCTTATCTGACTCATATGCAAGTAATCTCTAATCTAACAGGATTTCTTCCTGAAAATGTTATGTACCTAAATAAGTATTACTAATTTACAGATGGCCTGTCAGTCACATGACCTGGGATGCCTTCAGGCCCTCCAGACCGATCTGTGGCCATACCTCAACACGGAGCAGAACCAGATCCTCCATCTTGTCATCCAGGAACTCTCCCATCCGGCTGGGGAAGGTGTTTAGTGTGCCACACCCCCAGTAAATACAGGGCTATCTTGTCACATCCTGTCAAGGAAAGTGATTGTGCCACCCCCTCAGTAAATACAGGGCCATCTTGTCACACTCTGTCAACGAAAGTGATTGTGCCACCCCTCAGTAAGTGCAGGGCCATCTTGTCCCACCCTCTGCCCTCATCACAGGACCTGGTTGTGCAGAGTTGTGTCCCTTCCCAAGAAAATCAACTTCCTTCATGAGATTCATTCACCCAGATTTTCATCTTGTGTCAGCACAGAACTCATGTTTGTTAGTTGCATCTTTATTATATTATTGATGTGAGTGATATGTGAAAAACTGTTCAAAGCAAGTGAATTCCCAGAGAACTTGTTGCTCTACTGAACTGGAAGTGTGTTTACTGTCACTCCAGACATTGTCACATGTTATGTTTACATGCAGTACATTCCAGTTGGCAAATAGGGGTTCAGCCCACTGTTAACAATATTCCAATGGAGGGCACCTAGAATTGTTTCAAACATTGTATATGTTGTACCTTTGTCTACAGTATGGCAAATGAATGCTGAAGCCCCTGGCTACGCTATCACCAGTACCATGGCATGTGTATTGTGGGTCAGTCTGAGTAACAGAGTCATGTTGTTGCATATTTTCTGGGTCCAACAGGTTCACATTGAGAAGGAACAAAGATGATATTTCTACTGTGAAGCATATGGTCAGCTCTTGGTGTATGTTATTGTCAGCTGGTAAGAGTTTGTCTGTGTTGTACTGTGAAGGATGTACACATCTGTCTGATCAGCTGATGATCGTATTGTCAAGTATCATCTGTAATCTACATATTTCTGTGGATGTAGCAGAACAATAAACTGATATTTCTTATTGTGGTCTCCCTTTACTGTTTACTGTGTTCAAGAAGAATATACTAGGTATACCTGCTCATCTGAAGAATATACTAGGTACGCTTGCTCATCTGAAGAAAATACTTGGTACACCTGCTCCTCTGAAGAATATACTAGGTACACCTGCTCCTCTGAAGAATATACTAGGTACACCTGCTCATCTGAAGAATATACTTGGTACACCTGCTCCTCTGAAGAATATACTTTACACCTGGTATACTTGGTACACCTGCTCCTCTGAAGAATATACTTGGTACACCTGCTCCTCTGAAGAATATACTTGGTACACCTGCTCCTCTGAAGAATATACTTGGTACACCTGCTCATCTGAAGAATATACTTGGTACACCTGCTCATCTGAAGAATATACTAGGTACACCTGCTCATCTGAAGAATATACACACCTGCTCATCTGAAGAATATACTTGGTACACCTGCTCATCTGAAGAATATACTTGGTACACCTGCTCATCTGAAGAATATACTTGGTACACCTGCTCCTCTGGAAGAATATACTTGGTACACCTGCTCATCTGAAGAATATACTTGGTACACCTGCTCATCTGAAGAATATACTTGGTACACCTGCTCCTTTGAAGAATATACTCAGCATACACCTGCTCTTATAAAGCAATATGCTGCACCCACACCTGCTCACCTGAAGCAATATACTAGGCACACATCCATGGTATCCTTTGGGCAGACATTTCTTATTTTCCATGTGCTCACTGTTCAGGTGAGCTAACCTTGCAACTATTGTAACTGTAACCGCACGGATACATTTTCATAGACTAACTCATTAGGGCTGATTTTTGTGGAAAAGGGCCATATCTATGGAGCACAATATGGTCACTGACATGACAAAATATCGGGCATCCTTTCCTTAATGGCACTGGAATGTTTTGAATTGTTTATCCTTTCCAAGTCAGTGCCATGATAATCTGCATACTTGTTTGTAGATTACAGAGGTCAGCTCAAAGCTTTAGAGGGTTTTGCAAAACAGGCACAAGGCATATCTATTCTATTGTACTGAGGTCATAAACAATGAATGTTGTAAGGAGGGGATGTTTGAGCAACTTGTATGCACAGACTTTAGGACACAGGGGTAGCCATATTAACGTCATTGCCGCCTACATCACATCATATTCTTCACAGGTATTTCATGTCAGTATGTCATTAATCCATGTATTCAAGGATCCAGTTGTACAAACCATTCATAGCGCTTCTATGATTGTGACTCCCATAATTTAGGCTTATGTCCATTGCAGTACTGCCATCACTTTGTGCCAATGGATCCAGGATCTAGATTTTCGAAGCTCTTAGCGCCAAGATAGTCGTAAGTGCCATACATTAACATTAACTTGGGACTATCTTAGCGCTAAGAGAGCTTCGAAAATCTAGGCCCTGGTTTGTAGCTGATGCATGTACTGTAGTGTCAGTATATCCTAATTCATATATAGAAGGGAAATATTGGCACATAATCTTGGCTCTGTCTCGACAGTAACACTACTAAGTTATATTCATAAGAAACGAAAACCCTCTATATGTGTTTGATGTCTTTTATTTCATTCAATGTGTATCGCAAAGAGAAATATATATAAATGACATAGAGTTATAAGCATTATGACAGTTCAAATGTTGAATAAAATCTTCAATGTGTGTGGAGACCGACTGACCTAGGACAAGTCATGGAAGGTTTAGCCCATTATTACAGGGCATTTAACAGAAATCAGATGTTGCACATGCACTAACTTAAAATTCTTCGTGTTAAATATAGAAAGGTGAAAGATATGGTACATGACTTCCAAATCAAAATGTTACCTGCAATCTGTGACTTGATTAGTCTGATTCCCAAATCAAGTAAAGTTGGTATTAACTAAATATAAGTCCATTTAAAAACTGAAAATGGTCTGAAAGGTTTTTTTCAGGACTGTGTCTTTAAATAGAAGTTTGTCTGATGCACATACAACATTACATAATTGTACTATATAACCATTCTAGCACCTGCCTTTCCATTATTTATCGACCATACTTTGTCCAGTTTGGTCTAAGGCATGACATTACATTGTGACCAGCATTTCCTTTACTACAATGTTTTCCCACTTTCTTTCACACAGAAAAATATGCGCCTTTGTTTGGCAAGAGATACAAGGAGGGAATCATGGAGACATGTTACTCAAACATCCAATATATGAAGGGAGACAAAAGTCAAGCACTCTTTGACAACACCATTCCACTTTGCAAAGACTGCTACAACATGGGCTGAGAAGTTACAGTATGTTAACATAATGATATACATATCCTGTGACCTAAATCCCGACATGGACCATATTTCCAAAACTTGAAATGGTGTGCCTGCTGTATCAGGATATGAATGTACCCCTAACGATCATGTCTCTCACAGAAGATAAGTCTTTACATATGCTGTGCATAGTGCCTGAGTAATCTGAAACAATGTTTAATGTATCCATGCCAACATGTATAATTCAAATGAACACACAGATGTGACCTGTAGAAAAAGAGACTAAAGTAACTTGCTAAAGTACTGTCGGAAATAGAAAAAAACTGTTATTTCACATTTACATCTACAATTTATGTAGATAATATGTGAAAGTGTGAAATATCTGTTAAACTAAGTTCGGCCTAACTACAGTCTCAGTGGTAGGGAGATAGGAAACATAAAAAATGGACTTTACTCAGGATAGATTAGTGCAGAAATGAGCAATGCGGTCTTTTTCTAAGTCCAAATCGACTTATTTGGAACAAACCATGACTTTATGCAAATTAGAGGACGATGATATTGTATTACAAAGGACACTTTTTAAATACCCATGTTGAAATTAGACTTAGCTTCATTATAAACGATAGCTGACGTAAACAAATTATAACTTTAATTGTGAAACTATGAAGGATGTAGCTACTATGGAGTCTCACTATCACTATAAACAGAAACAGGTAGGAGGGGTCATCTCAAAAGCAAAACAAGGATGGGTGTCGCAGACAGTGGTTTGGGGTCGGGCTGGGTATAGAGATATCAGCTAAGAAAAGATGATCCTTCAGGGGAATTAAACTTGGGAAGTAAACGGCATGCCATAACAATTTACAAATAATATCCAGTCCTGTCGATCTTTGGGTGGTCATGCCACCCTTATATTTTGAGACATTTAATACGATGACTGATTACGCTTTTCTATGGGTATCATACTCTTTTACATATCTGAACATAAACTTTATGAAAGAAATACTCGTAAGATGTTAATCAATAGATGCGACATATTCAACACACAAGAAAAGGCATCAAATATTTTTTAGATGCCCCCTTGCGCCTGTAGGCAGCACGTGCATTTCATGCCAGGTGAGTCGATGGTCCGTCGTCACACCTGGCTGAGCGACCTAATTGCCATCTATAGTCTGATCAATTGTTTTCAGCAGCTATTCATATTTTTTCTAAGTTTTGCCCGATTTTACAAGTAAACATGCTTTTCTGGATATCCTATTATGCATCCCACTGAACGCCCAGTTAGGCCGATGTGTGTTATTTCGACATATGCTATTTGCAATTGTGTAAATTTTAGGGATACAGAGTAACAACCTAAAAACAGTTTTTTTCTATTTCCCACAGTACTTTAGTAACCTTGTCTGTGACCAGTAACTCTAATACACATGCAGATCCCAAGTGCAGATTTGATTTGGTCCGAACAATAAAGACCAATGACTTCATCAAGTATCAATCGCTAGGTGGAATACTTTTCATGCCATTCATAAAATCTTAATATTTAAAAAGTTAGAAATTAGGGTGACAATGAGATGTGCATATTTTTCAAGACTGCATGCAGTTTTTATTGAAGCTTTGTAAATTCAAGCACACTCTCCCCTTACATGCCTTTACCTGACAGAATAAGGCTGAAGGAACATTCAAAGAGTTTGTTCGAAAAAAATGAAAATGCAAAATCATTTTTAACTCAAAATGAATAAAAGGCAGTGATTTGGTCAGTAACAACATGACTCAAAATACATTCAAGACCTGCATGATGACATTGTTGTCACTATCATCTCTTGCCTCAACACCCATAGCAACTTCATTTCAGTTTTGTGGCCGTTTTGCCGATTATACACAGTTTGAATATGCAGCTTCGAAGCATGTCAGTATATTACAACATTTGACAATAAAACCAGCTAAATCAGCTTATATGTAAAGTGTTTGTCACATCTGGTATTAAATGCAGCAGATTGGTGTCAAGACTGATGAATATTTCAGAGGAGGAATGTAAGTAAATATTGCACTAGGAATGTTTGGTCAAAGCCAGATATTATGTGTCATAAAACTGGAAAATGCACAAAATAGATAAACATGATAAATAGATGCTACACTTTAAGCTGTCTTTCAGAAACAGCATCTGATAGAAATGTGTTGAACAAACTGGTATCAAGACGTATTATGTAGGGAAAGAATGTAAGTAGTGCTACCCTAAGAGTGTTTGAACAATTTATTTAAGAAATTTGGAAAAAGACATTAAAATCCTTTCAGAATAAACAACTTCTAAATCACGAAAAATTTGTGAAAAAAATGGTGAAATTTGAGTAAATATTCAAAAGAAGTTAAAGAGAAAAGTTTGGAAATTTTAATATAAATTGTATATTTATATACTTATCCTATCTCATGACTTGCACCTCTCTCTTGCATCCTCCCATGATAATGCCAACGCGTCGAGGTCCCAAGCCAACTTCGGCCGATACAGCGGGATTGGTGATACGAACTTTGGAAGTTGGTTGTTGAACCTTGTGGCTAACAGATCTATTTGAGGCCTTGATAATGGGTAGATTATCGACTGAAAGATCTGGGGCAGTAACTTCCACTCTGTCGAGGACGGTCGGTTGGATCGGGACACGGCATCGGCGATCACAGTTTTTACCCCGGGAATGTGTCTGGCTCTAGCTACGATGTTGAGTGAGTCGATGAGATGGAAGAACCTGATCGCCCATTGTAGCAGATCGCCCATTGTAGCAGATTCGCCGAGCCTGTCGAGCCTAGATGATTTATATACCAAACCACTGTCAAATTGTCTGATTGGATCAACAGACTGGTTGATTGAAGGTCTGCTGCTCAATGTGTGATGGCTTGAATTACTGCCTTGAATTCCAGCTCGTTTATATGAAATACCCGTTCGTCGGATGACCACAACCTGGCCACTTGGTGGTCGAGGAAGTGAGCTCCCCAACCCATGAGGGATGCATCGACGAATAGGTGATGATTCGGTGCAAAGGGCATCATAGAGACTCCGGCGCAGACATTCCGTTCATCGAGCCATCATTGAAGGACTGGACGAAGTGGTTCTGGAAGGCAAATCAGTTCCTTGGGGTTGTTGGCCTGAAGGTACGGGCGTAGAAATCGCTGTATCGGACGAAGTTGGAGCTGGCCTCTGTACGTTAAGGTTTGAGCTGACGTCAGAAGTAGCTCCTGCCACTGCCGTAAGGTTCTCGCCTGAGACAGCACTGGAGGAATGCATCGCTTAATCTCTATCCACCTGTCGTGAGGGACGAACATCATCCCCTGATGAGTGTCGAACAGTGCTCCGATGAATTGGAGTCTCTGAATCGGTATTAGTTCCGATTTCGCGATGTTCAACAGCCACCCTAACTGTCTGAGCAGCGTGGTGGTGAACTGTAGCTGGTGAAGCAATACGATCGGATCCTGTTGAGCCTGGATGCAATCGTCTATGTAGCTTTCGAAGGTGATCCCTTGAAAGTGGAGGAAGCTTGTTATGGGCTTGGTAATTCGGGTAAAAAAGCCACGGGGCCGTGGAAATTCCAAATGGTAGGACTTTCCATTGGTAGTGATTCCAGTTGAACACGGAGCAAAGGTACTTCCGGTGTTCTGGATGTATCGGAACGTGAAGATAAGCATCCTGAAGATCTAGGCTGATGAGGAAGTCTCCCTTCTTCAGGATGGTGCGTAAAAGGTTGATCGACACCATACTGAAGTGAGGTGGTGGAAGCAGGAATAGGGCATTGAAGATGCGCCGGAGTTTGTTGGAATTTTTCTTTGGAACCAAGAAGATTGGGGAGTAGAATCCTGGAGTGACGGGTGATGGACCTAGGAGCTCTATCGCGAGTTTGTCTAATAGCGTACCTATTGTGGATTGCAGAGTCTGAAGCTGGTCCACAGGATCTGCTGAAGTACTCAAGGGAAGTTGGAGCTTCTCAACAATCCAAACGAGTACCTGAGGTGTCTCAACTTCTGCAAAGCTACCCCCAGGGGTAGATAACTCAGAGTGAGCGGGAGATGCAGGCATGGCTATTTGGACTTGATCAATCTCAGGAGGTGGACCAGATGAAGAGCCAGGTGCTACCTAAGCCAGATGGGCTGGAGTAGAAAGCTGTATTTGGTCCAGGCTGGAGTAGAAGGCTGTATTTGGTCCAGGCTGAGGTTATGGCCCTGATCATCATATTTCGATCCTGAGTCGCTGTAGGAGTGGGATTGTTATCAGGTTCCCATGACTCAGTGATGATCCTAGAGTCGAAGGATTCTCAGAGCATGTAGGCGGAACATCGTAAGAGACTGTAGGCCTATTAGTGGTATCAGAGCAATGATCACCCGAACATCGAGATCTCGACATGGTAAGTACCGAAGTAGGTTGGTGAGCCGGTGATCTCGATTCCCTAGTATGGCTAGGTGATCCGGTATGATATAAAGAACTAGTCCGGGGCACTGTAGTTCTAGTTGGTGATCTGATTCTGATTGGAGCTCTGGTTTGACCATCTGAATAGGATCGGCCATGAGATGTGGATCTGTACTGTGATCCCGATCGGTCAATGGCTCTGTAAGGTGATCTAGATCGTATAGGTGACCTGGGTTGGTAAGATGATCTGGATTTGTAAAGTGATCTGGATCGATTCGATGCACTAACAGGAAACTGTGATTGTGATCTGTATCTATAAAGTGATCTGGATCGATCAAGTGATCTGGTTTGCAGTTGCGATCTGGCTTGATTTGGTGATCTGGATCGGTCCGGTGATCTGGATCAGTCTGGAGATCTACTTCGATGTTGTGATCTGGATCAGTTAGGCGACCTAGATCAGTCCAGTGATCTGATTCAAAGTTATGATCTGGATCCATTCGGTGACCTGGATCAGTCCGGTGATCTGATTCGAAGTTGTGATCTGGATCCATTCGGTGATCTGGATCGGTCCGATGATCTACTTCGATGTTGTGATCTGGATCGGTTTGGTGATCTGGATTGATCAGGTGATGTGGATCGTAGTTGTGCTCTGGATCGATCTGGTGATCTGGATCGGCATGGTGATCTAGATCGTAGTGGTGATCTAGAATGATGTGGTGATCTGGATCGGCGATTAGGTGACGAAACCTGAAGTGTTGATTCAAGATGAACGTCCCCCAGCAACGCTGTTGTAGCCAGCTCCGTCCGGTTCAATGAACTGTGGGGGGACAGTTGGCTGGTTGAACGCTGTTGGCCAGGCTCCAAACAAACTGAGACAGTCGAGGAGATATGTACCGATGATCTGGATGATGATAGTGTCGATCTAAGGTCCCCTGGTAGTGTAGATGGGACAGGCAATGATGAATTATCGATCACAACCACCCGCGAGTGATCTGACGCTATGGAAGGAGGTGATTGATGCGTACGTAATAGGTGCCGAATGTCCTCAAATAAGTAAGAATCTGATGAAGCGTCCATAAAATCCTCTTGAACCACAGACGTCGCTTCTCTTGCATGAAGGTATGATTTTCTGTCGCTGTAACTTGATACGCTTGGCAGGAGTGGGATCAGATTCTGTTGATTTCCTGTCCCTATCGGCGATTCTCCGGGAGCAAACACAAAGGTAGGCCTTAAAATCCTCATCTTTTCGTGAATTACACTTGCCACATCGTTTGTTCCAGTTACATTGTCCAATACAGTCACTGCAAGACGAGTGAGGGTCGAGGGACGAATAATTCGTCTTGCATTGAGCACAAACTTTCCTTTTCCTTGACTGATTATCCCCATGGTGTTAGGGTGAAATAATGTCCCTAATATACAGCACGTCCACACAGTCGTGCGACAAGAAAGAGAATGATCATTCAAGGTAGTCACGTGGGCAATTAGTGGAGCATGCTGCAAGCTTCATTAGGAACTAGGAAGCTAATTAAGGAGAGCAGCATGGAGTGCATGGGCGAATGGACAAGGAGGCCTATGGAAAAATGTTTACAGTCGTTCCACTAAAAGTCGAAGTGAGAGAGAGAGGTGCAAGTCGTGAGTTAGGATAAGTTTAAAAAAAATTAATTTGTAAAATAGTTGATTAATGTCATGACAGAACAGTCTGACATATACACAATGTACAGTAGGAGTCTACAAATACAATGTGGTACTGATGAATGGTTCCAATACACATCACAGTACCTCGTAATACTTTCACACCTACATATTCTTATGTTTTCTAATGTTTGCCATTTCTTACCTGAAGTAAAACCTGGAGCCCTCAGTACTATGTTACTTCCATTGTTACCTTAGTCAGGGCTGTGGATGATATTGTGAAGGTCCTTCTACTGAATAGCTACTCTTTGGCAATGACATGGTAATGGTACCATATTATCTCATTCACACAATCATGTGACAAGTTTCATAACAATTCTACAATAATGCCTCATTTCCTAAATTATGCAGATACAGAGAGCCAGCATGGGGCTCATCACGGAGCAGGTCCTCCTGATGTACATTTAAACTGTAAGGAATACCGGCATCCCGACTCCACCAACACAGACTGCCAGACAAAGACACGGCTTCTCAAAGACTTTCAGATATCTCCCAGGGGCTTGTAACACCAAAACTGGCATCAAGTTATATGTTGTCACTGGCAGGGTGTTAGTACTATATAAAAGGATGAATTGAACAAGACTCTCTGTAAATATCCCTATAAAACTACACACGCATTTCAAGCCAAGACTTAGCTACAAAATGAGACACAGATCACAAAAATTAAAACCATATTTTGGGAGCTAGAGTCTTTGATAGCTGTAAAAGTCAAGGGGGGGGATTCGATGCTTAAATCCCTGTTCAGAATTGGAACTGAGTGCACTTGTCAGCATGCTAATCCTCATTCATTTCCAGACACTTACACCTAAGTGCTATAATGAGTTTACCCACATTTGTTCATTGCCATCAAGCCCGTGTTATGCCTGTTTGCCATTGATGACCTTGGCCAACCCCACATTGAAAAGTGCTAGCAATTAGATGGGGTATATTTTATTTACAGCTCCTGTGAGTTATCTTACAGTATTTGTGTTGTATGATGCTGAAGTAGGGCTGAGATGCTTGTACAGTCAGTATATGAAGGAGGAAGTGTTATGGCAGTGCTCAAAATCAGCTCCTGAAAGGAGGTTTGAGTAATCAGAAACATAAATGACTAGCGTCTTTGACAGGCATTATTAATCGACAAACTGGCTGTACGACTGGATAGGAAATTATTTATCTTAAAAACATGTAACTGATGTATGCCAGATCATGTGTTCAATTAATATATATCCTTCAGTTATCTGTCTGTATGAGTAGATTCCTGTTACCTGTTCGGGGCGGTGGGGTAGCCTAATGGTTAAAGCGTTGGCTCGTCACGCCGAAGACCCGGGTTCGAGTCCCCACATGGGCACAATGTGTGAAGCCCATTTCTGGTGTCCCCCGCCGTGATGTTGCTGGAATATTGCTAAAAGCGGCGTAAAACCAAACTCAGTCAGACAGTCAGTGTTACCTGTTCAGGGGGGAGATAACTTTGTTCACCATTAGATAAAACTGGCAAAACAGAAATGACTTGTTAAGTCAAAACTTTACTAAATGCCATATAAATAATAAGAAAAGATACATTTCTATTCATTTAGTAATTAGTGAAAATTTCAGATGTGTTACAATGTTATTAAATCATACGATTTCTTCATTTCCCAATGAACACAATTAATCAGAGGAAGCAACAATTTACGAGCTCATCACATACACTGAACATATTTCAGTTTCCATAATTCTAGCTTCAATCTCTTCACATCAGCACCACACACCAAACCACTGAATACCAAATACATCCAGGCCAATAAGACCTGGTCCCCATTCTACAAGGCTGCTAACATCTCATTATGTGAAAGTGTGGTGTTGCAATCACATATCACATTATTGAACAGAGTCAAGGCCCTTAAAGTGTTAATTGTTCTGTACACTATTTAAGATTAAAGCATGTTTATAAACACATAACTTTACAAGTATCTGTTTCAATCTGCTTCATGGCTTACTAGCTCTGTAATCAACTCCAACTAGAAGAGAGTCAAATGTAAAAGTACAGGTACTCCTAAATCACTTTCAACTGAAAACAAGAATTATGTTTGAAATGCAACTCACACATAAATGAATAGATATGTATCAAAGAAAACTTTCAAAAGCTTAAAAATGTAAAAAATATGGAAATCACATACATATATATATATGTCATAATGGTACCTGTTAATAAACCGACTGGAAAAAATTAACAAGTATTGTTTACACAATATACTACAAATCACTCTAACATGTGTAACATAACAATAGCTCTATCTTAAGAACCCAATAATTTGATTAGCAACAGTCACAATCAAACTGTAAAATAAGACCTGCTATTTCTCTACTTATGCCCAATTACATATGTTTTTCAACATTAATTTCTATTGTGTCACTGTAACCTTGGAAAGTTTAATTACCTACATTTATTCTGAAAAGTTACCTCCACAGTTTTAGAGCCAAAAGTCCAATCATTTTATCATGTTATGATAACAGGATAAAGAAAGTTAATTTTCCAACTTCATTAATTACTGTCTTGTTCCCTGAGTTTAACAGTGGCCATATTTCAAATATCACGTTTAGAACTTTTTGGCATGTCATACTGGACCAGTTCATTGGAATTACATAATCTCTGTATTCAATCAAATCTAATCCTTCTTCACTTCACTCCCTTTCTTTTTCATAAAAACATTTCCAATAACCAAAAACAAAACCACCACCACATGTCCAGCAAAGTAGATGGACCACCAATAGTTTAGTGTCGAGTTCAACCGCAGCAGGAGGAAACCCATACACATGTAGTCAAACCCCCTCATCTTGAAGAACCAGCATCCCCAGTCGAACAGCCACAATTGTCGTGGAGACGCTTCTCGGCGGAATGCGTTGGACATAGCTGCCTCTGCCATGAGAATCGGTGGTACCGTCAAGAAGCTGAGGTAATAGCCAGGGTGGATGCCATGCCAGAATGCACTCACGCCCATCGTGATAGACACCCTGAAAGGATTATAATGGAAACAGTAGAATCTATGTGTCAACCTTAAACAACCACACCAACAGTACTGATGCCCACCTGCATCCTCACAGTCCTAGTTGCTACAAGAACACCATAAAAGGTAACAATTTGATATTATAGTTCTCAGAAAAATTGTGAATTTACTATTCTAAAAGCTTGTAATGAATTGTTATCTAATCATGTCAAATCTTTCAGGGTGAATTGTTTACTTACCCTACGATGGACGCAGAAAACAGAATATTTCTAACCCTGCCCAGCACTGTTATTTTGAGAGCTTATGTCACATTATGTAAAAGACACCGGGCACAGATTTTTATCATCAACACTCAGTATTATAACTTTATCATTTGTAAACAGAAGCAACCAAGTGTCATTTGAAGGCAATGCACAGAAAACTAGCTTCACAGGCAGAGAGATTGTGATGTCATTTGATTGTGAAGTGTTATGAGGCAGTTTTATACATTCTGCTACAATGTTTAACCTGTTATCCATTGTACCTGTCAGTGATGAAGGCAATGGTGTTCTATAATTAGACTTGTACTATATACTATATACCTCCTCTCATGCAGAGAATATTATGGAAATTTCTACCATTTTTCTTTTCTTGGGTATATTAGGGGAGTGAGTTATTGCCTCTTATCTCTCATCTAATGTCACAGGAATATCAGTATTATATGTGAGGATCACACCCTGGATACTCTGTGCTTTGCCCTTTCTTCCAAGTTGGATTACTGTTACCATCATTGCCTTTACTCTTTACTGCTATATAATCACTGATCTGGTATTATATTAATTTGTACTACCACAATGTTGTACTGTCAAAGTAATACCTATGTAGTGATTGTAATGATTTATGAACTTAGTTAATTTTAGAATACAATTGTCAATTACATGTCATTGTTGTTATTTGTTACACACCGTGTTGTTATTGGTAACACACCGTGTTGTTATTGGTAACACACCTGGTTACACACCGTGTTGTTATTGGTTACACACCGTGTTGTTATTGGTTACACAACGTGTTCTTTTACAGACTGATGCCGGCATATGTCTTTAATTTATGCATAGTTCTCGTCACGGTGGTGGTGTTGTGTCATGTGCATACAGCTCAGGTTACAAATCAGTTGAAGTTAAGCAACGTTGAGCACAGACAGTCCTTGGATGGGGACTGTGTTTGGCAGCTTGACTCCTGAGAGTTTCTAGGACTTCAGTCCTGCCCCACAATGAAACACATGTGATACATGTGGTCTCACCTTAGTCAAGTGAGTTTGTTCAAAATTGCCTCTGTTCACCCAGCAGAAAAATGGGTACCCGGTGGGATAAATCATGTGACAATAACCTTCTGGCGCCTAACATGAAGCGCGGGTTATCCAGGGTAATAATGTTGTGTTGTTTGTGTGCCTTCTGAGCATGCCCCTTTGTGGTGGGGAGTATTGCGCGGCATCAGCACCCTCGTTCTTATGACTATTACAATATTTTTGTTTCATCATGGGAATCAACATGTAACAGATGTCATGTAATCCATGACATGATGAGGGTCTGTAACATGGCTGTAGTACCTGTAGGCCTTGAGACTGGCCGGGATGCGACGATGGATGTATGTAGCCAACCAGTACTGTACAGTCATGTTCCAGCTGCGAAGACCCTCTCTGGTAGTTGTTGCCAACTCACAACCATAGATGTCAAGATTGTACACAGACTGGAAGTTGTACTCAATAGATTTCTTGTCAGGTTCATTCTGTCTGAAGTCACATAAATACATTTCCATCAAGGAACTTTTAATCTATTTTTTTAAGGAAATGAGATAAGATAATATGTATGAACTCATGACACATGTGCTTTACTCAAGTTTACAACAAAGTCTATACACAAATACAGACAACAATACAACTCCTATGCAAGGTATAAATCATGATTAATATCACATACATGACACATATAACAATGATACATTGGGGTATGCAGTGATATATCATCAATATACATCATTTACACCCGCAGTTGGAATATTCATGGTTTGATTTGGGAAATTATGCCAGACTTTCCTGCATGATAAATATACACATTATCTCTCCTTTAGCTTATTTAGGGCAAAAACATTACACTTACATTTCTTCGAGAGCCTTGAGATCGGTTGGGCCTTGTCCACACTTGGGTTTTGATTTGACTGGGTATGCTCCGAGAGCTGAGGTGATACACATACACTCTGACAGCAGCCATGCGATGTACAGGCGGGTTCGGAAGATGATGAACATCGGCACCATGTAGAACAATCGAAACCAGAAAGGGTGGTCAGAGAACTCATCTGATTCCACATACTGCAAGAAATTCACGACAAAATGAAAAATGGAATGACACGTGGATAAAAGACTGGAAAATGACAATCAATATCTAATACTAATCCATGATTATATTATCTCAAATATGATATCAAATCAATTAAGCTGAATGAGTGAGTGAATATTGTTTTACAGTGCAGTCTGCTATATTCAAAACTTTGTGTCCAGCAAATAATTGAATCCCAGTCAGGCAAATCAGCAAGAAAACTTAGAAAATGCTCTGCATCATCAATGACATACAATCAGTCCTAACTATCTGTGCCCCTTTCCACAAAGTGATCATACAGCTACGATTATCGTAAGTCGATGATGACTTATGGTCTTCTTAGTGCCCAATCAATTTATGGAATGGGTCCTTATCTTCATATTCCAGCTCCAACAAGCACAAGACAAAGAGGTTTCATATGCATGGTTACCGTCACAAAGAAATATCATACCTGGATATTGAAATAGTGAGAGAAGGCCAAGAAGCATGCCAGAATGATGGGAACTGGCTTGACTTTCTTCCAGAACGGTGTATGTGTGGCAATGTTTTCCATATTAGTTTCCTCTAGCCAGTCCTGATATGTCCGATACTTGTAGTACGGTCCTGCAATAGCCAGCCAATAACACGGTCACAAAAACATTAGTGACAGTCCAAAACTGTGAAAACAAGGCTAATAAATAATGCCTTAGATTCATAATTCACCTTATACTTCAGTTTGTATTTGTGATAAAGGTAACATTGACACTTGACATGAAACACTTATTCTATCATCAAAGTGAATCACAACAGACCCATGTCAAAACTACAGTCAAAACATAGTTTGTCATAACTAATACTTATAACATATTTCATGAGTGAGTGAGTTCAACACTTTTCTTAGCAGTATTCCAGTTATATCACAGCATGTCCGCCGAATCTGGCAAAAAGGGCAGAAGTGACGCAAGTCTCAGACCCTTAACTAATTTGAAGAAATCCATGAGCATGACTACGTTGAGAAAAAACACATAAACATGATCAGGGTGAACAGGGTTTTACAACCACAACATAACATCCTGGCCCTCCCAAGGGACACAACTCTACAACGTGAAAGCATTGTCATAGACAAGTGGGCTCACATGCTGTCCAAACAACATAACATGACCTAATATATTAAAACAAATCTTCTTGTATCATGACATGATAAATTGGCCTCCTAAATTACATGTTTGTATCGTCACATGACCACACAATATCAATCACAACGCACCAATACTCCCCAAAAATTCCGAGGGCTATGGGAAATACCAACCTGTCATCATTCCAATGTAGCAGTAGGCATAGGAGAAGATGTCTGAGAAGTCTGGATCGATATGTACATACTTCTTTATAAGTCTCTTTTCCTCCTGTGTGGCATCCTCCTTGAACACAGCCATCCTGCTGTCATGGATTTCAAAGGCCAGCCCAATCATCTGCAACCAAATCTTGATAAGATGATAGGAAGACATTCTTCAACAGTTTCAATGTCTTTACAAGTTTTCAGTTACCCTTAGCTATAACTGTCAGTAAATCTTGGAAGGTCAATGCTTTGTTTTATAGATCACATATACTCTAGGGGGGTACAAATACATAAATCACTAATTGGTATCGTTACAAATGAAACCCTGTCATTAAAAATACTCATTTCGATCTTTAATTAACTTAAATCGACCTTTTTGACAACGGTGCACAAATCTCACCCGCGAACAAAATTTCAATCAATCAGAGCGGGGCGTCTCTGTGACGTCATATGAGGAATAGAAATGAGGGCCGATGCAGAATTCATGTACATTTCAGGGGGTAAATTATCTTGTTTACAGGTTTGTATAAACCTGAAATTGTGACAACTGTTGTGAAAAATGAAAGCTATATGTTCTCACATGTTCTTTCCCTGTCTTTGATATTGACACTAGTACAGTGAGTAAAACTGATTTGTATTGGTTTTTTGGCTGATATTTGATGTCTCACTCAACACTATTCCAGCTACATGAGGGCAGAATGTACAGTAAAGCCCAACCATGTCAACAAGCCTGACCAGTCTATGCGTTAAGTCTTTATTTCAATAAGTGTTGTTGGTGACTATTCTAAGTAACCAAGAGAAGAGAAGAAAATATGATTCTGTGTAATAAAGGCAGATGGATAATAGTTAAAATTGCTAGATCGATCAAGGTTAGACAATCTGTGCTGTAAAGTTGGTTTTGAATGACCTGGGATCGAAATTAGATGACTGTCAAAGACCTGATGATACATACTCTCTCAAACAGCAACAATTTCAATGGGCTTTATGGCTAAAATGTTAAAATGTTGAAAATGTGCAAGATGTCCAAAGTTTAATAAATGGCTTTAAAATTTGGCAAACTGTTTACAAATCAATATAATTGGAATCATAGAGCATGTTTATTGTGTGACACTCTTTTTGTCACCGTGATATCTAAAATAACCAGACAACACTTTACGTTGCAATATGTTTCATATTTCTTTTTCAAATGTAAGTGAGAATGTTAATGAGGTTTATACCACTTTTTACATTATTTCTGCCATACCACCACTGGGTGACACCAGAAATGGACTCAACACATTGTATTCATGGTAACAAATCTTGGGAACAAAGAGTTGACAGCTAAACCATAAAGCTATCATACTATACCCTGTAACACGGAGGATAACTAAAGACAAACCCTCAAAGTCAGGAACAGTTGCACAGCATTACAAAGAGGAGGTGGTGCAGGAATTCCCAGAAGATGAACAGTGCGAAATACTGCCAGATATCCAAAACTCCAAATGAAACATGCAATATGACATTTCCTGAAAAAAAAGAAAGATTATCAAAAATGTCGAGATTTATGAATATTTATTCTAGAAACATAGCAGTTTTCCAAGCACACTTTTGGTGATTTCAGTTAGCACAATGCAAAGGATCAATGTTAGCTTGCTGTTAAGTAAGTTAATGTAACTAATCAACAACTTGCCACTATCACAAAAAGACAGATCTCTTTTACAAAGCAATTGTTTACCTTTATGCAAAGTAGCCATTTTATTTTTTAAACTTCATAAAAATGTCCAAGATATTTTTTATAGATTCAAGCTTCTTCATTCTTTAGCACACAACATTTTGGGACCATTACAGATCCCTTCATCAGGTGAACTGTCGAAATGTTGTGTGGGAAAGAATAAAGAAGCTTAAATCCATAAAAAAATATCTTGGACATCTATATACAACTTCTAAATGCCGCTAAAAGACTTCACAACAATGGAATGGATTTACAACAAATTACAGATAAGATAAGATAAAATAATATTTTATTTAAGTGTCACATGGTATATATTGCTAAACAAGTGTCACACAGATAAAACAGTTAAAAAGTATACCATCCGGCCATATATGGCCTACGAGACACTATCACAGATCAAATCGTACATAACAGTAAAACACATATGCATATGCAGCACTGAAGTATAGTGTATGTTCTAACTCTATGACATCGGCATCATGGCAGCCCTCCCCAAGTTACCACCTCAAATTACATTAGATTAATTGAACACCTAGCACATGCCCCAACTAATCACTTACCCAGAGGATTGTGAATGGATGTTAGATTGGAAAACGGATCCAACAGCTAACAATAAAGTCCCTGGTAACCTACCCTAACACAATTAACGGATCCAACAGCTAACAATAAAGTCCCTGGTAACCTACCCTAACACAATTAACTGATCCAACAATCAAAGATGCTGCAAGATCAGTGAAGCAATGGCAACGGTCAGGAGCCTCTGTGAGCCAATTAGCAGTATAGGCTGTGTCCTCTAAATTCATTGTAACATATGTTATATATGGGATTACACTTTCTAAATGTCATTGTGTAATCACTCTCTAAATTCATTCTTCTCAAAATCATTGCATTTGATAAAATAAACACATGAAATATCTTCGGATAATGGGTTCGATTGGACCTCCTACATTTTCCCACGGCAGGGATATTTGTGTCACACAGACATTTAAGTTCTTGAATAATGGCTTGTGTTTAATAAAGAAGTTGTTATCGACACAAAACTTGTCCTATATTGTACGTTTCAACTTCTAAAATGCCACACAAACAAGGAAAAAGTTAGTTTTTTATACGTTACTGAGATGTTTGATTGGAAAGATAACAACGAATGTTTCTTAAGTGTCCTGAAAACTCATGATACGAAAATATACATGTAAATATGGAATCAATTAGAGTCTGGGGTATGGTGGGAGTTGGGGTGTCATGTCACAGCACAGTATGGAAACCGACTGTTGACACATCTCTGCTTGATGTTTTCCACATATCTCTGCTTGATGATTTCCACCATGTCTGCATTGTTATCTACTGATGTCACTATAACAATGTTTCCTGAATCCGGAAAACCCCTGCTCAAGCGTTGATTGAGATCCTCTTATCTGCTTTACCAAGTCTTATGTCGGTGCAATGGCAAGGCTGATACTGTGATAGTGATACAGCGGCAGCGGCTATAAGCTCGTGACAGCGCCTCGCCGACAGCGTGTAATCATCACTAGAGAACATTAACATATTACAGTACACATACACGGATATAACAAATGACCGTGATGCAACATTAACTTACCGGTGAGGCACACATTTCAGCACGACACAAGTTCCAATTACGGTGATAATTGAGTGGAAAACGTGTAAATGGCATATAATCAGGATTGTACAAAATCCGGCTATGCTAGATACGGTTTGTCTAGTATCAGCCCCTTTAAGATTCTTCGTGTACAGTCCAAACGCGACCGAAAATACTAAAAGAACCCCGTAGACGGTATCATCCGACACCATTTTCGCTAATTTCCGCTCAAACTCTTGGCACTGCCAACACAGTTATCGCTGTGAGGAAAATGACATCCGCATCGAAGCTCCTTTCATAGAAGTTAGTGCCTCGCACTGCTGGGAGAACACGTGTTGCCGAGATAGGATGGTCTCTACGTCACTTTGCATGTAATGTTGCGTAGGTGTCCACGACAAGTGCTAGTACCCAATACATTGCATTATTGATTGGGTGAGCTTTAAATGCAATTATAACACACAGAGGATAGCCGAACCCTGAATTACTTTGAGTGAATTTTTACACTGTAAACTGTTTTGAGCTAAAGTTAGCTTTGACGGTTTATATTATTGTAATTTGTTTGTGAATAAATAACGTTCGTTTGACCCTCTAAATAAATAGCAAGTGACAAGCGGTTGTCAAAGTGTTAGAGAATTATATAACTAGGTGTAAAGGGAGTGTATACTATCAACGGTAAAGCTATATAAATGCGCTTTAAATGAAATTAATTCTTACTCTCGATTTGACCCCTCTTTTCGGCATGCTCTCCACAATACAGAAACTTGTTCAAACTCCTAATTAAACCAAACATCCTCCAAAGTTTAATCCAGAATTAGGAATTGACATGATTTAAACATATTTTTATTCATGAAGATGAATTGGGATTGGTGAACAAGCATTACTGCTTATATTAACACCGCTCCCATGCACATATAATACAACATGAAAATGGAGGATTTGACGTCATCGATACTGACCATTGCATAAATATAATATTTTTAAAATATATAAATATATACAGATTACATGAAATACAACTATTCTCTAAGTAGTCATAAGTTAGAGAGTTACAGTTGTGTGTGTCTCACAAGCCATTGTGGAAATATAAATCAATCATGAGAAGGTTGTTGAGTAAATTTAATTATTTTCCTGAGAAAATTTAAAGCGTTGTGTCTTGGTTATATAATCGTGGACGGATTCAACTATTTTCTGGTTTACACAGGGAGTAAGTTCTTTGTTTCCCTTTAAGAATGGTATCCAGGTTATAACCGGTAGTGTAAAAAATACATATTAAGTCTTATCCGAGTATAGTTACGGCAAGTGAGGAAATAGTGTAGGGCGTTTTCACTCTGATGTCCACAAGAACAACAAGGGCTGTCTATTAAATGTCTGTTATACTTATCGGCGTTTAGGTCGCTACATCCGAGCCTAAGGCGGCAGTGAACGATTTGGCAAAAACGAGTGCCATAATTAAGGTCAAAGTAAATCTTATTTTCAGTTTTTGTATTTAGGTTTTTAAATTCTGTGAGATTACATGACGCTTTGGAATTTTGTAGGGCATTCCATAAATTTATTGTGGCAGGTAAAAAGGATTTAGCATAAGAGGCTAACTGTAAATTCCTTGTATTTCAGAGTTATTCCTCAAGCTGTAGTTTGTAGTCCCGGAGACGGAGTTTGGGATCAGGTCACAAAGATATTTTGGCAACAGGTTGTTGTACATCTTATAGAAAAAAGTTAACTTCTGGCAATTCCTTCTATCTTGCATGGACTGAGATTTGGTTTCATTATAAAGTTTGTTATGACTTGTGCCACGAACGGCACCACATATAGTTCTCAGAGCATCAAGATGTAAATTTTCTAATGTACGCGATTGCTCAGAAGTACAGTTATCCCAAATATGCGAACAATAGTCAAAAATTGGCAAGATATAGGATTTATACATAATATCCAACGTTTTACGTGATAATCGGTATTTAAAACTCCTCAGACAACTGATCATAGGGCGAACTTTACGTACAATATCATTAGTGTGATCATTCCACGTACAATCGCTTTGGAGTGTTAATCCTAAATGTTTATGACTTTTGACTTCTTTTATGATTGTTCCGTCCATGAATAGGTTCGGTTTTAGAGACGGTTTCGTTTTACGTGAGAACTGAGTAGTTTCGGTTTTATTTGGATGAAATGTAACCTGCCACTTACGGGCCCATTGTGAAATTCTATCTAGATCTTTGTTAAGACAGGTAGCAGCAACTGATGGATCGTCTATGATAACATATAATGAGGTGTCATCCGCAAAGAGACGAATGTTACTGTCAACATCACATACAATATCATTGATGTATATCAGAAAAAGAGGTGGTCCAAGGACAGAGCCCTGAGGTACTCCAGCTAGTACAGTTTTCTTGTCAGATTTATAGCCGTTAATTGCGACCCGTTGTACTCTATTTTCTTAATAACTTTCAAACCATTGTAATAGTTCGCCTTGGATACCATAGGTTTTCAGTTTATAAATAATTCCTCTATGCCAGACCTTATCAAAGGCTTTACTTATATCGCAGAAGACTGCTCTAACCTCTTTTCCTTCGTCAAGAGCTTTGGCTATAAAGTTGTACAAAAAGGTTAATTGATTTGTTGTGGAGTCTCCTGGCATGAATACTGATTGTAAATTTGTCATTAAGTCGTTATCTCTTAAGAAATTGAATACATATTTAAATACACATTTCTCAAAGACTTTCGATAAACAAGATGTGAGTGCGACAGGGCGGTAGTTAGGACATTCATGTACGCTATCTTTCTTGTGAATAGGTATTACCGATGCTTCTTTCCATGGACTGGGAAAAATTGACAGGCTAAGGGACAAATTGAATAATTTCGTAAGTATGGATGTTAGACTATTTGCGGTATATCTAAGTACTTTATTTCCTATCCCATCCGGACCGGTCGCTTTTGATGTGTCCAGGAATTGACATTACCATCGTGTCTAACCCGTCATCACAAATTAAGACACAGTGAATGTTTGGGTGTTGAAGCATGAGTTATCTCTTTTGACATATTAGTTAACGGGAACTTATAATTTCTCAATAACTAATGGAACATCTTTTCGGGAGATCACTGCAGATGAAACCTTTTGTAATTTAACTGAATACTGTATCTGGGATGTTCCGATAAGCGATACAATCCCATGATGCGTGTCTAGCCTTCGAACAGCTGACAGACGATTCAGAAGGCAGATTGGTCTTGGTGGTGCCATGAGTCATCGTGCTCGTGCGGACAGAGACCGTGAATGATCCCAGAATTGAGAGACTGAAGCTGCAGCTTGCCACTGGCAGAAGATTTGTGATCCAGTTTCTGGATGCCTTTGGACATTTAATTAAACTGCAATGATTTTGAAGTGTTAAAATATAGTATATCAAAATATACAAATCATGTATATCAAAGTATACAATATTTTCTATTGTTGCTGCATGTATAAAATGCTGAAACATATCAAAGTATGCAAAGTCATCTTCATTGTTGTTGTCTTGTTGGAAGAGTTCATTATCCTTATGGCTTGAAGGTGGTTGTGTTATGTGCACTCATCCTTAAATTTGTTTTGATAGTGGTGTAGGAGAAATGGGGTGTAGGCCTAAAGCTAGACTAACAACTAGTCTCTGAAATGAACATATTTTACTGAAAAAAGTTCATAGTAAAAAAAAAATATATAATGAAAAGGGGCCCTGAGACTTTCTTCATTTTCAGAAGCTGAGGAAATCTAGACTTGCCACATTTTCTAGACTTGTGTGGGCTTTCTTGGATATATTTGCTTCAGGGTCTGTACGAGAGACTAGCCTAAAGCCAGCATGGACATAACGGCTCTGCGCCATGAATGTGGACAGGATGATGTAACAACCCTTTGTGCTTGAGGACATCCCGTAAACATGGGTGCAATGCAGCATGGTAAATGTCCTGCTTGATTGACTGCCATCTCAGACAGCGTGCTGCTTTGTCAGGGACCAGTTTGATTGTTAACTGTCCACCACATATAGCCAGGACACTGGGCCAAACAAACAAAAAACAAAACAAAAGCACGAGGACAGCGTATGTATACGAAGCGGAGACTTTCATAAGAGGGCAAGTCAGTGACTTCACAGAACAAGGTACGAAAACTTACAGCAATGTAAGTTATGTTTATCATAAAGACAATCAAAGCATTGACTATACATGTAGGCCATGAGATAAACTAAACAGTCAAGAACGTACAATCTTTGAGGGGGATGTGTCAACAAGCATTTATTTATTTATGTCTGACGTGTCTACTGTACGTGTGGCTACCCGTGAAGATCCGGTCTTCAGTAACCCATGCTTGTCGTGAGAGGCGACTAACGGGATCGGGTGGTCAGGCTCGCTGAATTGGTTGACACATGCCATCCCTTCCCAAATGCGTAAACGATGCTCATGATGTTAAAATTGTTGATCGGTCGATTGTCTGGTCCAGACTCGATTATTTACAGACCGCCGCCATATAACTGGAATATTGATGAGTGCGGCGTAAAACTAAACTGACTCACTACTGTGTGGCTACCCTGAAACCTGTAAGATCGACATCGCTAGTTCCTGTAAATGTGTATTGCGAGCAGCCAGTAGTGTCTGAATCAAAACAGCGGTCAGTCAAGGTGTCATGGGTGAAATACGAGTAAAGGAAATATGAAGCCATGTCGTGGCCAGATTGGGACAACCCAGACCATCCGTAATGCCAAAATCCTTTAAATGGAATAGAATAAGTCTGAATTCCCCTCAGGTCCAAGTCCCCAATGCAGAGAGGTTAATGGCCTCCGATTGTCCCCGTCTTCTTTTTTGGTTCCGTCAAACTTAAATAATTTCAGAGACTCGGCAGCGAATGGACTTTTCGAGAATGGCTATAGACTGTGATTAGAACTATATGTCCTTGTATACAATCGAGGCGTATGTAGTTAGAACAGTTTCTAGGAACCTGGCAATACCTGTATTAGACAAGTACCTGTAGACAAGAGTGTAGCCTATACACACACTGAAAGTAATAAATTCAGCGCAGCCTTTCAAGTCTATCATATGTGTCAAATCTACATTTCTGCACTTTCAGGAAAATGAAGAATGTCTCTGGGCTCCCTTTTCATGATATTTTATTAAAATGAACTTTTGCTGTAACATATGTTCATTTCAGATACTGGATGTAACCCTAGCAACAGACCGATTTAAGGCCTTTTGCACATCATAATTTTAATAAACATGGCCACGTTGCAATGTCATTGTCCATTCTTCTTTAGGCCATTTCAAGTTTGTTGCCTTTTCAAAATGCAAGAAAATATGGTCAACCTCTTTTCCTAAAATATTTTATTTAAAATAATTTTGACTATTTTGAGAGGAATTATTCTGGTAAGGAAGATATATCATTTCATGAAGGCATGTTTTGACAAATAAATCCGTGTTAGAGACCTATAACAGACCTATAACAGACGAAGTCTTCTTATGGGAATTGGAGGAGACCCATGTAATCATACACGACATTGTTGTTCAGATTGGAGCCAGGTGTCGGCTATCATGCGTATCTGTCCTATATGTCGGTGATAATGTTCGGACTTCGTCTCCAATCTTGACTTCAAGTTACAACAAACATGCGTATTCACTGCTTGACTGCGATATATTTCATATATACAAAATCCAGACAATAATCCGAATACATGTTCACGCACACACATATAAACAGAAAGTGTGTATTAATCGATCTTCTAAGTTTACAACCCAGTTTTCTAAGTTCCCGGCCAAACACTCACACCCATGCACAGAAAACAAAAAGTACACACATACATACACACAATACAAATAAAAATGTGAAGTTAGCGGTTTTTCAAGTTTACAACAGATGTTCCTCTATGGTCCCGACCAAACAAGTGCACACACACTCAACAAAACAAAACGGCAAACAATCTACACACAAAATAGATATAAAGGGTGTATTTAGCGGTTTTCCAAGTTTACAACAGTTTTTCCTCTTTGGTCCCGAGCGACTAACATTTCTGTGTTTACAATCGAGGTCTTCTAACGGTTACTTTATCTTTCAGTGAACTGTACATATCCGCTTTAAACTGCCCAAGCGTCACGCGGTCGTACGGTTGACGTCCCAATGTTTTCTTCGCCAGTGTCATTGCATCTTGCATCAGCGTCTCCGGTGCAGTTGCGAGGTCGATGATGCCGTACCTAGCCGCCTCTTCAGCAGTGAACCTTGTGCCTAGAACTGCAGCCTGTAACTGGGCAGATCCCTGGGGTATCTTGCACCTGCAGTGAAATACACATGGAGTCAAATTGAGTGTTATAAACCACGTCTTGAACTGGTTCTGTTAGCTTTGTTTGGACTTGTGTGCGTGTGTGTGTTTTGTGGTGCTGCTTGTATTCATCCAGATTAATACCTGATATATATAGTCCCCGCACTATGAGATTTTGTCGCAGTTTAACAGAGATATCCAACTCAAGCACCAGGCAGGGTAACACCACTCAGCTACCACATTAACTGGTTATAGTTTTGCACAAACCCCGCGTTACAAAATAAGTTTCATTAGTGAGGGATGTAAGTTGGCTATGGTCCTAAAGTCCCACAAAATACTTGATAAAATAATATGAACCCAAGATGCAAGTGTATAGACAGTGAAGGGTCGTTCGTGATTTTGTTCACCGGTCAAAAGGAGTCACTAGAGTTTGTGATCATGTGCATCCACAATTACATCCTCATTACAATGTGTACATCACAGGGTCTCTTGTTTTAATAGAATCATTGCACGACTACCAACGGTCGATTGTGAGAGACATGGCTCTAATGCAGAACAGTGAATCCACTGGAGGATGCATATAGGCGGATCCATGAATTTCGAATTTTGCCAATGCAAAACATCAATTTCAATGTGGTCTTTAGTCATTTTCGAAAGAGAGAGAGAGGGGGTTAATGGACTTTAATTGAAAACTATTGACTGGCTTCCACTGAAACAGCTGCAGGCGTTCATTATGAATGCGCATGATCAGTCTTCAACTAAGACCAATCTGACTTTCTTTAACCGAGATTGGGATTTGGTGAGGAGAAAACACGTAGTCCTCTTGATTTCTGGGGTCTTTATGAACCATATAGCCTTGTATTCATACCTGATTATTTCCAGAAGGAATTCAGAGAACCTTATCTTGAGGAAAATCTCGTTCCAGCTGATCCAGCCTTGGCCTTTCTTCATCACCCTGAAGTCGTGCGACATAGCCAGAAACCCACCACCTGCAAACGCATGACCTGCAAAAGATGTGACGCCGTCATTGTGGACCTCGAAACTTTGTCTTGTAAATTGGCATCTTAACATATCTATATCTGTCCATGTAGATATTAATCTGAAATATCCGCGTTTTATGACGTTTTCGAGGTGAGCTACAACAATTCAACTCATGTTTTCAACGTAAAGTTTTTGGGTTACCGTTGATGGCAGCAACTGTTGGCATAGGAAATGTCATGACTCTGTAGAGGAAGCCCTGGACTCTGGTCATCCATTTTGACGTCTCACTTCCCTCTAAAGACATCATATACTCGAGGTCAAGGCCATTACTAAAGAAACGTCCTTTCCCCGTTGTTATCAGTGCCCGACATGACGGATTACTGCAAGAGAACGCATTCGACGTCATTCATGCGTGTCCTCCGAACAATAATTAATCTCTTAAAATTCGTTCGTTGCCAGGGAATATGTTGGCAACTGGATCTGGTCAATGGCTGAATTTGAAAAAATTGATATTTAAAATGTATTTAACCAAGCAAGTCATAAACAAACACAGGTCAAGTTTGATAATCACTAAAATTCAATCCATATGGTGAGGTGAAATTGGGTTTTAACGTCGTGCTTGAGAATATTTCGCTCATATGACGACGTGCATGCGTGTGTATGTGTATGTGCGGCTGCTTGTATTAGCCCAGACTGAAGCTGGTTTTATAGTGCTAGCCCACTGAGATACCATGCCGCAGTGAAGCATGAATACCCCACTGAGACACATTATACTGACTCCGAGCCGACCAGTCCGTGTACCCATTAATGCCGAGCGCCAGGCAGGGACCAACAAGTACCATATTTTAATGTCTTTTGGTATGACGCTGTCGGGGATCGAACCCGCGACCTTTCGCTCTCCGAGCGGACTCTCTAACCACTACACCACGGAGGCGGTTCAATCCATATGGACAAAGTGAGTGAGTTTAGTTTTACGCCGAGCTCAGCAATATTCCAGCTATATGGCGGCGGTCTGTAAATAATTGAGTCTGGACCAGGCAATCCAATGATCAACAGCATGAGCATTTATCTACGCAATTGGGATACGATGACATGTGTCAACCAAATCAACGAGCCTGACCACCCAATCCCGTTAGTCGCCTCTTACGACAAGCATGCGTTGCTGAAGACAAATTCTAACATAATACAAAGGAACAGATGTTAACTATATTTTGAAAAACACAAAGGAAGATGGTCACTATGTTTTGACGATTTATCACTTGTTTGAGATTGTGTGTTAATTGCCTTGATTGTGTATGGTGACTATTGTTTACAAAGTTTTGAACGGTACGTATACCCTCATGTAAAAATTATCACCATTTAAATTTCTAGTGGGAATATATAAATGTTGAAAAAAAAGTTTGGTGGACAACAGGCACGGTTCTAACATCTTTAATTTCAGCCTGAACTGAAGAACTATTTTTATTTTATTTTGAAAAATAGCTCTAAGTGTAATCACATTTGAAGAAATGGTTAGGCCGTTCTGGCACTCATTGACCAGTAACTTTTGGTGTGGCTCCGTTTTTACATGTAAAGTGGAAACGTGCATGTGATCACATTCCATGCAGAGTTGCCTCCCTTGGACCACGACCCGATTTCTCTCCACGACACGCATTTGCAACGACCAGAAGTGCCCTCAGAAATATTCCAGCTTACTTCAGACAAGATTAGGGACATAATATCACCAAGACAATTCTTTAGTTACCAGGAACCTGTGTCATAAAGGGATATCCACGGTCAATACACAATAACAATTGTTAACAGGGCAGACATTGGTATTCTGAAATCCCATTATAATCGGCATCTTACTCGGCATACCTCTCAATCGTGTCAAGAGCACCACAGTAAGCGTCAATGAATTCTGCATTAAAACGGTTGTGCTCTCCCTTCATGTGAATGACGGCAATGTTATCTGGAGTGAACTCCACTTCGACCAAAGAGCCAGACATTGTCGGTGGAAATGCGGACTTTGAGCCTGCTCCAGCTCTTCAGGTCACGGCATGGCGCATGTCACGTGAGGGGAAACAATGACCTTGCAAGAACTACTGCAAGACACGTGGGAGTGAAAATAGTGAATGAGTTTAGTTTTACGCCGATTTTAGCAATATTCCAGCGATATCACATCGGGGAACACCAAAAATGGGCTTCACACATTGTACCCATGTGGGAAATAGAACCCGGATCTTCGAGATCGGCGTTACGAGCGAACGCGCTAACAACTGAGCTACGCCTCAGCCCCGAAAGTGAAAGAATAGTGACCACTTTTATGTGTATTTCTCTAAGTCTCACCACACACATCGGTTCAATTCGGCCATTTCTTAATCGGAATACTTTGTTCAAACAAACATCTAAATATCTCAGATCTTGCTGTTGGCATAGAGTGAGTGATAGAATGAGTGAGAGTCAGTTTGAAAGGGGAAGTGTACGCGAAACAATTCTTAAGTGAAACCAAACGGAATGTTAGAATTAGTTAATATGAATGTTTGTAAATACACATCCATACTTGTCATACTTTAAGCAGAACGTTTAATTTAAGTGTTGAAATGTCATGCCAGGAGGCCCTTGTTTTCCGAGTGAAACAGGCCAGACTTATCCCCCTTAGGTTATGACGTCATTGGTGTCAGTTCATTTAGACTTGTCTCTGTCTAGTCCCAAAGCAGACGATACCCCAGTGGAATTTTGAATGAAAAGGCATGTAAGAAATACGGAATGTGCATTTTACCTTATTTGTTTTTATTTAGTTGTATAATTTTATATATTTTATGTATATTTTTTTACAATGCACTTAGCAATATTCCAGCTATATGGCGGCCGTCTGAAAGTAGTCGAGTCTGGACCAGATATTCCAGTGATCAACAGCATGCACATTGATCTACACATGACATCGCATTCATTTTACTTGAAGCTGTACGTAGCAGGATGGATTGATAGTGTGTATTTCCTTTCATAAATCTCACTTCAGTGAAAATACTAAATATGCATGCATCATAATGTTGACTTGTACGCACTACGCACGTATGACATCACTATCGGTAAGCGACGTCGGGCATGATAGCCTGTTCACCGATACGAGTACGCAGTATATATTAGGAAGGAGACATTCGTTGATTTCGCATAAATGTGACCTGAAAGTAATAAAAAAAACTTCTGACAATCTGCGTTTTGTTAGTTTCTTTCTAGTCAGAAATGAGGAGAAGAACCGTTAACGTTGTGCTTCAGTGTGCGGTCAGTCATGGCGTCACGTTGGACGGAAACTGTAGTATACAGGTGGAACTAATTAATTTCAGTGTGCGGTCAGTCATGACGTCACGTTGGACGGAAACTGTAATATACAGGTGGGACAAAGTAACTGCTTCAGTGTGCGGTCAGTCATGACGTCACGTTGGACGGAAACTGTAATATACAGGTGGAACAAAACAACTGCTTCAGTGTGCGGTCAGTCACGGAAACTGTAACATATAGGCAAAATAACTGTTCAGTTGGACGGAAACGTCACGTACGGAAACTGTAATATACAGGTGGAACAAAGTAACTGCTTCAGTGTGCGGTCAGTCATGGCGTCACGTTGGACGGAAACTGTAATATACAGGTGGAACAAAGTAACTGCTTCAGTGTGCGGTCAGTCATGGTGTCACGTTGGACGGAAACTGTATTGTTGGTGGAACAAAAACTGCAAATGGCGTCACAATGGACGGAAACTGTAATATACAGGTGGAACAAAGTAACTGCTTCAGTGTGCGGTCAGTCATGGCGTCACGTTGGACGGAAACTGTAATATACAGGTGGAACAAAGTAACTGCTTCAGTGTGCGGTCAGTCATGGCGTCACGTTGGACGGAAACTGTAATATACAGGTGGAACTTAAAGAGGACGAAAACTGTAATATACAGGTGGAACAAAGTAACTGTGTATTAATTGATGTTTTACCATTGTTTAATGCAAAACAAGACAATAACATGATTTGTGGTGTTTTCTTTCATTAACGTTTAACTGTTGACAGGATAATATCTGTATGATTTGACACAAGGCATCGTGACACAACCTTGAAGAGATGTGTCAAAGTCAGTTCATAAATTCAGTGTCGAATGTGCCTACCACTGGCTTTGACGCAGGCTTGACAATGACGACGCATAGACGACATTAAGCTATTAGAGAAAGCTAGGTGTATGTTGGTCAATGTCTGAACCAACTGGGCTTGACGTAAACGTCTCTCCATTTCACTCCAAGCGTGCTCGATAGGGAACAGGTCCGGAGAAAAGTCTGGCCACGGGTGTATCGGTATGTTCAGCTGTCTCAGGAATTACAACACGATCGACATGATAGTGGGATGGACATTATCTTACTGAAGCGTGAAGTTACGTCTTGAATGAACGGCTGGACATGAGGCCCAATGCTTTCATCCCTGTATCGCAGACCTGTCAGATTGCCTTTGACAATAACAAGTTTTGTCCGTAAATGGGATGTATACCATAACGCTCTCGCCACCAAACTGTCGACGTTGAACAACATATGTTCACTTCGTCGTCTGTACACCCTTGCCTTTCCATCTGAGCTGTCCAGATGAAATCTCGACACATCAGTGAGCAAAACACCGTCCCAATCTTGTCTCGTGTGCTGTAGATGCTGTCTGCACCAGGCAAGAAGTGCCTGTCGGTGACGTTGGAGCAAGTTTTGACATATTGCAGGTCGCCGGAGCCGGATGTGATGCTCCCTCAGTCGATTCCGTACAGTTCTGGACTGATTGGTCTTAGGCTTAGCAGTTTGGAATTGATTCCAGCCGCATGTGGTTGATGACGTGGCGTGACGTCACGCGTGGATGGTCGGCCCGAGGCAAACCTCTCGTCTTCCCATTATGTTGAAAACGTTTCCATAGAGATGAGATCGTGTTCCGATGGACACCAAAAGTCTGGCCACTTCATTTGGGGCCATTCCAGTCTCCAGCATACCCACGGTGCGGAGACGCTGAATGTCTGTAAGCTGTGACATCACGTACGCGCAGTTTAGGCTGAAATGAATGTTCCACAACATTCAGAAGCAAGAGAATAATCAACTGTTCTTCAATGTTCAAAATCAGGTGTATGAACTTCAGGTGTCAAAAAGCATGCAAAAATGGGAAATTTCATTGTGCACAAAGTACACGTGCCACGCTCGATACGTGACATCAAATTTCATGCAAAGTGCTTTGCTACACGTTTATTTTGGGTTATTTTTATAACTTTTTTATGTAATTGTATGTTATGTAGTTACTTTTTACGTTAGTATACTGAGTGTAACAAAGAAAACAACTGAATTGGTTTGGCAGTAAGTTGATTAAAGCCAGTGAGATAAGATGTACAAATTAAGGAGGTAGTTCAGAAAGGAAGAGATGTTTACACAGTAGCTTGGGCTTGGTTGAGGAGTACTGTGGATGTACTGGGAAGGACCTCCAGGCGTTACGGGGAGGACAATTTAAACGCCAAAAGGCTGATTATTTCAAAATGCAAACATGAACAAACTTATATAGTGGCGATCAGGCGCGTAGGAAGCAAATTTTCCATGTAAGCCCGATAGGCTGCAAAGCTTTACATTTAGACAGTATTGAGGGCTTTCCCTTTTTAACAACAATCATGTGTAAGCCGGGCTTTTTCTAATAATGGTAGCTACGCCCCTGGCGATTGGGGTTTGGTTTGATCCGAGATGGCGGATTTTCTCTCGATCGGACTTGGTAACGGATGTACACGTTCTTCCACTCGGGTGTTGATGAGTCGGGATATTTTTGACGTAGCTCTGTCCACAATCACAGTTTATCTTACAAATAACACACTTCGGGTTGTTGTTGGTGACGGTTTGTGATTTCATCTTGGGGACAATGCACACCATCCATATTTCAACACAGACTCCTTCGCTCCCTTCCCGATGGTGTTTTACCCAAATTTGATTGTTCTAAACATTTCTGTTGCTTTACAGAAAACAATCTGTGAAGAGAAGAGAATGTAATGTATCTATCGACTTCCATAGAATAAACATATCCAATCAAAATTACGATTGTTAACAAAGTTGAAGTTAGGCAATATTCCAACCATGTGGCGGCAGTCTGTATGTAATCGAGTCTGGACCATACAATCCCGTGATTGACATCATGAAAATCGATCTATACTACCCATCCAAAATTTAGACTCACTAGTGTACATGTAGCCACTTACTTGAGTCAACTGTTCTAAACTAGATTTTGCAAAATATTTCATACTGTTAAATGGTAATGTTTACCAATGAACTGATGTATTGTAAAACAAATTCGTAACGTCGAAAAGATTATTGTTATAAGTTTAATAAATGATTAAACTCAGTGAAAATTGGCGAATTCTTAAAACATCTTTACACCACAACGCAGCTGTTCACATGCACAATAATTTTCACATGCCTTTCAGCAATTTGATGCATGATCCTCGTTTAATTCATCTGCATGAGGTTTGCAGTTGGTTCCCCCAAGTTAGTGAAGAAATTATATTGGATGGGTAGTATATCTGCCCCGTGGAACGCGCAGCATTCACTCAGGCATGCTTAGATATACCTGTAATATGTTTCCTAGCAATGGACATGAAACTTTTAACTACTTAAATTTTTGTAACGACGTTTCAGGGTTATTTCTTTACTCTTCATCAGGAGATTACCGAGTGTTTGTTTGATTGTTGTTTAACGCCTCACTCAGCAATTTACCAGCTATATGTGGCAGCCTACATAATCGAATCTGGTTAACAAAGATTGTCAGTTGCATATATTGACTGACTATAGGACAGTAGAATGTACACTAGGTGTATGTATAGATGTCTTGGTCTCTGTTGGTGGCTGTCTTTCTAGATATTTGTTAAGTTTATTATTATCACAAGTGGAAGCCGCAGGGCCTGACTTTGTGTGCTGGCGACTGGGTCCCTGCCTCTGAGGGTGTGGGTTCGAATACTGGATGGGACTCAACCCGACGAAAATACTAGAATCTGTTATTTACTGAGAAAGTGTAATCCCAAATATACCTTGTTACATTTGACCACTTTCTAAATGGTATTGACATATCTCGGCAACGAAGGTGAACAAACCAAAATTGTCCACTCCAACGTCGTGAATACACAAAGAAATTGTTGTGTATTCACGATGTTGGAGTGGAAAATTTTGGTTCGTTCACCTTCGTTGTCGAGATATCGTGGTCAGGATTAGTGATGAGATGTTGCGAACTTTAGCAGCAGCAGCAGATTATATCCTGTTTTCTTATATTCTGGTGAATGTACTTGTGTCAATGTACGTACTGTGTACTTCTTTCACGTTTCTAGAATTTTCTGCTGGTACACACGCATGCTTCTACCAGAGACCATATATATAAATAGAAGTTGTAGTAATCAAAGATAAAGAAATCATTATGTATGGATGGAGACATGCATGTAATGTCCGCTTTGTCCAAACAAGTGGCAGGTTTTAGGTCATGTCCATTTTGTGCCTATGTTGTTTGGGGAATCGTAGACTGGTCCCCGCCCCTGCAGTGCGTGCAGCTTTCCGCCCTGAGGCGAATAAGGGTGGGAGCCCAGTCTGGACATGTCACCTGCAACAACACTCCGGCACAGCGATGCCGCATGGGACTCTGGGTAGGAGAGTGTACCTGCAACATCCGGGCATTTCGTTCACACTGTAACAAGATGGCGGTACAAGGCGAAAAGAAGATATCGGAGTTGCGTGTTGTTGATTTACGCCAGGAATTGGAGACACGTGGTTTAGATAAAGCTGGTGTAAAAGCTGTGTTACACGAAAGGCTTGCAAAGGTGATTTTTTAAAAAGTTTATTGGAAGTTGACCATGTGCGGACGCAACATCTAGAACCATCAAATCGGTCGCCCGCGAATAATTCGCCCCGACCTAAATTACCGTGAACAAGGTCACTGCTGATATGTACGTCACTGTGTGTATGATCACACATGCTGGTGATGTTTTGAATCCAAGCTACATTGCCTTGCCTAATTTTGACCTGATCATTCCAAGACAATAAATGATACAATTCACCGGACAATATCGGTGGTGATGTTTGTGCGACGCTGTCAGTTACACGTGACAGCGTTACTAATAGGATATCTGTTATAGTATAATAGGACTGTTTTACGAGTAGGACCATGAAGCTCACACGTAGAATGCCCCACTTGCTTCATGTGGGGATTGGTGAGACTTTGGCATTCACAGTAAAAGTAATCTATAAATGACGCAAATATTTGACATTAACATAAGGCACACGACAACTTCATTGACAACCTCCAATTTGGGAACCATTACAACAACCATGGGAGTTGCGATCATTCCTGACAACCTTTTCAGGTGGACTTTAGCTTAACCTAAACCCTAACCCTTGATTTAATTCATGGCTAATTCACTTTTACAATACAACCAGAAATTATTGAGAATTTAAAGATTGTAAAAGAAATTTCACTCATTACTCACATATTATACTGGGACTCTCTATTATCGTGGGCTCTCTATTATCGTGGCACGCGAAAACATCGGGAAAGCAGAAACACCACGCCCCGCATCTGCTGTTTACATATGCAAATTACGTAAAATATATTCAGCGCTCTTGAAAAAGTCATCTATTTCATTTGAATGTTTTTTGTAATCGGAGAAATATTAAAGCATTCATTTATTCAGTAAGTTCTAGAACATTTTGAAACTAGCATGACCCCTATTGCCATTACATCTAGCATGAATCAAAACTTACTTCATCAAAAGCAATCCTGCGACAACTATAAGGTCATTTGCGTATTTTCCGTGCTAAAAATATAACAGGAAGTGACGTATGTATGCAACTTCACTCTGCACACGGCAGCAACTTGTATGGTATGTTTTAAGCCGGAAAAACAATATTTTGTAACGTTATTGTTACCTTGTATTCAAATGAATAGAAGTTTCTGATGTTTGGGTTAAAACATATTACTAATGTGAATGAAATTCCTAAATATTTTTAAATGATCAAACTATTTAGTAATTTAGATTCGTTACTTGTCTTAGTAAACGTTTCACAGTGTCATCTGCTTGTACCGTGTGCCATAGTAAGAAAATAGCAACACCGCGATAATAGAGAGTTGCTTCAATTTCCGGGTCAAACGAGACAATCGGAATTGCCGCAATGGTATTAAACGAGTTGCGACCATGTGTCACATTACTTGTGACAGAAATGGAGATTAAACATCAGTCAACTGAAAATATATATAAAATGCTAAATGTCAGTAGCCATTCATAATCCCGATGGCAACAACATTAACTATCGCGATAATAGAGGGTCCCATGATAAATGTGAATATTAGCAGAACATAACTCCAGATTCAAAGACAGGTGAACAGTTAGTATTTTGTCAAGTCACCATGGGCAGCAATGCAGGCTTCAATGCGGCGGGGCATACTACTGATCAAAGAAGTTAGAAAGTCGTGGTCCATGCTGTCCCAATATCGGACCGCCTCTTCTTTCATTTCAGCAATATTTGTCAGATTTTTGTTATTGACACTCCTTCATAAGTCCCCTAACATTTTCTATTGGATTTAGGTCAGGGCTATAGCTTGGCCAATCTAATAATGTCATATTTTGGGTCCGAAACCAGGCCTGTGATTGCTTTGAACGATGTTTTGGGTCATTGTCCTGCTGGAAAATCCAAACATTTCCATAGAACACGTGAGCAGATGGAAATAAATGTCCCTCGAGAATATCTGTGTACCGCTCACTGTTCATATTCCCTTCAAATACACAGAGGGGCGTTGCCCCTAACACAGATATGCCACCCCACACGTTAAATTTCGGACTGTACTTTGGGTGCTGATACAAAGATTTTTCAGTTTGTTTGGTCCAGGATTTCAGTGTATTAGGAAACAGCCACACAGAATTTTCATCTGAGAAAATCACGTCCCAGTTAAAATTTCTATGCTGTAAGCACCAGTTCAACCATCACTCCTTTTGTTCAGGTTTCATGATCGGTGATGGAATTCCTCGACTTTTCTGCCAACCCATTGCATGCAGCCAAGTTCTAATTTTCTTCTTACAGACAGCGACAGTTCCTCTATCAATCATATCCAGCCTTACGTTTTCTAAACTCCTTCGTTCGTTTTTAGAAACAAGAATACCAATCCGCCTCCTATCACCGAGAGTCAATTTTCTGGGCCTACCTGCGCCTCCCTGGTGCTCAATGCCATATCCAATTTCAATATTTTTCAAAACATGATAAACAGTGGACAAAGGGATGCCTGTTCTACTTGAAATCACTTTAGCTGATCTGATGTCCTTGTTATAATAATCTAAAATCAACTTCCTCTTCTCTAAATCATCCATACTGAGGATCAGTGAAAATGTCGTCTGCTAGCAAGTAAACAAAGGGGGGTAACTCTTCACAAACTAATGAAAAAAAAATTAACGGAGTTGTCTCTCATGAATGAAACCAAGCACTTGATAGCTGGTCAAGGTTGTTTATACTAGAAATCCAATTTAGAGTGTATGTTTGGGTTTTTTTAAATGAAAGTAACATATATGTTTTGATTTATGTGGCAGGAATGATTGGCAGTCTTAACAGACAGGTATCACTAGTTCAAATGTCACAGAAATGACTGCTTTGTAGAGCTACTGCTGTCCTGCTATGTATATGTTTTGGTGTAGTTCACACTCAAAGCACTCCTGTGTCCAGGCATGAATAGCACACTTTACTGGGCAGATTTCTTCAGGCAGCTGACCCATGCCTGAATCCAAAGGATCCTACAGGGGTGCTAAGCCTGAAGGATGGGAGAGAAATTCTGGATCTGTGAAGCAAGAGCCACTGTCAGCAGCGTGGGCATGTTGTTCATGCAGTAGGGAGATGACTCACATTTATTATCCTTAGGGACGAAAATGGCAACTGGAAAACAGGTTTACTCCCATTTGTGAGACCTCCCAGTTGTGAGACAATGGAGTAGGTAATTAGCAAAGAAAACACACCTTACTCCCCTATCTGATAGAATGGAGTAACCCCAGCTAATTATGGATTAGCTATTTAACTGAATCTTGTGGAATCTAATGAAACTCTAAAAGATAAAGTAATTAACCTACTCAGGTAAATGGTTTTAAAAAATAAACACTTTGTGTAGGTAACTTCGTGATCATTTGAAAGAGAAATTAATTTACCTACTCAGATTTACGTGTTTGAAAAATCTAGCAATAACTGTTGCAACTATAATTAATCCAAATGTATTTATTAACCTTTGACTGCTCTTTCTGATCACCATTATGGCAGGCCTTCAACAAGTAGAATATATCACCAGTTCACGAGAATCTTTTTCAGTATTTCAGTATCTAATGAAAACAATAAATGCTCTTCAACGAACAATGTCTTCTGTGTTAATTAACTCATTAATGAACTACCAGTATGCCTCCTGCGGGTACTCTTCAGCAACAGGGCTGTTCCCACTTTCATCGTAGGGATGGGGAAGCACCACCTGTGTGCACTGAACCATTAACTAATGTGTCTCACAACTGGGAGTTCTCACAAATGGGAGGACACCGGAAAACATTCAGGCTGACAGGTCACTCTTGATTGGTTTACCATGGAAATATAACCTGGTACAAAATGATACATCAAGTTGATTTTGGTTGATGTACAGTTTTATACCCTGAATTTGATGGATTATTAGCTGGACATTTAGTTCATGGTCATGTAAGGCCCATTGCACTTGCCATAATGCTAGTTATAACAAACACCTAAAGTAAAGCCAGAAATGCTTGGAAAATGCTTTTTTGGCAATTATTTGATCATGGTTGATATGGCCCAAAAAAATAAATGTTGTGGTTCCGATTTCCTACATTTCAGAACTAGGGTAGGTAGGTAGGGTTTTGGGTTTTTTTGCAAAATATTTTTACATTACTCATGTGTCAGAAAATATATTTAATTTATTATGTGGTGAGTAAAATTGTTAGGCTCAGCGGGAATATTTAGGGTCGGTCGGGAAATCGGAACCACAAGCTTTCTGTTTTTTTAGGCCTATTTCAGATTCAAAACTCATATATAATCATTCATACCACCTCGACCTAATATGGCATATGAGTAATCACGATGTACCATTCCTTAATCATAATGATCACTTGTAAAATATCAAAAAACTTAGAAAAAAAATCCATGGTAGAAACACTTCTAAGAAACAAACTATACTGTGACCCACCTGGCAGGCAGACAGGGTGACAGCTTTAATGTAACGCAGGGGCAGTGCATGTCAGGGACCATCTCAAAATATCAAGTGTCTGTATCGCTGCTGGTTGAGGACTCTAGCGGAATTACAACAGGTGCAACTTGGCTGACGTTAACGCCGTTCCACCTCGATGGTATTGAGCTCACAGTGCCGTACTGGTGTACGCAGAACTATGTGGCCTTGTTTTGCAGCTAGTTCGTCAGTGATGTACTGGATTGGCTTTTTGTGCTGCCAGATTTTTTCATGAGCTGGGGCTTCGTTTCTGATTACCTGTAAGGCACGTTACAGGAAGTGAGAAAATCCTAAAACTGAGCCTTGAGATTGCTCATGGTGGGTGTGATGGTACCAGGGACACGCAAGTTATGGTAACTGGCGTTATCCAAAATGATAACGTATGGTATGGATTTACAACTTCTTTAATATTTACAACACGACGTTTCTGGGCTACTTCTTGCCCCTTCATCAGGTGAATGACAGAATATGATACAAGCAAAATATATAGTATGTACAGGAAGCCAGTGAGATAGTATTACAGATGAGATGTACAGAGATTAAGCGATGTGTTTAGATGAGATGTACAGAGTTCAAAGAGATGTTTATGCAAAGGGTGTACAGAATGTAAAGGATTGGATATACATGATTGGATTGATTGATTTTTATTATGCACGGTTTCATCAAGGTATATAATTTGAAACCCAAAATTGCGGTATTCTTCAACTGTTCTGAGATTAGCTGATCGCATGGACAGGATTGAGTACTTTTCTCTAGACACAGCTCTGTCATCTCCCCTTTTAGTGTACCTGAACCCAATTTCTGCTCTAGCTACAATAAGTCTTGTTTTCGAGACATTTATTGTATCTTTGATCTCATCTTGTACTTAGCACACGTCAGTAGGATTTTGCGTTCATACAGTTTGTAAACTGCATGGCGTATGACACCCTTATCAAAGCTATCCAGTTTGTGTTTCCTACCTGGTTTTGATTTTGATTACTTTTAAACAAGACAGTAGCGCTGGCTATCGATATTGATCAAGATCAATAATAATTAACTGAATATTGATCAATTATCAATAAATATATGATTGTGTAACTTTGAAGAAAAATGAAAACATTATTGAAAGATATCAACATGCTTCACATCACTGGTGAATGGTGACATTTGAATTTGGTTTGCTAACAAGACAGCATCTTGAACATAATTTAGATGCAGCCCATCAATAAGAGATCACTTTATCTATTGTCTGAGTGAGTTAATACATTATGGTATTTCCAAAAATTGATATATATTTTTAGCAAGCTCTAATATACAGCATCTTCTTTACAGTGAGAATGACGTTTGTTGAGACTAACACAGTTCTCGCTTGCATTTGCTTCTGTACCACTAGTAACACGTGACCAGTCTAGGTTTCCTGTCAGGTCTGTAGTATTTACCATGTGTAGAGACTGTTCTCATGTCATTCATGAATGCCTTAAGGTCATACAAAACCAAAACAAAGTGAGGAAATTGAGTTAGTCATGATTTAAAATAAACTGTAGTGTTGCATGGATGATAATATTAATGTAATATTAGTAATGCAAAAAGAACTATACACCCTCAACTGGTATTAAACTGTATACATATAAATCAACAGCATGCAGTGTCTTCTGTTCTGTTCATCTTCAGGTCTGATTGGTATGAACAAAATAAAATCATCACATCACTTCATCGTGGCTTAGTTTGGCATAGCTTTGCTGTATCTATGTTATGAAATATTTCTGAATGTTTCAAAACAACCATTACCCACTCCTCTCAGATCAAGGATGCAAGCTAATTTGCAGCATTAAACTGCCAAACAACAATCACATGTAACAATACTCAAATTTGCCACTCGCTTTTATCATGTGTCACAAGTGGGAAGAATCGGTCAATAATTCTCTCACTAACCTTTCCAGGATAGATAAATGCAAAAACATGGTTTATATGATATATCGTGAGAAAACAAGTAGTCCTTTCGCACTTCTCTGAACTGACACTTGTGACACCCTGTTCCAGGCATTAGAGGATGAGGGACATGACCCGGATGAATACACATTTGCAGTATCAGATGCTACACCCAAGAAGACAGAAGAAAAGAAAAGTAATCATAAGTATATGTCTGTAGTTAGAACCCATTTCTGGTGTCCCCCGCCGTGATATTGCTGGAATGTTACTAAAATTGATGTAAAACCATACTCACTCTCTCACTATATGTATGTAATGTAATCAGTAATCTTGGTAAATAAGCAGGACTTCACTATCATAATTTTTCCTTATCCTGACTCATGCTAATTATGCTTGTCTCCTTCCTCTTGCGAATGATAGTGGAACACTTGAAGTTCCCTTTAAAAAGCAGACCTAAAATCACTCCCCCAGAGTAGCGTCCCTTTCCTCCCTTTGGTGCCCATATGGTCACATGATCGGCAATTTTTGTCACTCTCTCTTCCTTCGCCCTTGAAGACAGTTGTGAGAGCACCTGGGTCCCTATACGGCACATATCCCCTTATAATTTTCGGACCTTACATCAAAATTATTGCTGTATATCGTTTTTAAGATTATATTCTACATTACGATTTGAAATTTCATCTAAAAATTTCTGTTATTTGACATGTGTTTTCTTCATGTTTACAAGTGATGAAAGCTTGTATTCATTGTAGGTACCGAGTGTCTGCGGCTGACCCTCATTTATTATGTCCTAATTGCACTGTTTCATGTTCTTTCAGCTCTCGCTGTGAGTGTTGTGTACATTTAGATTCTGTTGAATTTAATAATTACCTTTTTTCCATCCATAGACGTGCTAAGGACTGGGTACGTAGGTATTCACAAGTCATGTCTAAATCGAGGGATTACGCTGATAACCGTGTGTTAACCACTGCTGCAGATATTCATAATTCTAGTGAATTGCTGAACGTTTCTCAGGAGCAGGTCGATGTACCAGAGGTGAACGCCGTAGGCCATAAGAGATCGCTCTACTGAACTGACCTCATTGCAGATGAGGAAGGCCAAATCTTCATCTGCGCAGAAGAAGAAGGCTACTACCATGAAGACTTCAGCGAAGTCTAAGATCAGCTCTACACAGAAGACAAGGTCTTTCTCAGCCAAATTGTTCTTCCGGAAGAAGCAGATGTTAATGATGATCCACCCATCATACATGAAGTCAGTAAGAAGACGAAGAAGACCTATCAACGCAGACATTGGGTACCAGAGATAGCAGCAGCGTCAACTCGTCACGAGTGCAGCGAGCCTTAGATGACGTCTCTTCAGTATCGGATGCATCATCCCTGCAGCAGTCTCTTCAGACAATGGAGAACTTCAACCCGGGACTGTTCATGCAACAGTTTACAGATCAGGTTGCTATGAAGACCGCTACAACGTCTAATAGCCTGTGTGAAGGCTCTACAGTCTCCCCACCACATCTGGATGAAGAGGGAAGCCTGCGCGAAGGCTCACGAACACGACGATCTTCCCCATCTGAAGTAGACGCCCCAGAGAGTGCTGCTAAGAAGTCTTCACGCAGGAAGGAATCAAGGTGTTCTCCCGAACCCTACATACGTCGCAGATATGAGTCGTCATCTCCATCGGACTCTGACGACCATCAAGAGCCTGTGCGAAGGCACTTCTACAGAAGGAATATTAGCTATACAAGCTCTCTCGGATGAAGGCCTGCACGAACGGTTATGTTCACGAAGATCCTTACTGTCAGAAGTATCAGCAGTTAGAAGCCTGGAGGATTCAACAAACGCCAGCTTAGCGTTAGCAGTCCACAATGGAGCCTCCACGCAGTTTCAGCGTCGTTCTCCAGGATTCTACAGACTGCGCAGATACGGATATTCCAACTTGGACCTTCATAAACGTGCGCCCAGGCACTTACGGGGAGGATTATAATCACAGTCAGCACGTCCCGCCGATAGCAGATTTCCCCTTTATCATACGGAGCCGTTCATGATACATCAGGGTTTGAGATTACAAGATCAGTGAATCCTGTAATAGATCTTCAAGATGGAAGATAACGCAACTGGACACTACAACTAGATGATGGCTGTGTTGGATCAACGCGTGGCTGAAGGAAGAGACGCACACCTGAAGTAACGATGTCAGATAACATCCGATGAAACACTGAAGATGAATTTTCATCACATGGGCTTACAAGATTTCAAGGGGACATTTAGCAGCATTGTCGCAGTTCCTCAGCGAGACATCGGTTACGGTCAACTTTACAGAACATCTGTATAAGATGACTGCAGTAAAGATTATAAGTTGAAGAATACGGTCACAACAGACAGGGAACAGTCTGCTTACATCGATACTACGCGGCGAAGTTTTCGCGCGCGCGCTTCCACTCAGCCATCAAGACACGTGTTCACTCGTATAACTCCGGCAGAAGCCGAACAGGAAGGTTGCGGACAAGGCCGAGTGTTGAAGAAATCAACGACTGCACAAAATTCTACGAGGATCACTTACCTGCAACACCGGTGATGTCAGTCACGTGTCAGGAAGTCGTCTACAGTTGTAAACAACTCTTTCAAACGTGGCAAAGGCTCCATTTACAGTCCAGTTAGCAGGGTACAGCGTGGTTCGACTGTCTTCACGGGTCATAGAGGACTTCCCCTGTCAGCAGATTTAATATTGGTTATCTGGGGACTTGCAGCGACAAGCGTGAGACGATTTCTGCTTACGGCAGCCGATCGGCTATAAATAGATTTCACATCGATGGCAGTCCCAGTACATCATAGATTTTTGCTGATCTAGAGACGACGTATTATGCATCATCGCTGCACATTGTTCGGATTCTGGTGACAACATATTCTTTACATAATACCGGAAGATTGATGAGACAAACTTCAAGCAATGAACGTAGACATGATTGCAGTAGATGGCTAGTAATCTCCTAATCGCAGTTGGAACCAATACAGGATCTTCAATACAGACAATAGGATCTCCACTGGTAGACCTCATTGCAACAAAGTTCAACAAGCAACTACCAACATTCGTCTCTCCGATTCCGGATCTTCAGGCATGGGCAACAGACGCTTTAAGCATCTCGTGTGAAGGACTAAACGCTTATGCGTTTCCACCTCCAGCATTACTACCACAAGTAATACAGAAAATCAAGCAGACGACAACGCTGCAACTGATTTTGGTCGCACCCTATTGGCCAGCGAGGGTATGGTTTCCCGTTCTCATACAAGAGCTTGGAAGACCAACCCTGAAACTACCACAGTGGTCGAACCTGCTCGTCCATCCACACACCAAGCAAGCTCACGGGAATCCAGCATTGTTCCAGCTACAAGCGTGGAGCGTATCAAAGCTTGCCTGAAGACTAGAGGGTACTCCGCCAGAGTAACACTAAGTGGCAGATATTTGAACAGTATGCAACGAGGAAAGGCTTCACAGCAGCAAAAGCAACCCTTCCTCAAGTGGCGGAATACCTGTGTCATCTGCGACAGACGAGACACTTAAAAGGTTCAACACTCAACGTACTTGGCTGCTCTCAGCGCAGTTATCACCATGAAGATGGGTCTTAAGCTGACCAAAGTACCAGAGATACTGGCACTACTACGTTCGTTCATGTTGGAAGACCAACAAAGAAATTCAAGGCTCCTGCCTGGGATCTTAACATAGTTCTACAACATCTCACAAGTAATGTCTATGAGCCTCTAGAACGGACATCCTTTGAACTACTGACTCAGAAAACCCTGTTTCTGATCGCCCTAGCAACAGCAGCACCGATGTCAGAAATACATGCTCTGGACTTCGAACGAACTCAATTTGAATCATCACATCGTGACATCGTACATCTAGGACTGAGATGAGATTTTATTGCCAAGAACCAACTGCCCGGCCAACCTGACAGACAGTTCCACATCCCAGCACTCTCTACAGTCCTTGGGCCACAGGATACACAGGATCTATCCTTATGCCTTGTCAGAGCACTAAAAGTCTACCTACAAAGGCCAAAATAAGGAGACGAAAATTCAAGCGCCTATTCATCCCCTTATCCACTGAGACGCTCACCGAAGTCTCTCGGACAACAATATCGATCTGGATGAGAGCCGTTATACTAAGGGCCTATAAAGCAGCAGGACTTGAGCCTCCAATCCACATGAAGTCAGAGCCCTGGCGTCAACACTTGCTCTGCATGGAAACTGCTCGATTACAACTATAATGGAGGGCTGCTTTTGGAGATCGAACACAGTGTTTGCCAACCACTACCTCAGAGACATTGCCACCGAAGACGTCTCAGGCATTCACCAGTTTGGGCCACTTGTTGTAGCACAACAACTAACGGTTCCACAAAGGCACTGAGAAAATCTCACCCTTTTTATCACGTGACTTGTGAAAACCAACGCTCTGGAGAGCAAATGGTTAAAGTCCATGCACATGTCTAGGACAGACTAGCATGAGTGATAGACCCTGTACTTGTATAGGACATACTTGTACATGAAGAAGGGTCGCATCTCCACTTGATGCGCGCATCAAGAAATGGAGTTGCAATAGATAACTAATGGAATATTAGTACAATGTATATCTAAAATGCATGAGAAAATGTCAGGAGAAATTTCAGAAGAAATCTGACAAGTTGTGGTCCCCCCAGACTCATCAGAGAGAAGTTGGAAGAATCTTCAACAAGTGCTGTTATAAGTTCCCAAGGGGGGTAGAACAGGACGTAAATCTTCAACCAGTGAATCCAGAAGTGGCTTGACCCACCACAATTTCCGACAGATTCTGCAAGCATAATTAGCATGAGTCAGTATAAGGAAAAATATGTAATTTTCTGACTAAAATTGATATTTTATACTTATCCTGACTCATGAGGTTAGCCCTCCCAACCTCCCCTCTTATGGCACTGGATTTCCCTGTAAATCCGGGTGTCGGGCTTACATACGGAGAGTGACAAATATGGCTGATCATGTGACCATTTGGGCGCCAAAGGGAGGAAAGGGACGCTACTCTTGGTGAGTGATTTTACGTCCGCTTTTTTAAAGGGAACTTCAAGGGATTTCAAGTGTTCCACTATCATTCGCAAGAAGAAGGAGATAAGCATAATTAGCATGAGTCAGGATAAGTATAAAATATCAATTTTAGTCAGAAAATTACATTATTTTGCCAAACATGACCATTTCAGTATTCTGTTATCTTGTTTCAGGATTGAGAGAAATATCAAAAGGAGAGGTAAGATTTTCTTCTTTTTTCTTTTTTAAGTAAGATACACAATAAAATTGTCACTCATAATACTAGACATCATGGTGAATACCGTCCTACTGGTATAGAGGGCTTTGGGTAGAATGATTGTTTGATGTGTAGATAGTGAACCTCACCCTTGTGTCTTTTGATATCAAATATGTGAACACAATCTGATTAAAAGTTAATAATGCTGAGTCAATATTTTTTATATCAAAGTCATGAGGTTTGGATTCTATTTATCATCCAAAATCATTCTTTCAACATTTCCAGTTTACAAAGAGTAATCACCAATGGCATAGAGGTATATTTTATTTGATTGTGACATCATACTGTTCTGCATTCATGTGTGATATGATACCTGTGGGGTGATATCTCCAAAAGAAGCCATTTTAGAGTGATAACATTGTGTATTCACTGGCATTAGGAAGGAGAAGAAAATGAGATGTTAGAAGAAGACATTGAGGGTGAACTTGATGAGGAGGGTGAAGACATTCTGGATGATGCAATCCTTGACCTCGGGGAGGATGTTGAAGCAGAAGAACAGGTTAGCATCGAATTCTGCATGTGCTGTGATGGTTGTGTTTAGGAAATGCAGCAGCATTGTTATTATAGCGCATAACTATCATATTCATTTGTCTCAATATATAGGCTTCATCCGTGTATGTACTATCAAGTGTAGAGGTTTGCATTTAGGAAATGCTGCAGTGTTGTGATTTTAGGCTCATAATACATATATTCATCGTTCATGACAAAAATATGTTGCATTCCTATTCAATAACCCGCTTCATCAACATTATACCTGATGAAGATATGGCTCATTTTTCATATATATACGGATATGATTGTTGTGCCAGGTAATAAGAATCATGTGAGTATATGTAGAAAATACACTGGTAGTGCAGGAACATTGATAGAAGTTAGTGTTTTCACTCATTTGCAAAACTGATCCACTACAGAAAAGTACTACTATCTCGAGACTTTCTTGAATTATGTTATGTACTAGCAGCTTATTGTCATATTTTATGACATGAAAGGTCTGCCTTAGCTCATACTTTTAGGGTTCCTCATTGAGTTACACTTTTTGGAATCAAGTTACATGTATTTATTTTGAAAGGTAACATTTTAGTCAAAGAGTCGAAGTAAGATACAATATTTTCAAACTAGGTTGGTATTTATTTATGTTTCACAATGGTGTTTTGTTATGACCATGATGATGACAGTGGTCAACATGTTTACTTGTACTCAACTTTCATTTACACATTCCTCTGCCAACACAAATTGAACAGTTTCTGCCAAATTAGATGAAAAAATTACTGAGGAATATTTTTTTGTTTTGACATATACCATGAACAACGAGACCTGTTTTCCAGGGTACCGATGAGGAGGCATTTGAGGTTGATGTGCCTGAGGCTGATGGAGGGGAAGGTAAGATTATGCCAAGTAGACACTGTTCAGTTTCAGAGAGTAGAATGGCAGTCTACATATGACAAATCAATAGCATTTGACTTTTCTTTACATATGATTGCAGAATAAATTTCATCATGTTCTTTCATAAGTAGGTCATATATTAATACCACCATCTTTAATATGATATTGTAGTCTTAAATTTGAGAGAAGTTATAACTTGCAGATGTAAATATATTTACATATATTATTCGGTATTGGCTATCGATGGAGCCAAGGCAACATTGGCAAATGACAAGGACTGACGCTGGTATTTCATTTAATCACTGTTCATTGGGAAGCCAGGACATGACTTGATGGACATCTCGGCAGTATATTGTCATGTGACCAATCTTGTTGGTATTTCTGTGCATGGAGAAACAGTAGCTGAGACATGGCTTGGACAGATATTTCGGTCATGGTCTGGAACAGACATGATGTGACTTTCCTGCCACTGTGTTGTTTGTTGAGGAGCTGACACTAACAGACAAAAAGATCATGGACACTTCCCTTGTAGAGAAACAAACTTTGTAATGAAGACTGGTGATCTTGCAACAGTTCTGGGAGTCAACAGAGGAAGATAGTGTCTGTGAATTGGGCAGTTGTTGGATGACAGTATTTCTTGTACCAGCTCAGTACATTTGATCCAACGAGTGCAAGCTGCATGAATGAACATTCCTTGGACTTCATATGAACTTCTTCAAGGCCATCATGAGTTGAATTTTTCCTATCTCATTATGTCTGTTGCCTTATACTGAACTAATATTGAATTGATATTACAAGGTAAGTATGAGTTTTGCTGTCAAATGGACATTGTGTAATGTGGTCTAAATTTCTTTTAACTTGAAAATTTCTTTAGCCCCTCAAGATGATGATGAAATGGAGATGGTTGTCAGGGAGGATGATGGTTTAGTAGACTTGGGTGAGGAGGATCTTGAAGGTGATGAAGAAGTGCCAGCAGAAGAGGACATGGAAGATGTTGACCCGGGACTCAAAGAAGATGCCGAGCTGGAAATGGAGACTGAATTTATAGATGAGGCAGAGGAACAAGAGGCTGATGAAGAAGTGACTGAGGTTGTGACTGTTCCTGAAGTCCCCTCAGTTCCAGCCCCAAATAAACCCACTACACCAGCAAACACCAAGGCTGCTGCTCCAGCAGTTAAATCAACACCTGCACCAGCAGCTAAAGCGGCACCTTCTTCAGGAGCTAAAGCAACACCTTCTCCAGGAGCTAAAGCGACACCTTCTCCAGCTGCTAAAGTGACACCTTCTCCAGCTGCTAAAGTGACACCTTCTCCAGCTGCTAAAGTGACACCTTCTCCAGCTGCTAAAGTGACACCTTCTCCAGCCGCTAAAGTGACACCTTCTCCAGCAGCTAAAGCGACACCTTCTCCAGCTGCTAAAGTGACACCTTCTCCAGCTGCTAAAGTGACACCTTCTTCAGCTGCTAAAGTGACACCTTCTCCAGCTGCTAAAGTGACACCTTCTCCAGCTGCTAAAGTGACACCTTCTCCAGCTGCTAAAGTGACACTTGCACCAGCAGCTAAAGCAGCACCTGCAAAAAGTGCACCCAAAGTTACTCAGTCTAAGACAGCACCCGTGAAAACACCTGTTAAACCAACAGCTGCAAAAACACCTGCAGCAAAACCAGCAGGCACACCTAAGAGTGCACCAGCAGCCAAAACTGTTACAGCAGCAAAGACACAGGCTGCACAGAAAGCTCCTGCCAAGACTGCTACTCGATCATCCTCACCTAGAGTAGCAGCTAAGGCAGCATCAACTGTAACAGGAAAACCTGCAGAAGCAACAGCAGCGAAGGTAGCAACAGCAAAGAAGGACATTCCAAAGGATCAGGTCACTTTGTTCGAAGCAACAGATGATTCTTTTGATGTGAGTGTTGATGACACTCAGGTGAATGAGATTGATGCAGATCTGAAGGAGAACAATGGAGAAGGAAAGACTGGTGATGCTGACACAACAGCAACAAATGACAAGGCTGTGGGAGGTGCTGGAGAGAATATCGAAGTGAAGACAGAGGACATAAGTATCACAGCAGAAGAGGATGCAAAAAATGAGAAGAAAGAAGATGCAAAACCTGCCAAGAGGTTGGTTTGGTTTGTATTGATGTCTTCTTGATCATGCTAACATCTTCAAGGTTGCTGAGTTTTCACTGGCTATTACGACCAGGTGAAAGAGATTCTCATTGTAGATGGCTGCTTCAGTCATATTGAAGTTGGCTTACACCAATGAGTTAAGTATTCTTTGGCGTTTGCTGTCTTTTAGATGCTTTCTTATGTCCCCCTTTCATTCAAACCAGGACGTAAAGAAGCTGCACTTCCTGGTTAGAATAGATCCCCAAGTAAGAAAAATGTTGATTTCAACAGAAATTAATTCAGAGCAATCAAATTCTGGCAATTTATGAAAGAATCTATTCAACTCAAGTTTTGATAGTGGCATTCGTATTACTCTGAATAGCACCACGCTGTATTCCACTGTCTCAGTGGATACAGTGTCAGCCAAGAGAGATAGTGTCTTGGTGGTTTCATCCCTGGCCTCATCTTACCAGAGACTGTCCTTGTTACCTGCCTGTCACTGGACATTAACAGCTGAATAAGAAGATATAGGAAGCAGCGCTTCAGATAATTTTCCAACATCAGTAGTATGTACTCCATATTTTTGCAATATAGGAGTACTGGAAATCCTTAAGAGTACATTTCGAGTACTGAATGGAATTTAATGCAGTATCAGTAATCTTGTGTTTCGTTTCATATATGCACCACAACATTGCTACTCTTGTATAAATGGGGCAATAAACAATAAGATAATACGTTTTCAGATAAATACGTCTGTAAATGATTCTGAGACCGAACACCATTGCTGTGGTGCTTAGCTGCTACGTTTTCTAAATTATTTCCTACCGTATCATGCATATTTCTTAGCCGTACATACGCCGATACGGCCCTTATCTGGAGCCCTGGGAAGGATTATAAGTTCACTCAGGACATTGAATGGAGTATCCATGTTGTCTGAAGTGTCGCAATATCCCTAAAAAGAGCTGAGTAGTATATTTGTGAATCCTCCTTCCTGATGCTGTATCTCACTTGTTTGACTAGGCCAAGAATGAACCAGGTGGGCCCAGTAAGGCAGCTGCAGTGAAAAAACCTGAAGACAAGATACCATCAGGTACGTGTTGGTAATTAACTAACAGTCTTAGTCAATAACTGGCCCAAAATATTCTTCTCAACAGAATACACACTTTTTCTGTAGTTTATCTTTCTTAACTTGTGGGTATTGTAAAAGTAGTTGTTCCTTAACTTGTTTTGAGTAATATAGAAATATGCTCAGATGGAATGCTTACTTCAGATAATATTGGAAATTGAACTTAATATGTGGTCGTTTGATGACTGATACATCTGTGACTCAGGTTATCAGCATCAGCAAACCAAATCTACTGTATTGTGTAGTTTGAATGGTGTTAGTTGTCCCATTTCTTAAAGGCACTATATCACTCCACACTTCTCTAAAAATAAATAATGCATTTCTCTCAATAATACTATCAGCTCTCAGGGAAGCTACCATATAATGTATTCCCTTTATCTCTGATTTGGTGTCTGACCGCATTTTATTACTAGCAAAGTTCCATGTTTATGAATGCAAACTTGCTTCTTCCACTCCAAATAATACTTGTTTTAAGAGACTGTTGAGTTATAGATACTAAATTGAGAAAACAAGATATTTCTCTAAAAGTGAAAACATTAAATTCTATCAAAAATGTTGTATAATGCTGTTGTAGACCAGTAGTACACACCAAGCCATCGGTATAACACCATATTAAACTTCTCACCCAAATCTATATCACAGTACATAACACCAAAGTGTCATTTCATCCATCATGTGCTAGTCATTTTTCCTTATATACTATATACTTCATGTTATTTGCTACCTATTCTGTCAGTGTGAATGTGTGAGTGAATGCAATGTGCTTGGCTAATGTCTTTAAGAAAAAAAACAATAAACGGAAGCCTGTTGCTTCAATCTCTTTTCTCTTCGGTGGGGTTGCTGCTTCCCGGGGCTGGAGCCCCAATTTGTAACAGGGTTTTTTTAAATGAAAAGATAATTAAAAAATATATATTATTCATTCCCCCACAAACTATGTATTAAGGTTGCAATATCAAATTATAAAGTTCGATTGAATTAATGCAACCTTGCATTAAATCGACTCTGGTGCCCTCTACCAGCCAAGGAGCGGTGGGGTAGTCTAGTGGTTAAAGCGTTGGCTCGTCACGCCGAAGACCCGGGTTCAAATCCCCACATGGGTACAATGAGTGAAGCCCATTTCTGGTGTCCCCCGCCGTGATATTGCTGGAATATTGCTAAAAGCGGCGTAAAACCAAACTCAGTCAGTCAGTCTACCAGCCAAACATTATTTCAAGCAAACCCCATAGAGTTATGTCCCTTGGAGTGCTCTTTACAAATATCCTATAAGTCAACATGTGATTGAAACCTGTTCGGCAAACACTGACAATACCACATGCGACAGTTTTCGCTGTACAGAGCAATTGTTTACATTCCATATATGGCAAGCTGTTCGCCTCAAAGTTTCAATTATCGATTTCAGGCAAGTTGTAAGGGATAATTAGTCTTTTATTGCATCAATAAGAAGCTAAAATGAGTGCATATGCAACAGTAAGATAGGCCTAAAAATTGTCAAAAATAACATTGTGCCTTTAAAACATTGATGTGCATTTTTGCAGTCAAGAAGGATGGAGAGAAGAAAGAGGTGGAAAAGAAGTCTGTAAGCCATGATAGTCGATCCAGTAGACGCCCAGCAGGGAGGTCTCCACATCATGATGACCGCAATAGAAGAGATGATAGGCGCCCAGAAAAGAAACATGACAAACGATCGACAAGTACTAAGACATCAACATCACCAAAATCTGCAGGTGTGTTCTATATCAGATATTAATGCACATGTTCCCATTGGGCCAGGCAAATGTTTGGTTACACACTATCATTGAACAGTTTAATGTTTATCCAGTGTCATGGCAACCAATATTGTTCTCTCAATCATATTGGTCACACACCTCAGCCTGTGTGGATTCTTGGTCTTAGTTCTTGATTCAGCGTCTATGCTGGTTGTGAAAAGCATTGCTTCAGTATAAGACTTATCGACTTGGTTGATTACATGCACAAGTCAATGGTCATCATTATCTCATTTTAGGAAAACAAAACATGAATAGCTGTCAAGATTGCAAGTTATGTGCATCTTTATAATAAACCGGAAAGTTGCAATTTACGCTTACCTGTTTCTTATGGAATTACATCCTCATTTGTTGTCCCCGGACGGAACGGGGGACTATGTATTCAGCAGCAGCCGTATGTACGTTCGTCACGATTCTTGATAATGTCTTCAAATTTGGTGACAGCCTACATTGGGGGATTACGCAGACACCAGTCGATTTTGGTGTCCTTGACCTTATTTTCAAGGTCACCACGACACTTTGACCACTTTTGAAACTCTTGTTAATGCGATATTTCATGGTTTGTTGTACCCAATGTCTTCAAATTTGGTGACAGCCTACATTAGGGGATTATGCAGACACCAGTTGATTTGGGTGACCTTTGACCACTTTTCAAATTTATGTAAACGCGATGTCTCATAAAGCATTGCACCCAGTGTCTTCCATTATGTCAACAGCCTACATTGGGTGATTTTGCAGACACCAGTCATTTCTTGTATGTGACCCAAAAATATAAAGTAGTAAATATGTTATAAATATTTCATTCTTCTTTAGCGGCGGGGGACATTGCCATATTAGTGGCAAACACTTGTTCATATTGATGTATCTTGGAAAATTGCAGACACATTGAAAACACACTTACACTAGACTGGCAGTGAAAGGCTCACTTTACTCTTATTCCAAAATATCTGTCATCAGAGAAGGCGAAACCAGAAGAGAAGACTGAAAAGCCAGAGGAGGGAATAGAGATGGGGGAGGAAGGTGGAGAAGAGGATAAGAAGAAATCTGAATCGGGCAATTCCCAGTCCAGGAAGTCTAAGATAATATACTTTCATTTGAGAAAATCAAGGTACATCCTCTTTTCGTAACTTTATTTCTGTTTCTGTGTATTTTTTCCAGCATTACATGTTGCACTCTCTTGTTACACATTGAAGCATGAATGGAAATATAAATTGACAGAACTGTTCCCAAACAAAGACCTATCCTGTTACTCACTCTCCCACATCCTGTAAAATCTCCGCATGTTTATGCAATCAAAGGCAGTTGTGCGATAAAAACCCATGGAGTTACCATTTATGACTGGATAAGCCGGTCTCATAGATAAGCCGAAGTCCTGGTGAGGAGTAGTGGTGGTCCAATTAATTGAAATAATCGAAGATTGGTCGTAGTGACTAAACGACCAAGCAATCGATCATAATTTCTCATAATTGAACACAACCAATTTTGGAACACTTGTTTTCATTAACAATATTTTTCACATGGTTGGTTTTGTCTGTTACATTTTGTAAGCACTACAAGCTTGTTTCAAGTCATGACTGAATTTATCTTAAAGGCTCCAAGAAATTTATGTTCCTAACATACTAGTCAATCTTTAAAGATGTGAAATTTTGCCCAAAAGCCCCAAAAGAACTACATGTTTTTTTCCTTATTTTTATGTGCATTAACAAATTTCATAAATGACGCTAACCAATTATTTTTGATGATTGATCGGTTTAATGAACCAATCATCAATTATGAGATTTTAACCAATTCCAAACACTAGTGAGAAGTGTGTGAGTGAGTTTAGTTTTACGCCGCACTCAGCAATATTGCAGCTATATGGCGGCAGTCTGTAAATAATTGAGTCGGGACCAGACTATCCAGTGATCCATATCATAGGCATCAATCTACTTATCTTAATATCGGCATCAAAATGGTATGCCCAGTACAGAAGCCAACCTCCAACCTCCATACCTCTTGTCATGATAGGTCATCTGTACTGAATTATGCAAGTTAATGCTGTTGTTACACTATCTCATAAAAAACTGTTTCTTTTCTTATCTGGATTTATGTTTATTTATTTTACTCAAAACGTCATTCAATAAGGTTTGTTAAATGCAGCAAAATTACATGAACCTCCAATGCCTACAACTTCTATTTACATTATTCAAAGCAACAAACTTATAATGCCACTACTCTGGCCACAAAACTAACTGTAGTTGACACAAAAAAGATACATATATATACTTTGTCTTGTTTAAAGTTACAATTTTTCCTTATCGTGACTCATGCTATATGCTTATGGCCCCTTTCCCTTTCGACGGTTACGTGAAAACTTGAGTCCCGTTGTTCCCTGAAACAAACGTAAAATCACTCACCTGTGGGTTGCCTCCCCTTTCCCGCCAAAGTGTCCCATGTGACCTGAACATAATGCTACAGTTACCCACAAACTATGGTAGGATAAACCAGTCAATACTGAAAGTAAACCCTCATCACACATCGGGAAAAAATGCAATAAGTTATGAATAAAAAGACAAATTATTAATATTTTTCCTTATCCTGACTCATGATCTTTTGCTTATCTCCTTCTATGCAAATGTTAGTGGAACACTTAAATCCCTTGTAGTTCCCTAAAGCGGCGTAAAAGTTCACTCACCGATGAGTTACCTCCCTTTTCCCCCGCAAACAGTCATGTGACCAGCCATACTTGTCACTCTCTCCTTCATCGCCCACGCGGGTGGTTGGGCGAGCACTGGAGTCCCGTATACGGCATTATATCGTTTACATTTAGATCCTTTTATCCAAATTACGCTGTGTATGGTTTTCGGTTATAACCAGCTTGCATTATATGTAAAAGAATTAAGAAATTATTTGTATTTTGTGACTTATTTCATCGTTATGTTATTGTTTACATTTGATGAAATCTTGCAGTGTTTGCAGGTTCCGACTATCAGTGGCTGATCCACACACCCAATACCCGTCATGCATTAATCCATGTTCTTCCACCTTGCATTGAAGATATTGCATTGATTTATCAAATTTGCAATTTAATCAATATTTGTCTTCCATCTATAGACGTGCGATGGATCGGGTGAGGAAGTCATCACAAGTCACTGTTGATAAATCCGGAGATCAAGCCGGTAACCGTATGTTGTTTGCTACTGCCGAAATACATAATTCAGGTGCTTTGTCGAGTACGTTGCAGGGGCAGTCGTCTGTTACTCGGTCTAAGAAGTGGTCTGCTACGCCCGAGTTGAGAACAAAACAGAATAAGAAGACGTCTTCATCATCTGCGACGCAGAAGAAGTCCTCTGCAACTTGATCGTCGTCGAAATCAACTCGTCCCAGTAAGACAACACATCAGAGGTCGTTTAATGAAGAGATTGTCCTGCCTGACGAAGCAGACGTGTTTGCTGACCCTTAGATACTTCTACCTATTAGACCTGCCAGAACGGCGACGCAATCGACCTCCACGACGACACCATCGTCTTCTGCAACTACGACAGCTGCTCAGCTGTTTGACGATCAACCACCAACTACGCAGACGTCTGTCATCAGAGACAACATCAGCGAAGTAGACACACACAACACCTCAGCGTTCGCGAACGCTTAATCCATGCCGCATCGCTTTCAGACAACGCAGAACTTTGATCCGGGCGACTTTATGAGACAGTTTACTATGCAGATGATGACCATGATGGAGCGTCGGTTCACCGAGGAAGCAGAGGCACGGCAGAACACTACGAGGGCAAGCAACGTTCGCAGACCCTCGGACCTGCGCAAACCTGATAAACCTACATTTACGCCTCACAGGTCTACAACTGAAGATAACGTTCACGTTCCCGAAGATCCTCACACTCAGACGACTCGGTCATCATGGATGAAGATGGAAGGTTCGCGAACGTCCCTGAGACTACGAGAGATACCACTGCGAACGTCTAGGAAGCCTTTTCCGAGATCCAGCCGTTCCACATCTAGATCCCGCAGCCCTCACAGACATTTGGAGGAATTCGCGAAGGGTAGGTTCACGAAGGGAAGAATCATGAGAAGGTTCGCGAAGGGATGGATCACGAGATGAAGGTCCGCGAAAGGAGGGTTGGCGAAGGCACAGTTCAACTGACTCGGAACTATCTGATGAACAGGGTGACTACGTCTTCTCAGAAGCGGAGGTCACATCTTGGATAGCTAATTGATTGGACTTAGAGTCCCCCTCCAAGGAATCAGACGAAACATGCACATATAAGATGTGGAACGACGACTTCAACTCTCTTTCGATTCCACCAATTGAACCGATATCCAAGGTGGCTACGAACCTACGCACAGCTTTTGAGAAAGCAACTCGTTATCAAAATCAACATCTACCATCATTCAACGTGAGGAAGTTTCCTCTACATCATATGGATCCCTTCATGAGAGCACTGGACTTAGACGACAAAATGAAGTTGTTAATGATTCACGGAACAAGGCCTATAAGGTGGAGGATAAAACTCGACACCTCAACAAAGAGAACTTTCTTCGGGTTAGCAAGGTCTAGAGCGATCAATGAGGCATTGATAACGAAATTGGACTCACAGGTCGAATGTCTGCGGAGGGACCTATTTACAAGAGCCGGTCTTGGACACATATCTTTATGTAGATGCATCACTACAAGGATGGGGTGCGCATCTCAACAACCAAGTAGCATCAGATAAGTGGTCGAAACTATAACAGCATCTTCTCATCAATCTGCTGGAAATGAAAGCCGTGATCAACGTCTTAGAACTTTGGTCGAGCTCACCGATCAACAGTGGCATTCTTCATAAATCGGCAGGGATCAGCGAGATCACCAAGCCTACTTCAGCTCACATTTCAGTTCAACATCATGGAGGAAGCAAACATCTGGCTAAAGGCATGTCACATACCAGGAGCTAAGAACATACTAGCAGATGCTCTATCTCGTCCACTTAATCCTCCGTCACCCACGGAATGGATGCTCCACCCAGAGGCATTTCGGCTCATCATAATGGAAATAGGATCCCCAGGCATAGACCTGTTCGCCACGAGGTTCAACAAACGACTACAGACATTCGTCTCACCAGTACCAGATCCTCAAGCCTGGGCAACAGATGCACTGAGCATATCATGGAAAAGGACTTTAACGCATACTAGTTTCCGCCTCCGATCTTATTACCGAAAATACTATTGAAGATCAAACAGACCACGGCGCTACAACTGACTTTGGTCACGCCCTATTGGCCAGCGAGAGTCTGGTTTCTAGATCTAGTACAAGAACTCGAAAGTCCAACCCTCAAACTACCAGAATGGCACCGCACACCAAGCAAGTCCACGGGAACCCACTAATGTTCCAGTTACACGTGTGGACCATATCAAAACTTGTCTAAAGAAAAGAGGATACTCCGCCAGAGCAGCGAAAGCAGTACCTTAGCGTTACGCAGATCAACTTGCAATTTGTATGACAAATGGCAGAAATTTGAACAATGTGCAAGGCAGAAAGGCTTCACAGCTATGAAAGCATCTCATCCTCTAGTGGCGGAATATCTATGTCACCTTAGATATACAACAGGGGTGGAAATAACTTTAAAATTGCTAGTGTACTCCGGTACAGTGGCACATGTAACATCACTTGCCCTGATAATTTTTCCACTATACCGGCCGTTTTCTTGTTGATTTTTTAAATAAACAACATAATTAACATTGGAATATCAACTGGACACCGGTACAGTGTGATATACAAATTTGCTTGCCGGACAGAAAAAAACACTGGACTCGGGCATCGGGCAATGGGTTATTTCCACCCCTGCTACAAGGCATTTGAAAGGTTCGAAGTTATCTACATATCTGGCAGCGATTAGTACAGTCATCACTATGAAGACTGGCATCAAACTGACGAAAGTACCTGAATTACTTGCTCTGCTACGCTCTTTTAAACTGGAAGACCAGCAAAAGAAATTCAGAGCACCAGCTTGGGATCTGAACGTAATTCTACGACATCTCATGAGTGATGCCTACGAACCTCTAGAGCATACTACCTTTGAGCTACTTACACAGAAAACTCTGTTCCTCCTTGCCCTAGCCACAGCAGCTCGAATGTCAGAGATACATGCGCTGGATTTTGGATGAACTAGATTCGACACGGGGCACCGTGCTGCAGTACATCTAGGACTTAGATGGGATTTTATTGCAAAAAATCAACTATCTGGCCAACCGGATAGACAGTTCCATGTACCAGCGCTTTCTACGATCCACGGTCCAGAGGACACCCAGGACTTATCCTTGTGTCCTGTCAGAGCTTTGGAAATATATCTTCAAAAGACTAAAACAAGGAGAAGAAAATTCAAGTGCATTTTCATCCCCTTGTCGACAGAGACCTCAGTGGAGGTCTCAAGAATGACAATATTGTTTTGGATGAGAGCCGTGTAACTAAGAGCCTATAAAGCAGCAGGATTAGAACCTCCAAGAACTTCCAACAGGACGTATCTAAGGACCCACCACAAATCCGTCGGATTCCATAAGCAAAAGATCATGAGTCAGGATAAGGAAAAATGTGTAATTTTTTCAGTAAAATTGATATTTTATACTTATCCTGACTCATGAGGTCAAGCCCTCCCAACCTCCCCGCTGAAGACACTTCAGATTTCACAGTAGATCCAAGTGCATGGACTAAATTCAGAAGAGAGTGACAAGTATGGCTGGTCACATGACTGTTTGCGCGGGAAAAGGGAGGTAACTCGTGGGTGAGTGAACTTTTACGTCCGCTTTAGGGACTACAGGGGATTCAAGTGTTCCACTAACATTCGGATAGAAGAAGGAGATAAGCAAAAGATCATGAGTCAGGATAAGTATAAAATATCAATTTTACTTAAAACATTACATATTTGATATTTTTACTAATTTTCCTGCCTTATATGAGGAATAGGACCACTTTATCTTTAGTTCTTGTTGATGCTTCCTTGAAACAGAAGTGTGATGTTTTTACTGTCACATCCCAGGTTAGACCCAACTGGAGAGGTGTTCTCTGAAGTTATGTTTCCCGACATGTTTTTTATATGTTTTATAGTACATGATGTGCACAACTACATTCAGAAAATAAAATGGATTGTTAATTTACTGACAATGAAATTCCATGATTAGTAAATACATGTGCTAGTTTCTAAATATGGTTTTCATTCAGGACCATCGACATGTATATTGTCTTTCATTGTTTGTATTTCAGACTGAGAGGGAAAAAGAACGCCTCCGTAAAAAAGAAAATGCCCTACGTGATGAAGAGCAGAGGAGACTGTCTGAACTTGAGAGACAACGATCACGACAGCAGCAAATTCATATGCGTCAGCGAGATGAAGCTTTTCGACTTGAACAAGAGAAAATGAAACTGAGGTATGTATAGATAGAGCATGATTCACAAATGAGCAGGTCTTTCTACCAGTATCTGTCACTGTCTACAAGACTTGAGTAATGAAAGGCAGTAGTCATTAATCAGAAGATTTTCCTGCAAATGACTGTAACATTGTATATACACCTCCACTTAGTAAACTGATTTCTTGTTCAAACAGACAAGAGAGAGAAAGGCTTGAGCGAGATCGCTTGGAAACAGAGAGACTTCTCCTTGAACGAGAAAGACTAGAGAGACAGAGAATCGAACAGCTTCGACAGGAGCAATGCAGGTGAGGAGGAGGGGGTACTTTTAAGTGTTTGTGAAATTGAGGAATTTTATAAATACACCTCAATGGAAACTTTTGAAAATCTGAAATCCAGTGAGACTACTGTAATCTAGGACTACATGCTCAAATCTCCTGTAGCATGACAACTGTCTAACTTCCATGGATTGATGTTGTGTCATTAGCATTTATTTCCATACTTTAGCGTAAATTTTAAGTTTGTGCAGTACAATTTTGTGGTTGCTTTGTGCGAGTGGGCACTCTCATGGGTACAACGTAATGTTCACATCTTGGGATCTGGATTAAGATGTCTTCTCTGTTTCCATAATCAGTAGACGATGGATTTTGTTTTTGAAACCTGACATAAAACAGTCTGACATGATAAATGTATCACTGATAGTAAACTAGGTACATTGATGCAATGAAGACAATTTCATCCAAATTTTCAGACTCCAGGAGCAGGTCAGGGCAGCTAAGAGACCATTTGAGAAATTTGCCAGTCGTCATGACGACGACTACTGGAGTGGACCCATTAAACGACCAACATCTGATCGACATGATAACTATGGTGGTTCTAGGTGAGGAACTGGTCACTCGGTGTACATTAGAGTTATGATGTGTTTTAAGCATAATGTTACTGAGTGAATATAGAAAGTGTCGGGGTAAAAACACTATCAACCTTAAAGTTTTATGCTGATGAATGAATTCATGCTCAACAGTAAAACTGTTTGCTCTTTTTCAGAAGGGATAGTCGCTTTGACAATGGAGACAGGAAGGTGGGGCGATATGATAGGCGAGATAATCGTAATACAGATACTCGTGGTTCTAACAGAGGACACATCGAAGACAGAAATGAACGTCGAGAAGAAAGACGTGGTGACAGCTTTACAGATAATCAGAGGTATTGGGGACTGCTGCATAATCTTCCAGTAACTACAAACTAAATCACTTGATAACAGTAAATAACACATGTCAGTCTGCTCTAAAACGGGGCGGTGGGGTAACCTAATGGTTAAAGCGTTTGCTCGTCACGCCAAAGACCCGGGCTCAATTCCCCACATGGGTACAATGTGTGAAGCCCATTTCTTGTGTCCCCCACCGTGATACTGCTGGAAAACTACTAAAAACAGCATAAATCTAAACTCACTCACTCACTGCTCTGAAACAGTATACCATTTACTAATTATGAATTATGAATATTATAAAATGTACTCTACAATGCTCAGGAATGTTGTGATCATGATAGGCAGGCTGGATTAACATACATCCATGTACCCATGTGTATGCTGGGTTTGTTGACAGACATATGCTTGTGGCTGCTCGGGTTAACGTAGATCCATGTGTGTCCGCCTCTGGGATTGACATTGATCAATGTGTATCTTTCTGTTTGGGTTGTGTAGGTCCTTGTGCACCTGCTTGTTATCCCCCGCCTCGCGTTTAGTGCGAAGCGGGGGATATAGTATTAAGCTCCGTGTGTACATACGAATTGGAATATCTTAAGAACCGTTGACAAGATTTTTTTCATATCTGGTACCTAGTTTCATCACAGTATAAGAAAGGCCCCAGTCAGGTTTGGTGACCTTGACCTTCATTTCAAGGTCACAAGGGACTTTACATATTACCCTTGTCAGCAAGATATCTCAAGTACCATTCACTGGATTTTCTTCATATTCGACACCAAGCTTTATCTAGGGAAGGTGCAGGGCCCACCGATTTTGGTGACCTTTTCAAGGTCACAGCGACACTTTGAAGATTTCAGCATGTTAAATTGCACGTTAAGCTTGTCAGCAAGATATCTCAAGAACAGTTCACTGAAGTTTCTTCATCGACTTTCAAGAGTTGTCCTTATTAATATTTTGGCATATTTCATACACCATGACATTCATGTCAAGGTCAAAGTAAGTCTTGAAAATACTTGTGTGTTTGAACAACTACAGAGCAAGATATCAAGAGAGGTTGACATTTAAATCATCTTAAACTACAACCTTCACTTTCATTAATTTAATTAATGAAATTTTTAGTTTGGATTAACGTACATCCATGTGCACATAGATCCTTGTGCACCTGCTTGTTGGAATTAACGTAGATCTATGTGCACCTGCTTGTTGGGATTAACGTGGATCCTTGTGCACCTGCTTGTTGGGGTTAACGTGGATCCTTGTGCACCTGCTTGTTGGGGTTAACGTGGATCCTTGTGCACCTGCTTGTTGGGATTAACGTGGATCCTTGTGCACCTGCTTGTTGGGATTAAAGTGGATCCTTGTGCACCTGCTTGTTGGGGTTAACGTGGATCCTTGTGCACCTGCTTGTTGGGGTTAACGTGGATCCTTGTGCACCTGCTTGTTGGGGTTAACAAACATCTTTATGCACCTGCTTGTTGGGATTAACGAGATCCATGTGCACGTAGATCTTTGTGCACCTGCTTGTTGGGATTAACATAGATCCTTGTGCACCTGCTTGTTGGGATTAACGTAGATACTTGTGCACCTGCTTGCTGGGATTAACGTGGATCTTTGTGCGTCTGCTTGTTGGGAATAACGTAGATACTTGTGCACCTACTTGTTGGGATTAATGTAGATCCTTGTGCACCACGATATGGCTGCAATATTGCTGATGTGACGTTAAATAATAACTCACTCCTTTTTGACCTGCTTGCTGGGATTAACGTGGATCTTTGTGCACCTGCTTGTTGGGATTAACGTAGATCTTTGTGCACCTGCTTATTGGGATTAACATAGATCCTTGTGCGTCTGCTTGTTGGGATTAACGTAGATCCTTGTGCTCCTTGTTGCGATTAACGTAGGTCCTTGCGCACCTGCTTTTTGGGATTAACATAGATCCATGTGCATTTCGGATCCAGGGTTAACATAGTGTATGTGGCTGCTATGATTAATGTAGATATGTGAGCATCTACCCATTTTGCATTATTCTGAACTAGAAACACAAGAGATGATAGACGAAACACGCGGACACTCAACCGCTCGCAGGAGAACAGACGAGACTTAAACAGAAGTCGAGATGATGACAGACGGAACAATAGATCGCCTCAACGTCAGGGTTCTCGGATTGACTGGAAATCAGATAGAGGTAAGAATGGGAATGGGAAGTATTTTCAAAACATTTTAGTGTGCGCCCCATATATAGAGTATAAAAGCCCATTTCCCAGTTTAATGAGGATTCCACAAGCATTAACTCTTTCTTTTCTTTTGTGCATGTGGTGTGGTGTATATTAACAAGTTGGCACAATCAGTTTGCATAACTTTATAAATTCAGTTCAATATATTTTGATTTTCCATGTTTACATTAGTACAAACATTCAAGTTGTCGGTCTTGATTGCATGTTAGTATGGCTTCAATACCGAAGCTTGAAGTGGGATCTACCAAGATATGACAGTGGTGTAGACTCGTAGACTGTTGGGGCGGTGGGGTAGCCTAGTGGTTAAAGCGTTGGCTCGGTGGGGTAGCCTAGTGGTTAAAGCGTTGGCTCGTCACGCCGAAGACCCGGGTTCGAATCCCCACATGGGTACAATGTGTGAAGACCATTTCTGGTGTCCCCAGCCTCGATGTTGCTGGAATATTGCTAAAAGCGGCGTAAAACCAAACTCAGGCAGTCAGTCGTAGACTGTTGTGAGCATATTCTGGCACACATGTTTATGGACTTGAAATCATGCATGAATGTGACTGTCCATTCTTATTTACCACTTATATTTTTTAGACAGCTTTTGTTCCAGTATCAAACGGAGCTGTAGTTGAATGTTATAGTGTAGGAGTTGGAGCCATGTAAAAGTTCAGTCGTCAGTATCTGAGCTGATTTCTGGTGGTCTCACAGCATTGTCTAACAGAGTCCTTGCTGTTGCAGACACCAGGATGGTTGTGGCAAGTGGACGTGACGTCTGGCTGGGACAGAGCAGCTCTGGGGTGCAAGATGACAGACGTGCAAAACATTATGATGATGGATCGGGTATAATGTCAAGTGAGTTTCATATTAGATTTGACTGTCAATTTGCAATATTGAATGTGGACCAAACTTAGCTCATTCCCTCCAATATTCGAAACATTTCATTGTATTTGTGAATTACTTTGCAGATGGTGCTAATTCCAGTCAACGTGAGTCATGGGGAAATAACAGTGACCGTAGCAAGATGGACCCCTCCTGGGGCCATGGTGTTGTGAGCAACTCAGGGGCTCGGGGAGGCGGCAGCGGTGACCGGTGGATGGGTGGAATGCAGGATACACACAGTAACCGAGGGGGAGGGTTTAACCTGGAGGGTAGTGGAAATATGATCAATACCATCGGGGGGACAGGACTGTACATGGCTTCCACTCCACAAAACACAAACCTTATGATGATGGGCGGAATAACAAGACAACCAGAGGCACGCTATTTGCAACAAGCAACGGTCCGCAGATTCTAGATGCAGTGTTGTAGTCCTATGGATGGTCTGAGCAGGTGGTGTTGCTGAACTGTTACTGACATGTTGTTTTTTAATATGATAATCTGAGAATCATGGAATGATACAATGATATTGATGTCCTAACTTGTTGATAATGTGACCAGGTGAATCGCAGGGAACATAAGTTGAGCAGATGACAAGTGTGTTGCAACTTCTTACACGAACAGCCTTGTATGTTCTCACAATATTGTGTATGTTGTTTGTTGCCAGCTGAACAATGATGGGCTTTCAAAACTTGCCCTTAGTTTATTCTCCAAGAACATGCTGAAAAACATGTAAAGGTGCTGTAACGACTTGTAATGTCCATCTGAAGCACAAAGTCTCAATGCACTTAGATTCTGTTGGACAGAATTTTGTATAAAATAATTTCTATTCTTTGTACGAGATATTTCACAGCTTTTATGTATGAACTGAGTCAACATTAGTTCATTCCCATGTCCAACAAACAGCTGTATGAACAACACGTCACAGCTGTTTGGTTGGGTTTTTTCAGTCTTCAAGGAAAGTCATATTTTATAAATGTTAAGTTTGTTGCCATGATCAGCTTATTTCCAATCATTGACAGTCATTAAATGATCCCATTGTATTTCCTTGTTTGTTGTGGGAATCATACATATCTCCACAAGGTGAGGAATGATATGATACATTAGAAGATGGATTCTGATTGCTAATGACGCTCTGTGCACCATACCCAGTTGACAAGATGCAATGTGACTGAAGTACTTGTTCAGACTGTTTAAACTAACATTGTAGGTGGTAGAACTGACCTCCTCGCTAGTAACCACCTATGGGCTGCCATTGGGGTCTAGGAAAGAGTTTCTGCCTGGAGAATGTCAGTATTTTGAGGCCCTAGCAGCATCAGACATTAAAACACAGACTACATGTTGTTATCCATTCTGGCCTTTGGTATTTTGAGGCTTGAAGTCAGTACACTGCATTTGTGTGGATGGTTTATAAAACAGCAAACGTCTGGCTATGCTAGTTCATGTAGTTATTGCATGTATTCAACTGAGCAACAATTCCTGATTCCTTTTGAATCACATGTCCAGCACATATTCCGCTTTTCATACATACACCTGTGCATTAATTAAGAACCACCCTATTTTGAAAATAAGATGTGATACTACAGAAAAGGTTAGGGTATAGCCATCAATTTAATCAACCTATAGTTAAGGAAGCTTTATCCATTGACAGTTTTACAAGTACCATAACCTTTTCTATTCGTTAGGAAAGAATATGTTGATGACAATGTGATGTGACGGAATTTTTAACCAAAATAACTATTCCTCTCCTGCTGAAACTACACAATTAAATTAAGTTTTGACTTAAAATACCAATTCTGTTATATAGCAAGATGACATTGACACATCAAGTAAGCTTTAATTATGCATAATCAGGAAGAACCCAAATCACAAAGATTCAGACCTTTTTCCAACAATTCAGATTGCTAATTGACAAAAGCTGAAAAGGCAACATTAATATGATTTTGGAATAAATCTTTATTATTTTGAGTTTATTGTATTGAATAAACACTTCTCCTTGCCGGATACTGATAATTACAGCTAAAATCTGTATGTTTTGTTTGTAAAGCAACTTTTACTGCATTTTAGTTTGACTAACTTTTCCTGAATCTTAGTTTACAAACTTTCATCCTTTCACAATAAGTAACGAATTTATAGGCCACATAACAATCAATTATTACTTTCACTTTTCAAAATAAGGTAACTTGTTTTAGGACAGAAAAACACCTGTTTTAAATATAGGCAATTATCGTAATTAAAGTACATGGTAATTTCAATGATATTCAATGTTAAATGTTTACTCTATCAAGTTATAAAGGTTATTATTTTTTAGTTTAAAATTTCACTTCAGAAAAAATTAATTGGTAAAAATACAGGGTACGGATGTAAGTTCATGGACACAGAAGTGGAGTGCTGCTTACCCTCTCAGATTGTCACCACAAAGTGCATGCTCAACCCAGACTGCCACCCAGGATTCCACAAACATGGTAGTCCAAAAACACATTTATGGATCCCTCTGATTAGTGGTACACTGTATTTCAGTTCATTTTGGTGGTCCATTGTTCTTCCCTGTGTCATTTATCATTTATTATTATTATTGGATATTTATATAGCGCACATATCCACGCACTAGTGCATGCTCAAGGCGCTGGTATTTTTTCCCTCATCATTGGATGTCCATCTCAACGGCTCTCTGGCGAGCATACAACTCTTGCTGCCACAAGGCGCACCGAGTTATTGCAGCTTTCCCATCCTTACGAGGTACCCATTCACAGCTGGGTGGGCTGGGACACATAGTTTACTGCACCCGCATCTACGTGTTTGCGCGTATTCATGTGGCCACCATCTGGTCATATACCAACGGATTCGTGGGTTCTTTTAAGTGCACAGGTTTGTGTACTTGTACACTAGGGGTTGTGACAACACTGAAAGACAATATAGAACAAACTTTATGGATAACAACTTCTTTTTATTCGTGAGTGCGACGTTTCGATACAGATTCTTGTACCGTTGTCAAGCATGTCGTGGGCGAGCTGGCTAAGGCGCCAGGCTAGTGATCCAGCGAGCATGAGGTGCCGGGATCCAGCCCACCTGTGACCGGGTGTAAAAACCTAGGAGTCAACTTTGTGTGCAGGCTCTTTCAGTGTTTCTTTGAGTGGCAAACACTGAAAGATCCTGTACACACAGTTGACTCCTAGGTTTTTTACACCCGGTCACAGGTGGGCTGGATCACTAGCCTGGCGCCTTAGCCAGCTCGCCCACCAGCTCGCCCATTACACTGTGGTACAACCGTAAAGTGCTGTTGACAATGAACATGGTACACAGAGCTCAGCTAAATAATGACAAATTGGTGACAGCTGGACAAAACTAACCAAACTGGCACAGATCACCTTGTTTAGATGGGAGTTGGTGTTAACACTCATGTGATTCTGTTGCATATCAGCTTACACTTACAAGTCAATATGGCAGCCACCAACTGGGTTGCGTTTGGTTAGACCTCTAACTTCAACCTGACCAAGGACCCAACTGGACAGCATTGCGTTTTGCTTGTCACCACATCCCATTAAAATGAACTGATATGTATTAAAAATCCCGAGGTTGCGATTTTGTAATAACTTACCAAACAGAATATTTTACTACGATTCCTACAAAGAAACAAGGACCCTGTAAATGCGATACTGATAGTCTTCAATTATGACTCACAAAATGGACTGCTTGTAGGTCTTAACAGGGTTCAGCTTAAAAGACTGCAGAAACTACAGAATACAGCTGCCGCATTATTTTGTGAGTCAATATCTTGTCACATGACTCCAGTCCTCAAATCATTTCATTGGCTTCCCACTGAATCACATGTCAACTTTAAAGTTACCCGCACCCTCTACAAATGTCTCCACAATCAAGCCCCACCCTACCTCACTGACTTGATCACTCTATACACACCAGCCTGAACTCGTCGATCTCCGAACCAGTACCAACTTTCGGGGCGGTGGGGTAGTCTAGTGATTAAAGCGTTGGCTCGTCACGCCGAAGACCCGGGTTCGAATCCCCACATGGGTACAACGTGTGAAGCCCATTTCTGGTGTCCCCCCGCCGTGATGTTGCTGGAATATTGCTAAAAGCGGCGTAAAGCCAAACTCAGTCAGTCAGTACCATCTTTCCGACTTGCCTCATTTGGTAAATGATCGTTCTTTCATGCAGCCGCAAGACATGGAATTCACTGCCAGTCCACATCAAAGGCACTAATTCTGACAGCTTTCAAATCACAACTGAATACTTATCTTTTCTCCTCTGTATATAACCTACTCGCCATCTTTCCCCTGCGTTTTGAGCATGCACTAGTGTGTGGATTATAGCGCATAACAAATAACGATTATTATTATTATTAATTCCAAGTTTTCTTTTCCAACAGCTGGAATTGTATGAATATTATTACAAAATGCCCTGCTATACTGAGTTCATGATTGGAGTTGATCACTGGATTGTCTGGTCCAGACTCGATTATTTACAGACCGCCGCAAAATAGCTGGAATATTGCTGAGGGCGGCGTAAAACTAAACTCACTCATGATTGAATAGTGCTTTACGACCTGGAAATGGTTTCATTTAGCAGTGGACCCCCATTGGGCGGTGTACAGCCGTGTACGGGGCATACATGGTAACTTGTTCAAGGTCACGTGAACCAATCAGAGATGGACATTCTTATATGAGGTAGGATCATGCCTCTTGGCATACATGAGCCTACAGGGATGCGTCAAGGGCACAATCAGGGTTAGGTATGCCTTACGATTGTCAAAGGATATACACTTCGGAACGCCAGTTTACAGTATGTGACGTTGATGGTCGTGTATAGTTGCTCATACTATCAACCACTGGCCCAGGTACAACAACAGACCACCGTGATATAACCGCACATAGTTGACTGCACATTAAACACGCGATTAAAGTTGTAGCTATTATGAGATTCCGTAAATTCGGCAGATTATCCCAGATTATTGTCCTTAAAGGTGGCAATGACCTGCAAAGTATTATGAGCGGAGTTGCCCCCCTTCTTCCATGACCGATTTCTCCTGCACAGCTTCCAAACAATTTTTTTGGCAGCATTCCCTGCTGTGTCTGTTATCCACCGATAATACATGTTATATTATTATGGGATATGTTGCCAGGTGCATGAGCTCGCCCTCATGTGTTAACACAGTGTCAGACAGCCTGAAAACACTAACGTGTTGAATACAATGTGTTCGTTGTGGCGAGGAATTTGCTGAAATACGGCGTCTCCTGTTGAATCGTAAACAGACCATAGAGAGCGCCAGTACTATATTTTTCAATTATGCACGCCTTTTATGGATATGGTTTTACTGAATATCAGTTTTCACCTTGAACAACTAAATGTTGGTTGTACTAAATATATATTTTAAGCATTAATAAATCTTGCAACCACGTTGGGTACGATGCAATATGCAGGTCATATGTCACTGACGGTTGTGATATAAGCACGTGACCCACCAATTTGTGTCTGATCCACGTGGTTTCCTGATGCATGTTATGTTCTGCACGCACCTGCATGACAACACAATACACACTACCCATCAAAAGTTTAGACTCACTTAAAGCACTCATTATATGTTATGTATATACATATGGTTACATCGAAGATGAATTTCTCCACTAACTTGGGGGGAACCAACTGCAAACTTTATGCAGATGAATTGCACGATGATCATACATAATATTGCTGAAAAGCATGTGCAAATATCGTGCATGTGAACAGCTGCGTTTTGATGTAAAGTTTTGTTAAGAATTCGCCAATTTTCACTGAGTTTCATCTTTTATTGAACCCATGACAATAATCTTTTTTAACGTTACGAATCTGTTTTACAATACATCAGTTCATGTGTAAACTGACTGACTGACTGAGTTTGGTTTTACGCCGCTTTTAGCAATATTCCAGCAACATCACGGCAGGGGACACCAGAAATGGGCTTCACACATTGTACCCATGTGGGGATTCGAACCCGGGTCTTCGGCGTCACGAGCCAACGCTTTAACCACCAGGCTACCCCACCGTC